GGAATTTCATTCGACTGTTTAAGAAAACAGAATGAGGTAGAGCGTACAAGTCTGAGTTTGAAAAAGATGAAATATAAAAGGGCACACATCGATAAAGACTAGTATTAAAAATGAAAACCAATATTACAGCTAAAAGATGTAATAAATCGAGAATAAGCATTCCAAGAATGCATGTTAATAAACGTAAACGAATTCAGTTGTAAATGACAGAAAATGTAGTGTGTGGTTTTATATAAAACAGATCAGAATTTATATAGCAAATATTCTACTTTACCAAAATAACTGTTATTTATTACGTTGAAATGAATACAATGAATGATTATATTTAAGACTTAAAACCTAGTTCATGAATCAGTGAAAAGAATGCAAAGGCTTAGATATTGATTAATAGGATATACTAATTGTTATTGTAAAATAACTCCATCTACAAAAATGATGAAAAACCAAAGGAAATTAGACAGCATATTTTTACGTATCATATAAACAGTGGATTTCTATGACTCTTCTAGCGATCTAGTTAATGTTAGTCTGTGATTTAAACTATAATCAAATAAACCCACATTTAAGACTTTTTCTATCGATGATTACATCAAGAGGATGGTAAGAACAACGTTAAAATTTGTCCAAACTTCCAAAGGCATCTATATGTATGGAATATAAATAACTTGTTATGCAAAGCAAATATATATTTATGAGAAGCCTTTTATTAAAAAAAAGAAATCCAAAAGCTGATGAATGGAGTTTCAGCCTATTAAAACTACAAAATTTATTTCATAATTTAGCTTCTTTAATAATAATTTTACATTTACAAGTCTTGTATCAATTCAGTCAATAAACCAACATCAGCTAAAAGATATATATATTAAAGCACCTGTCGTTAATTATATGTACGACACATGTTTGGCGTCTGAGTTCAAGATACATTTGGAAAATAAATAATCAGTTTAAGAATTCTTTGCTTTCTAAATATTTCTTAATATCACTTAAGATTAAAGGATGTTTTATTTTTGTTTTTTTCCAACAGAAAATAGTATTGTTTTTTACATGTTAATTTTCATCGAAAATTACTTTGTCTTGCAATTAGAATTTTTATCGGATGTAAACAAAGCAATGTAGGAAAGATAAAATAATTTGCCTTTTATCTAATTTTCCAAAATATTTAACTATTTCTATTTGTATTTACTACTGCCGGTCCCAAGCCTGGATAAAGAAGAAGGGTTAGGTATGGGGTTAACGATCCCATCCCACAGAAAACCAACTCGCTAAAAAAAACGCTAACCCGAAAATTTTTTGTATTTGAATGACTTATTTAATCATATAATTTAGATACATTAAAGGTTTCTTTTCTCTTTGGATGATTCCACTCGACTAATTTTCTTGTATATAGTTTGGGTGTATTATGAAGATTATTTAGTTATCAACATTGTATCAGTCGGAGAATGTTTCATAACCAGGAATCATTATTTACTTCTTTCATTGACATGTGAGATTCTTTTTTATCGCATGCCTAACTTTCTCGTACAGAATTAACACCTTGATTATTGAAAAACGTGATGACAAAAATAGCATTGAGTTAATTTCTGATTCCCTACATTCCAAACGCAAACAGGTCTGCTTTATGGACCAATGATAAATTATTGCCATATTTACTGACTGTTACGACCTTTAAATTAAACTTCGAGTGTCAAATTTGAAGGTAGTTATCATTGAGAATATATGTATTTTTTCAGTTGAGTGATTATCAGAAAAATATTCAAATTTTTTAGATGCATTCATTTTACCACGACAACTATCTTAAAGATGAAGTTAACTTAGAGTCCCCCGATCATTTCATGAATATGTTTTATAGTGTTTTAAGATTGCCCAATTGAAAATTATCCTACATATATTGGTGTACATTTGTTTTGTGAAAGTAATAAACTAACTAGATGAATAACATTAAAATGTAGTTGATTCCAAATGTTTAGACAAATCAAAAAATAAAATACACGATTGTGATATTTACTTTCTTACATTACATTTTATTTAAAGACATTTTTAATAGGTTCAATTCAAATACATTAGAAAAATTGCTTCATGTCGGTTTACTCTTCAATTGGATAAAACATGACAACACTGATATTGTTCACTTGGTATTGTTTTACTTGAATCTTTCCATTGATGTTTAGGACTGCCATTGATCACTCTCTTATTGACATATGTGCATACTGTGCGCATCGCCGCGATATAGCTTTGATTCACAAGCATTCAAAGCAAAGATGGTTAGTGGCTATTAATAGAAGTCAGGACGTGCGTTTCAACTTATCTGTGACTCGTGAGCTGGATCTGCCAGCATCTCGTGAACAACAACATACATATAAATGTAAATGAAAAGGATTTGTGAGAGTCCAATTTTTGTGTTAAAATTTATCTCTCGTGAATAAGAATATTATTTTTTAGAAAAACACTAATAAAGTTTAAATTTGTCTCAACAGATATTTATACGACCAATCAAGGCTATTGGAGTCAATAATCACAATGAAATAGAATACCTCACCGAGCATAATAGGTAAAAGTATAGATATTTGCCTTTTTCATCTTTAACTTTTATTTTATTTTGTTTTTACAATTCAAGTGTTTAGTTTTGTAAATACAATTGTTTTACCTTTAATACCAATTAGGCATTTTGATGACAATATGTATATGTATATACACTGTGAATTGTCACCAACTGAAGAATCGATGATAATCAAATAACACCTAATATTCACTTTAAATTTAAAACTCTGCAAAAACTATGAATTTTCAACGTTAAATTTTGTATTATTATTATTTAAACACATAAGTATTGGTACAAAAGAAGCACCAGATATTTATGCGCTAGACAAATCTCATTTGATCTGTGTAAGGGCTATGATATTGCCTAGGTGCCCTAACTGAAGCAGGTGGTTTTCTAAGGGGGTCACACCCCGAGCCTTTTACCTAAAGGCCTAATCCACAAGGCAGTGGAGATGCAGTCTCATGGTAACCTGTGACCAAAGATTGATTCATACTCCATTTGTTTCCTCAGGATACTGAAGCTCATGTGCACCATTGGTTTGGAATAAGGGTATTAAAACTCCCCTAGGTGGACACTCTACATCCACCAACCCAGTTAAAGCGCGCGGACATTCGCCTTTTGTCCACTCAGTTTCGTAAACAACAACTGTGGCACGAGAAGGCAGTGAATAAGACTTCCCTGGCAGAGACTATATACGCGTGTCCATGTGAGAGCATTTTGAGAGTGAGAGCAGAATCTGCCCACTCATGGCCGTACTAGGGCATCATGTTTCATGACAAACATGACAACACTGAGTTGAGATGTTTAAATTCAATGACCACAAAATTTGACTCTACAATGGATTTTTAAAATGTTTGAATATAATATATAAACCATTTAGTTACTCTTGATTTTACTATTACCGAATATCATGAATATACCAAGAAACATTGGAATATCAGTTTAGCACTTGATATAAGCTTAATAACCTACTTAAATTGTTACATAACAATATCACAAGATTTACTATGACTTTGATGATCATCATTGATTTATTTTTTTATTTTACATTAGATGTCGTCGTGCCTCCTGGATCATGAGACTGTTTCCATGATCTAACGTCAGAGGTAACCCGGGTGGTGGAGATCGGCCTAATCAACCACTTTACCAATACTCGGGAACGATTACGGATGCCACATATAGTCATTGCATAATTACTGAGGGTTCAAAAGATTGGTAAAATAAATGAGTCTGCCTAAACAAAAAGACAAAAAAATGGGTTGTGAGTGTTATGTAATGGTTCTGCGTAAGCAGTGCAGAAACAGCTGTCCCGTCCCGGTAGTTGTGCCGTGCTTCGATGTAGCACTCTTCTCCAGAAAGGCCCACTAGACTTCACCATTCTATACGGCTGAAAGAGGTATAAAATAAATATTGTATTCCTACAATAATTAATTGATTTGAAAGTGATTAGTATAGAAAAATTTAAGATTATATTCATGTTATTGTTCAATTTTAATAAGTAATAACATTCACAAGATTTATTTAATATTTTACATCTTTTGAATCAATTAATTAGTATTGGAAAAAAAGATTGTTTAAATAATAAAAAAAATTATGTAATAAAACTTGATTTCTTTGTTAGCCTAAAGCCTTTCCAGTAATCATAATAATAATACTACTGATAATACTAATGATAATGATAATAATAATGGTAGTCACTTGAATGGTACCACATATTACAACCGGAAATAGATTATATATATTGTTCATATGAAAATTTCTCCAAGAAAACAAAATCTAACAAATAGATAAACTGACAAACTTTACATCATTATACATTTCAGTGACTTTTTTTTCTTAGTTATATTCCTACTTATAACCATAGAGATATTAAAGGGAAAAAGAAATAATTTGCGCAAATAAAAAATGAAGCCAACTGATCATTAGTTAAATAAAAATCAAATATTTATTTTTAAAAAACATTGACTATAGATGATGCAATAGTTAACTTTTTCATTTGTAATGACATGTTCAAGACAATACTAAACTGATCCATCTTAATGGTTCTTTTTGAAGTGAAACAATGATTGAAAAGTCTTTGAATGTAGTAATCAACAAAAATTGAACTACATACATTTCATCGTAAACTATGTTCATTATCATGTTTGTATAGATTAAAATGCTATTATTTATAAATAAAATGACCATAGATTCCATAAAACAAACCATAAATTTGTTCTTTTACAATATATGGAGACCTTAAATGATAGCGATGGATTAATGAGATATTTCTTTTTAGTTAGAGTTATTTAGTATGGTATTTTTGGCGAGGTGAGTTGCTGAACCCTTCTTCAAGTCTAGTCAATTTTCCTTGATTAAGTTTAAAGAGCGAATTTAAAGAGAAATACTTGATTTTTTTCGACTATTTTTTTCCGCTTAATACATAAGTCTATAAGAAAAATATCTATAGATTTTATGATGAATGAAACTTATAGTAAATAAAAATCATCCTGGTTTAAAGTAAGTATCACCAACATGTCTGACATGTGTTAATCGAACTAAACATAACGAAAGAAGGGTTATGTAGTTTATATTTTTTAACTAGTCTTATTTAGAAACAACTCTAACTAGCTACAGTAATTAGTAATTGAAACTCTATGTGGTTATGAAGAATCAGCGTGTGATCAGTCGAACAATCCATTTTTGAAAGGATATTTGATCATATTTACTAGGAGAAAAATTTAGTCAGTTTTCTTCATTATCGAAGTTGATTACAGTATGTTACCAAATGTCGGAAAATCATTTATAATTGGGATATGAAAATAGTATATTTGGTGCTTTTGACGTTATGGATTTTTATGCACGTCAAAACAATTCAAATTTTGAGAGTCATTTATGTAAACAACTTCTTATATGATAGATTTTGTTGAAACTGTCATGTCACATCGGTAATAGTATAGCAGAGAGACGACTTTAAAACAACCGTGACGAATAATCAACCACTTTTTAGCCAATTCAAAAACAGCATTAGTGAATGGATAGTTTGTATGAAAGTAAACGATAATATTACGAATTATAAACAGATTTTTCATCAATAATAAAACCATTAAAAGTTTCTAAAAGTTACTATGCTTGTAAACTGTGAAAAAGAAGAGACAAATTCGTCTATACGGATATATATTATCATGCTTCCAAAACACTCACATCAAGACCAAAATAAAATTTCAGTATCCATATTGTCTTTGATTAGGCTTAGGAATTTGGAGTTATGGTCTCCATTATGAATTGACTATAACTACTATGTAAAAGTGCTTTGTAGCTACATGGTACAATTATCTCAGACAAAAATCTATGAGATGCGAAATGATTAATTTGACCATAAAATATAATTTCAGCGGCTTCATGAGTATTTAAAAATTGAAGGTTTGGGGTTAAGATTTAGGTTAAGAGTTTATTTGCCTATTATGTAAAAGTTATTAAAAAAACTAATTAACAACTTAACACATTTAATACGACCACTTTAACCCTACGGAGGAAAACATTTTTGAAATCCTTTTGAACTCTCAGAATAGCATACAAAGATATTTCTATTGCTCATTATTTGTAACACATGTATATTGTACGAAAACCTCAAAACCTCCTTCTCAGCACCGATTGTCTCTTTACTGGATCATACTTTAACCAGTAAATCTGATTTTAATATCTTAAAAACCAATTTGTAACTTAATCAGATTACAAAAGCTGGAATTCAATAAATTTGGTAGAATAGTAGCTTATTTTTTAACATCAAATCTCAAAATACATTCTCATGTTGTTATCACAGAATTACTACTTAAATATTTGGAATCGTGAAAGTAAGAAATGGCTGCTTCAATACTTTGTGGATCAGACTCTTAGGTCAAAGGGTCCGGGTGCGGTCTGAGCGCCCGGGAAGTATCACAGCACCCAAACAAGCCAATGGTAACACTACTCACCTGATTGTTATTGTGTGGAGAATATGTATTTGGTTCCCTCTTGTATCAATAGGGTTCGATCTTCATACCAATGTTCACCATGTAAATCGATCAAAAACTATGAAACTCTCTATCAAAATGTTGATTCGGTTACAATTAGAATGATTATTGCGGGTGAATATTCTGGTATAGAACATGTGATTGTGGATGGTGTTGTACAAAGTATTAAATTGATCTCTGAGGAAATAAAACGATGTGTTGCTAGATTTGCATTTCAATGTGCAAAAGATAACGGTCAACGTAGTGTAATAGCTGTGCATAAAGTCTATATTATAAGAATGTCAGATGGTTTATTCCTTTGAGTATGCGGTGAAGAAACCGCACACCATAGGGAGAATGAATTTTTAGATATGTTTTTTGGATACTGTCTGCTTAAATCTTGTTCAAGATCCCACTCGTTTCGGTGTATTAATTATGTCAAACGTATATGGTGATATATTGAGCCGCTGGTTTATTTAGGGATCTAGGTATTACACCAAGCGGTAACACTGATAAAACTAGAGTTATATTTCAATCAGTACATGGTACCGCTCCTGATATTGCTGGTCAAGATCGTGTCAATTCAACTACTCAATTCATTTCAGCCATTATGATTCTTTGTTATATGAATTTATATAAATATACAGATTTGATTGAACCTTATGTATTGACCACAATATGTGAAGCGAAATATCCTACAGAAGATCTTGTCGGTCTTTCAACTTGCACTCAATATACCAACTAAGTATGTCATAGAATTAAGATTGATTCAGTTAAAGTTAACATATGTGAATCTTGCGCATATTGTACCAATAAAGCCATTATTCTAAGCAAAGTACATCTACAATTCTTAAAAATGAATAACCTTTCTGTGCTTTTGTTTAGCTTGCTCCCATTTTACTAGGTTCAGTAAATTACCAACACTAAGAACAAACAGAATGAATGACATTTTTAAAATTATTATATATTTACAATTGTACAACATTAAAAATGAATTCGCCCGAAAACAGTACTCTACACTGAACTAATTGCTTTTATATATAAATAATTTATTCACAATGAACCATGAACAAATTGATTATTCATTAATAGAGATAATTTTAACTTTAGAGAAACAAATTTTCTTTCATTTAAAATTTAAAAATAGCACGGAACTCCTCAGCAATGTTCATCCACAATCCTGCTCGCGTGATTCGAACCCAGAACATTTCGGTCACACACGCTAACGCTTAACTTCTAGACCACTGAGCTGGCCGGCATCCAACAGTGTTGATGTTTAACTTCAATTGATTCACGAAATCTCGCCACCATCCATCATTGTCCTCAGTGAGTTACCATGTCACAACAGACCTGGTTGAACTCCACTGGTCACTCTTTCTCACTAGAACTTCAGGAAATACCTTTTGAGGCAAGTTACTGGTGAGCACATGATGATTATTATTAAAAATGGGTTTTGTGGAGATTTTAGTAATTTTATAGTTTTATCTGTAAGCAAATGAAAAAAATAGGCTATTGAGATTATCTTTTTACAATACAAAATAAAATAAAACAGAACAGGCGAGATAATATCATACTGCAAAATCTATTGTATATTGAATGCCTGAAAAGAAATCTGTTTTATTAAAACAAATATATCAGTTACATGAAATCAAACAGAAAATGTCAACTAATAATAGATAAATGTATCAATCAAAGTAAAGTAACAATACGATTCCAAATTATGGAATTGCTTGAAAAAGTTTTAAAAGTCAACGTTTATCTGTTTGCTTAAAATAAGCGCATCTTAAAGTTTTTGGTCAATAATCAAACAATAAATAATACCATCAGCAATAGCCTATTGTGGTAGAGGACAAATCAGCTTCCAGCCGAAGATAAAATCAGAAAAAGACGATGTAAGTAGATAGGACACACATTGAAGAACTGGAAAATCTACAAATCAAACTGATTGTAACAGTATGCCCTACATTTATTAACCACTAAATAGATATTAAAAGTAAAAAATAATTCAGAAAGGTTTTTCGAAATATAAAGTAAGGCAAATAAGTGAGGTGCTTTTACTCTTTCCAACGTAGTAAATGAAACTATGTTTATGAAAAAAAACTATAGAATTTCTTGTCAATTAATGAAATCACTAATTTCATTTCGTTATAGTAACTTTGGACATTTTAACCCATAATGACTTACTTACTTACTTACGCCTGTTACTCCCGATGGAGCATAGGCCGCCGACCAGCATTCTCCAACCCACTCTGTCCTGGGCCTTCCTTTCTAGTTCTATCCAGTTCTTGTTCATTCTTCTCATGTCTGTCTCTATTTCTCGGCGTGATGTGTTCTTTGGTCTTCCTCTTCTCCTTTGACCTCCAGGATTCCATGTGAGGGCTTGTCTTGTGACACAATTGGGTGATTTCCTCAATGTGTGCCCAATCCACTTCCAGAGCTTCTTCCTGATTTTTTCCTCTTCTGGAATCTGGTTTTTCGTCTCCCACAGTAACTTGTTGCTGATGGTGTCTGGCCATGGGATCCGAAGTATCTTGCGTAGACAGCTGTTAATAAACACTAGTATCTTCTGGATAATGGCTTTCGTAATTCTCCACGTCTCTGCCCCATACAGTAGAACTGTCTTGACATTTGTATTGAAAACTGTGACTTTGGTGTTGGTTGACAATTGTTTTGAGCTCCAGATGTTTTCCAGTTGTAAATATACTGCTCTTGCTTTTCCGATTCTCGCCCTCACATCTGCATCTGATCCACCGTGTTCATCAATGACGCTGAACCCATAATGAACAACAAGATAAAATAATAGTAAACGGAGAATCATACAATCATCCAATCTTGATTAACTCAATAGTAAAGTAAATCACTTCAAGATACCATATCATTTTCTAATAATATTTTGACCATTCTCATTATAAAAATACTCAGTTCCAAACCATTGTTAACTTCTCTGGAGGTTAATAGAATAAAGATGGATGGTGGCTAGAAGTGGAATGCAGAATGTGAGTTTCGTCCTATTTGGGACGCGTCAGATGGGTGTACCTGTAAACAATACAAAAATGGACTATTCGAGTATATTAAAACTAATTATCAAGAACGCTTATAGCAGAAATCGATATCCATCATTAGAAACAAAGAAGTATTAATTGACTGTTCAAATTACGCAAATATAACACTACTAATCTAATTGACTGAAGTTTAAAAATTGGAACTTTTTTGACATGGCTGTGACCATATGGACCTACAGATCCTCGATTATAATTACATGTATTTAGTTATTTCAACAGAAATCTATTTACTATAGATTCCATATGTTAGTTACTCAAAATTGTAATTTCAATTAATTGAACTCATAAAAAGTTACTAAATTTCATAGTCACATGACGAACAACAACAAAAAAATGGTACAGGTTATACTTTATTTAATGCTTACTATACATATTATTTTATTAAACTTGACATTATCATCATTCTTCATACATTCTCAATTAATCAATCAACTTAGAGTTTATAGAACAATCGAATGTAAATTAAATACTTACTATATTTTATTACCATATTCATTTTTTGATCATGTTAAGTAATCAATCTCTCAAATCGAACTAAATTAGACTAGTAATAAAAATTTCGTTTGATGAATATGAATATTTTAGACTTTATTACTCTATCTGTGGTCCCAATATGATATTTAAAACAACAATGATGACACTTAATAGTCGATTTATAAAAACAAAAAAAAAACAAATAAGACCACATACATCATTATTCTGAGTGAATATAGTTTCTTAGTTTCTGGGTGGTCTAATATTCTATTTATAGATTCCTTAGAAATAAAACTAGAGAGAAAAAACACTACTACAGCTTTTGTCACATTTTTTTCACTTACTTTGATGCATTTGTCGATTAGAATTCATCGAAAAAAAAGAAACTTATGTTAATCTATTTGCAAAATTAATAAAGAAAATATATGTATTGAATCAAAACAGATTTATGTTTTCTGCCTAAACGACGTAGTTAAAACCGCCAACTATTTCATTGATCTTGAAAGTTAAATACGCTTTGTATGGTTGATTTTTAAAGAGACCTAAATATGGATTTGGAAAACTGTTGGTATTAGTAAACTTGCATCATTTTCGACGTAATCGATATGTCAGCAAACAAAAGGTGTGTAAACTAGAGAGAAATTCACTGAGTTGTACTTTATAGCTGTAAAACACGACCTATGAAAGTCAAAGAAATAAGTAGCCTGAAGGCTTTTCATAAAAAATGCCTCTGGAACATTCCTAGGAGTTCGTGAAACGACTGAGTGAGCAATTTGGGCTGAGGTTAGACTCACAGTGCTATGCAAAATTAGCGAACCGGTTGATAAGGTTGTAAATCGTCATCGGATGAGATGGTTAGGCTATGTGTTACATGTTCCTAACCACTTCTTAACGTGAAGACTCACGCTCGCTGATGTAAATATGTGTTAGGAGATAACTATAAGTAACCAAACCATAATACACCATCAGTCTGTAGTATCTGGTACAATATCAAGCCCACATGCGATATTCTAGCCTCTGGACAGACCGACTTATTAATTATTTTCCTGCCATATATTGACCTTGATAATCACTCACTTATTAATATTGACTGTTTTCATATGAGCGTATGTGTGTGCATCGCCTATCCTATTCATCAAATGTCTGTAACTTATTTTTGTCTGGCTAATCAAATCATACTGGATCAAATAGAGTCGGCTCACTCGGCCTCTTCACATCGTTTCGTTTTTCATTTTTCCACTAACATTCTCTGCGTCGATTTGTCCATTCGTTTCCGTTTCTCTGTCCAGATTAATGAGTTTACGATATATATATATATATATATATATATATATATATTAAAAATATCCATTCTAGTATTTGAGTTATTTTATTCTGTTATTGTGCAACGTGAAGTAAGTCGATAATTACGTACGAGGATAACCGAGATGTATATTTCGATAACATTGTTTTACAGTCAAACGGCCACAAAATGTCCATGAATTGATTGACTGTTGGTGTGAGCACACTTCTTAATGCATATAAGCTGGTAGGGAGTTCTGTACTCTAATCCTAATTAGTGAGTTATCGGAGACTTTGAGTGTGATGGTTTACAATCGTTCAAATTGATGCAGATGTATTTACTCTTTATATTCTTCTTGATCCTGTATTCCAGTGTTCCGTCATAAATACATTTTCTTAGTTTCTTTCCGAATTATAAATTAACTGTTGGTTTGTAGTTATAATTTTATAACGAATAAATAGAAATCTAAACCAAGACTTATCTACCGAGAAACAGCGAATTCCTCTCGTACTTACATTTTTTGTTAACTTTAACATATACCATAAAATTTAACTTTAGCAGTTATAGAAAGCAACCAAAAATCAGCAACGTTATGTCAATCCAATACTCTACTTCAATTACCACAAATCCCTAATACAAAACTAACAATAAACATAAAAGGATAACCGGTAGTGAAAACAAAAATCTATTAAAAATATATACCCTAGCGTGAGAACTACTTATTAACTAATAAAATTAACTCAATGTATTAACCGTATAAATCTGTTATTATTCATTCTTTTCATTTTATCACCAAACAAGTTTAATTCTTAGATAACTAAGCCGTTAACTATGATTACTGATTGACTGATTGTTAGTGTTTATCTTCTTTTTTTTCTCCTCACCTTATTCATATAGAAACTTGTCAATATATCATTCTAATGAATTAATCCCTAAAGAATAGTTTTAAATATTTGAAAAATTCTTTTGATCTTAACTTTTTAAAATTTATTCCATAGTTCTATATATAGATATTTATATATATCTTATTAAGTTCAAAAGAATCGCGGTATTTTCAATAAAGTTTTCAAAGAAATGGGTCAAAAGTTATTACTAGGATTAGTACCTTTATTCTTATAAATACCATCACTACCCATAATAATAATAATAATAATTCCAATCATTCTCGCTACATGTATAATACAGATTTTTAAAATAAAATTACTTTACAACGTGTTCACTGATCACTATTGAAGTTAAAGTACAATTAATCATACAAATAGATTCATGAAAATTATTTGATTATTTTAAATTATAATTAAATGAATTCAACATTTTATTATGTACCTACATTAGTTAAATAATATACTACTTATATTAATAGTTTACTTAATATTTTAAAAATTTTCACATATATTAGTAGTATACAAGATGTATGAAATAAATAAATAGAGTTTTAGTTATTTACAGTTTGTATGTAAACGAGAATTGAAGATTTTAGTTTAAGACTCAAATATAATCGGCTTCACATAAGATTATTTCGCCTAATATATAATTCCTTACTGAATGTATAAAAATAGTATATCTTGTTCTATAACGGACTTAATATTTAGATATTATATTAAGGAATAATATTAAAGGTCAATATCCTCAATGTATATGTTTAACAGTTTTTCGAACATACTAGTACATGTACAGTTTAGATAACTAGCTAAGTATATGAAAACATTATAACGTCTATATCATATCATTTCTTTTGCACATTCGAGACAAACTTATTAACTACTACTATTCACAAACGACAACAACATATTTATGTTTCCTGAAAATATCAGCCCCAAAGTATCTTTATACAATTTATTATAAATTAAGGCTTTATGAGTAGATAAGTTTAAAATGAATTTATTCACCAAGTGGAATAACTTGGTGAACTACAAAAAACCAGAAGGTAACCGGCTTCCAGGTAGTAAGACACGTAGGAACTCACCAATAAGTGGACTTAAGACACTCCCAACAAACACAATTGTTATTAATTCAAATCTACTGATAACTAGGTTTCAATTGAAATGCACAGCAGATAGAAATTCAACTAACATATTTCATAAAAGTATACTTTACTTGATAAAGGATTATAATATTGATGTGAACTATATTAAGGATAGACTTGATTTTCGATTAGAACTCATTTCAAACAATTTTATCGGTATCACCTAAACAGACAAGTTTGTAATGAGTGAGACCTCTTTAGATTTTAATCTACATATATTTTGTAGTTGTTAATAGTTGGAAATTTTCAAAAATGATTGTCAAAAACTTCTAATTTTATGTAACCATGGCGTATATGATTTTTAGTTATATATGTATTAAATCGGAAATGTATATTGCTTATACGTGAAGATTATCAGTGAATTAACTACAATGTGTAACAACTAGATAAATGATTTGAGATCCATATAATTTACAGATATTTAATGAGATATGTAGCAACAAATTAGATTACATTTTATGCTTAATTAGGTAATAAAAACAATATATCCTACTAATATATATTTTTATTGATTATTTCGTTTGACTGCTCGGCAAAAAAGAGATGATTAAAAAAGAGTGAATCCAGAGAAAATTTAGCATATTTAGAAGCACTGAATATATCTTATATGCTTGATGCTACTACGAGTCCACCTTACTCGGTAAACGGAGCGAAAGTTAATGACAAAGTGACACGATAGGCTATTATAATCTGTTGTCCCCGGCCCTGCTAACTAGATCAAGAAGTCTTGATGAGGCGTAGAAGAATGTATTCTACAAGGACCCAGAAAATACGAGGTCACTAAGTACACAAATCAAGAGTATTTGTACAATGATAGAAACGCCCCTGAGAGAGCCACAAAATAGTGTGCTAAAAAACCGTCAACCAATGACAGTCAAGGAATTTCGAGTGGGAAATGTAAGCTGTAGGTCAACTAAGCGTTTCTTGACGTGAGAACTTTAAACTCGAATTTTCAGAATAAAATTAAGAAACTAGGACTTTTTCCAAGTGAGTTCTGCGAATCCAACGTCTCCAACAATATCATAGAGCTCAATAGTCTGTAAAAGTCGAAGTATATGAAAAATCACTGTTGCTTTGAAATTCAATCAGCCTACTTATGGTTTTAGATGCTGTTCAAGTGTTAGAATATGTTGTCTGTTTCAGAAAAGGTATAAACCATCCCAATATATGTTCAAGAGACCATATCACTATGTCATATTTACACTGCGATATACTAAATAATGCGTTACGAGGAATGAATGTTAGGTCACAGACTGAGGCATTCAAAAATTGATATCGTTTACCATTCTAATATTCATTAATATAAAGATTTCACTTATACAGGAAGCCAGATGAGGCCCGAATTTCTAAATAGTGATGTTTTTAACAAAGGATGATACGCTTATGATATAACCTCCGTCGACAGTGTAAATACACCTCCTGATGAGTGCCAACTATCATGCAACAAAGATCAAATGTTTTTGGTCGATTTCATTTCACAATCTAACGCTAGACCAATGGTGGTAGCTTATAAAGATGACATGTTTTCGATAATAATAATAATAATAATAATAATAATAATAATAATAATCCTAAAGGTGACCCGTTTTAATAATACAATCGACTTATAGCAACAACATTCAGAAATAAAACTATTAATTTGCCCTTCAAGACAAAATTCTATTTACTAAGCTGTATGACAAAAATTTCAAAGTCAACATCAGAAGTAAACAAACTGATTATATTTTCCAAAATGTAAACAAGAATCATAACTTTCTTTCATTTAAAAAAGACCCAACATCAAGCATAGAAGTAAAGTGATCTTTGTTTACAAAATTTATTCGATTTCTTCTCGGATTTTTTTTCAGTAAAAGAGATTATACTGTGAAGTAGTTTTTTTTTAAAAAAAGCAACAGCACTTTTATGATTAGTTGGAACAATAGTCGCATATACACGTGAAAATCAATCACAGATTAAAATTACAGTTTATGCAAAGTAAATTTTAAAAAAAAACAAAAAAAAACAATAAGTACATCATGAGATAATCACCACGAGAAGGTGGATTTCTGGTGTATTCATTTGTATCTGTATGATTCGGAGTGATAATACATGAGAAAATAACGATTATGATAATAATATTATCCTGTAACCATTGATTCTCGACGTGGTGATTGAAGTGTAGTTAAACCATTAATTAATAAACGCATTTTAACTTTTTCTTTCTCAAGCAATTTCGACAAATGTCTAACAAATAAGAAAGAAAACACAAGAGAAAAGACATATTTAAAGTTAAATAAATCAGAATTATTATAAGACAAATTATTATACAAATGGTTTGAAATAAATGCTTAATTTACAAGATAAAAGCTGATACCATACTGTTCTTTTTTTTCAAATTAATTAATGAGTAATTTAATAAACATCAACTCAAATTTTAACTAATGATTCTTTCTTGATTTCTCACACTGTTATAATCATTTTGTAAAAATGTACTCCTCAATCAACTTTTGAACTACATTATCTCATAAAGTTACACTTTACATATCTGTATCTGTATTGCCCCCAAATGCCCTGGTACGGCTGAAAGTGGGGAGAGTCACCTCTCCCTCTCGAAATACTCTCATATGGCCAGCGAATATATAGCCTCTGCCAGGGAAGTCCTACTCACTGCCTTCTCGTGGCAGGGGTGTTGTTTACGAAAGTGAGAGGACGAAAAGCGATTGTCCGGCGCTTTAACCGGGTTGGTAGACATGGAGGGTCCACCTAGGGGAGTTGGAAAACCCTGATTCCAAACCAATGGTGCACATGGGCTCCAGGATCTTGATGGAACGAATGGCGGACGAACCTGTCATTGGTCAACGGCTACCATGGGACTGCATCTCCTCACGATGCTCCACTGCCTTGTGGATCAGACATTCATGTCAAAGGCTCCGGGTGTGGGGTCCTAAGAAAACCACCTGCTTCAGTCTGGGCACCTGAGCAGTATCACAGCCCTCACACAAATCGAATGAGATTTGTGAGGCGCATAATTATCTGGTGCTTCATTGTACCAATATTTATGTGTTTAAATAAATAAATAATAAACAACATATCTGTATTTAAGATGATGTAACATAGCTTTCTGCATCAACCTGATTATGCCTATAAAGTATCACATGGTTAGTTTTCAAGGTATTGGTGTTCTCTGTTAGACGTGTAATTTTTATTCATTTATTTATTTATTTAAACACATAAATATTCGTACAAAAGGAGCACCAGATATATATGTGCTGCACAAATCTCATTTGATTTGAGTGAGGGCTGTGATACTGCTCAGGTGCCCAAACTGAAGCAGGTGGTTTCCTTAGGAGGCCACACCCCGAGCCTTTGACCTAAAGGTCTGATCCACAAGGCATTAGAGCATCGTGAGGAGATGCAGTCTTATGGTAGCCGGTGACTGACAATTGGTTCATACTCCATTTGTTCCTTCAGGATCCTAAAGCCCATATGCACCATTGGTTTGGATTCAGGGTTTTCCAACTCCCCTAGGTGAACTTTTCATGTCCACCAACCCGGTTAGAGCGCCGGACATTCGCTTTTCGTCCTCTCAATCTCGTAAACAATTCTCCCACCACAAGAAGGCAGTGAGTAGGACTTATCTGAGAGTAGCTATGTACGCGTGGCCATGTGAGAGCATTTCAAGAGAGAGAGAGACCTCTCCCCACTTTTAGCCGTACCAGGGCATTTGGGGGCGTTCTATAATTTAATTGTGAGTCTATTACAATCTCTTTCAATACAACAATAGAAGTATAGACTCTGAAGAAAAAAAATTATAAATAAAATCACTAATTTACTGAGATTCTTCGCTTCCTAAATAACTGAATACTGGAGTTATTTTAATCTTGTAACGAGAGCATATTATATTTAATAGTTTATTTGATTCATTTGTAAATAAATAATTTGGTAAAATTAATTTCATTGCATTCAAATCCAAAGTTAATTGTAATTGAGCTAATTGTGACCAATCCGATAGATTACGTTCACTTAATAAATAAACAAAAACAAAAGCAAAAAAAACAAAAAAATAAATGAGAAAAAATCATTATTATAAGAGTGTGATCAAATGAAACACAAATGAGGCACAAATCAAAAACATTCATTACAACTAACCGTTTTAATTTAAGTTATCAATAATTAAATCAAGTTAATTCAATCGATAAGATTTGATCAGTATTAAAGTACAAGATAATATATATTGATTACTACTTATTGATTAAGTTATTGTGAATATTTCGATACTACAATAGATCAATCAGGTCGAAAAACAGTTCTGTCTTTAACATCTGGAACATTAGTTTTCAAAAATTACAAATATGCCTTGTTGTTAAATGCTGATTGGTGTAAAATCTAAACACAATGCTTCCTGTTGACTGCTTTCAATCATCTAACATCCCAACATGATCCGTGCGATACTTAATCACTCAGATTAGTGACCACATTGCAAACTGATTATTATGATATGATCAGCGCTAAAGAATTAGACAAATATGATATTGGTCATTAATTAATGATGAATTTTAGACAGGTTTGAATTTAAATTCATGCCAAGGAAAGGGAAAAAGATTTAATTCAGTTTAGAATGATCACTTTAATGTTATGGTAAGAGAGTATAAAAGTTTTTGTTAAACAATCAAGTTTACACATGAAAAAAACGAGTGTCTTTTTTATTATATATATTAGGACTAGCTTTCTGGTGTGAATTTACAATCTAAGTCGTAGACAAATAAGCCTAAATATCTATAATATGGTACATAAAAATTACTGAAGTTAAAAAAAACACTTCTTGTCTGAAAATATAAACATTGGTATAAGGGGGCACCAAATATATATGCGCCACATCTAGTCATTTGATTTGTGTGAGGGCTGTAATGTTGTCCAGGCACCCAAAGCAAAGCCGGTGACCTACTTAGGGGGCCACGCCCCAAGCCTTTGACCTAGTGGTCTAATCCACAAGGCAGTGGAGCAACGTCAAGAGATGCAGTCCCATGAGAGCCGGTGAACAATAACTGGTTCATACGCCATTTGTTCCTGAAGCCCATGTGCACCATTGGTTTGAATCGGGGTTTTCCAACTACCCTAGGTGGACCCTCCGTGTCCACTAATCCGGTTAAAGCGCTGAACATTCACTTTTTGTCCTCTCAATTTCGTAAACAACACCCTCTGTCACGAGAAGGCAGTGAGTAGGACTTCCCTGGCAGAGGCTATATATTCGCTGGCCATGTGAGAGTACTTCAAAAGAGAGAGCTGACTCTTCCCACCCTCGGCCATATCAGCCAATCTGGGTGCCTCAAAATACTTGTAAATTACTAATCATAGTGAGGTTTTCACATATAACAGCTACAAGCCGAAACTGTTTTATGGAAATTTAAGATACTAATTAGCTGTATAGAACAAAGCATATATAAAATATATTTATCTGTAAGATTACTTTAGAATCAAGTATACTACCAAACCAACTAATATTTCGATGATATGGAAAATAAACAAAAGAACAGAATATTCAGTAAGAAGAGTGAATTTTGGAACAGAATAATTTTAGAAACAGAGTAGTAAAATAATAACTAGTAACAACTCTTTTATCTAAATAAATGTTAAAATACATAAATAATCATGTATTTAAAAACAAAGAATATTTGAGCGGACAATTATTTTCAATAAATTCATCATCAGACTCTAGAGTTATCAGTCCATAATGATTGTGATATTTTACATAGGACAAAATAAAGCATGTATTAATGAAATCGACAATGTCATATGTTAAATATGGTGAACGTTTTCATCGGTATTCATTTGACTCAAGAAACATACATTTATTCTGCGATGTACTGTCCTAATTCTAAAATGAGTGACTTTTGTTAAAAGCATAAACACTTCCCATACGATCGCTTTGATACCATTTGTAAATTTTAGTTATTTTTCAAGCAACCTTTCCAATAGCAGTTAAACTAGTTACGAAAATAAGTTGATTAATTCATTGGCATAAACTTAAAAACAAATAAGACCAATCAAAGAAATGAGTTGTAAAACCTTTAAGTAACCTCGTGTGATATCACCCTTGCTGATGGAATACATACACATATATAATACAATATTATACTTTATTGCCAAATACAGGACCTTTAAGGGAAATAATTCGAAGGGGGTATAATGACTTATTTTGCATTCAAGATAATCAACAGACAAAATACACCAGTCTAACTCCGTTTTGTAGAAGTGATCGCTATCAAACGTTTCCAGCCTGACCTATGTATACAGGAGGTACGTTTGATAAGCCTTTATCTATCTAATGAAAGGATACTTGTCTGATAACGATTGTTAATTTTAAAGCTTTTTTTCAACCTTGTCCCCAACCTTTTATTATTCTTTCATCTTCTAATATTCATCTCTTACGCCAAATTGATTGATGTTCACATATTTTCACAGTTGAATTCACGGGTCAATCTAAGCTAAACCATCATTGAAAACCCAGAAACACTCGACAGGCGTATCGTCCTAGTATTGGGTTTCTCAACAAAGCACATCTACGATCCCGTACTCGAGATTTGAACGCCAACCAGTCTTGCTCGCAAAGACTTAACCTCTAAACCACTGAGTCAGGATCCAAAAGTAATAATATCTAACTTTAATCGCCCTATTATCTTGAGCAACCCTTCATTCATTGTCTGAGATGGATAATTGTCCCACACTCAACACGGATCGGACTTCACTAGTTATGGCTTCTCATTAGAACTCTAGGAAATTCATCTTGAAGCTAGTAACTAGTGAGCACATGATAATTATTATCAGTATGGAGACTTGTGAATATCGTAGTATTTTCACAAATGAACTCCCATATTGGATTCACATATTTGTTTATTTTATCATGTTGAAAGATTACCCAATCACTTATTAATTTTATTACCTTTACATAACCTTTTAATTATTACTTCCTAACTCTGTTTATTCATACACTTTGTATCCCTATTATTTTGATTATGATTTTGGTTACGTTACGAACATTTATCTAAACTATGTTAAACTTTTGTTGATAATTGTATTTATAATAATTATCGTAATTTGAGGTTGTATGCAACTGATGAAAAACCGTGAAATACAATGAATTCATTCTAATCTGTAAACCTTACTGTTCTTCCTTTGTTTAAATCAAACAAAACTATTTGACCTACACTAAGACAAATGACAATTATTATTGCAATGATAATAATGATGTTTCATAAATATTATTATGTGAACGAATCAAAAGTTAATTTATTTCATTTAAATGTAATAAATTAAAAAAACGCACCCACATATAGTCTTTACTAACCATTGTCAGTAATCCCGATAAAACTATGACGGATACATCAAAGTAGCAATGATCAATAAAATATTTGATTTCAAAAATAAAAAAAATAAAAAGTGAACCACACCAAAATCAAAGTTTTTCATTTCTGATCTATAAACCAAATGATGATAGAAAATGAATAATTAGTTAAAATGTCAAATGGGAAAAGTTTACAGATAATATTCAGCGTAACAGTGAACAGTAACATTGTGAAATTAATTCTAAGATAGAAAATAGACAGATCTATGATAAGAAAAAAATAAGGTAGTCTAGTTACCACTTCATAAAGTAACATTCCTAATGATCTTAATAAAACACTTTGTAAGAGAAAATTTAAAACAATTATTAATCATGATAACTGTACGTTATTTGGTTGTTAATGTAGCCAAGAGATCATTACCTTTCATTATATAAACAAATAAGAACTAATAATTAATTGACTATACATTCAAAATAAGTCACAGATTCTTTTCAATGATCAGTGATTTATTTTGAAGATAATTCTGTCATAACTTGTGTCCGAGTGGATGCCTCGTTAATGTATAACGTAATAAGACTGCCAATCAGAGAGCAATGACTTATCGATTGGAACAGTGACACACGGAAACCGTACGAGCAATCTTGAGTACTTGTCAGTCCTGCTTTCTGCCTAGCCCAGCCAGTTGAGTCCGGAACAGCCTCTGCGGTGTGAATCATTATATTCCAAACATACTGAGTTTAGATACAAATCAAACTGAACACATCGTACCATAAAATAGAAAATAACATATGTACAAGATTTAGCCAAGTGTGGTTGTGAATGTGGGAGGCAGTAATTAATAGACTATGGATAACTCAAGAATGGTAAATCGTATAATAATAGTTCATAGGTCAAAATAAAGCTTATAATAAGGGTAACATGAATATGAATAGTTTAGTTATTTAGAAATTATACTATAAACAAATATATGCATATTATTAGTTCATAGATAGATCCCTAAGTTACCATTCATTATCCTTATCAAGGCATAACAAATTCATTTTATATTAACAATATTCTAATTTTGATCATTTCCCTCAGAGTCATATTGTAGTGAATTAAGACTTGATGTGAGGATAATCAATTTATTGTTCAATGCAAAATCATAGAGTGCTTTCGTAAAATATGAAAAGCATACATTAAATACATAATTTGAACATTTCCCCTCAGTTTTCCTGCATGTGCTTTATGATTCTTCCAATTCTGTTGCTATTACAATTACTCTCTGTTAACATTTTTGTTTTCTTCTATTCGATCTTCTCAACCTTTTGCTGCCAGGCATTCCACTTCTGTTTGGTGTTACATACTACTTACCTCTGTCAACATAAATAGCATACACCACATTATTACCTGAAAATTCTTGTGCATCATCAAACAGAATTTACTACAACTGATAAACGATATGTTTTGAGCTGCAATATTTAAACTTGATGTTGAAGTCAGCGTATTAAAACTCTAGTAGTTATCGGTAAAATTCTTAAAACACATTAAGAGATATCATTTACTTGCTAATCGAACATCCTCACTAATTACGTAATACTGTACCAAGTATTCGATGGAACAAACTATAACTTTCAATTGGAGCCAAGTCTATAAGAATTACGATACTAATCGAATGAATAATTCCTCAAAAACTCAAAATAAGTTGTAATTTAAGTACTCAAGATCATCTTAAGTCTTCATCTACCTACACTTATTAGTTAAATGTACATGATAGCTATTTTAATATCGTTTAACATAGTATTCAATGGTGAACAGGAATGATAAAACAAATATAATAAATTGAAAACGTGAACTAGTAGAATTCTATGATTTACATTACGCTATATATACGTTCGTGGAAAGCCATGTGATTGATGCCTTTAAGATCAAGTTATACAAAGAAAGCAAACTTTTTACCAAAAAAATGCTATTTAACCGATTTACGAAGTACGAATTATAGTATTTGGAGTTCAATTTCGAACAGACAAATAATGAACACAAGTGTATCAGTGTAAACGGTTCTAAACCAACTCACTCAAAGTCTCCAACAACCCACTAACTGGGCTTATCGCGCAGACCCAACAAGGTAATATGAGTTCACTAGTGTGCTTACACCAGCAGTCAATCAATTCATGGATTGATGCTGTGTCTTGGTTTGGTCACTTGCAACTTTCTACAAACATGTATCTAAACCAGCAAGCATAGGCCTTCGCGGTAGGCGATGGTTAGGCATACGTAATACATGGCCTAACCATCACAACCGATAACGATTTACAATCTCATCAACCCGTTTCCCATCTTTGTGTAGTACTTTGAATATCACCATTGCTCACTCAGTCGTTCTACGAACAGAAAACCATTTAAATTATGTATTTAGAAGGACATCCACATCTGAACAAGTATGCATTATTAACAATAAGAATGTTCAAGTATAATTTTATTCCTTCGACTCATCGATCTACAACTTCAAAGTTTTAATACGTTACATAACTATACCATAGTCATTATTATTAAAATTAAAACAAAACTTACATTAAACGATCATGAATATATTGAATAAGATACTGAATAATTTGATGAAAAATCTCTTGTATACTAATAGAACAAATTGGTTTCCTGTCATTAGCCTCATTGATAAAATTACTTCGATAGGATGATGACGACGACTGAATGGATTTCAATCCAATGAGTAAAATTGATTCAGAATAAATATGCGATAAATTAGCTAAAACTTCTTGTAGTGAACTGTGTATGCCTAAAATAGGATGGGATTTTTCAGGCGAATGAAAAAGTAAACAAATAAATTGTAGTCTATATGTTAGGCATATATATATATATAGTAGTTTCACAGACGAACCGATGTCCATTTGCATACAATTAAGCATACCGATGATAATGCTAAATAGGAGACTCAAAATCAGTGTATACTTCCAACTTCTTTTCACAGTCAGATATTGAGCTCTACGTCGTCCAGTATTTTAATACTGGAATTTTATACACTTAAGCATCTCTTATTTCTTATTTTAGTGAATTTGAGGTTGAGAAATGTGACAACTAAAGTAATGAATACATAAGAATGTAAGGTTATAGCAAAGAAAAGTCAATAATAAAGAGATAAATGGTTATTTAAAACATCGAATCGAACAATTCTCTGTAACTAACATATAACCAACACTAACTTTACAAACCAATTATTTCAACACTCAGAACTCATTGGATAGCCTGAAATATTAATTTATACAATAAATTTTAAAGTTACATACTGTGTGCATAATAGCTTATGATAGTGGTAAGTTACAAGGAGAGAATCAGACTGGTTTCGAAGGCACAAACTGGATGATGAAGAAATTACAACTAAAAACAATGACATGCATTCATTACTAAAAGAACTATGGCAACAAAATTATAAAAACCTTACAATGTTGGAAGATAAAAGGAAATTCATAGTATAATCAGAACGAATATTTTCATGTTTTTAAATTAATAAAAACATACCATTTATTAAATATATATCATCCTTTTTCTTGGTATTTATGTATCTTTCCGATGGTAAAAGATTTAATAAATATGATTGAAGCGGTAAACATAACCATTCACTACGTAATTTCACATATCTTGAACAAATATCCTTTCGACCTTCATCCCATGCTTCATCTAAAGTAGCTTTTAATCGATCAACTGCAACATAACCCAATGACTTGTATAAATTTAATAGACGATAATTTGCATGACATGCAACCCATTCAACATTATTTAAAACTAAAAGTAATCCTCTAGCCTATATATAATTTGCAATAGAAAATAATAATAAAAAGAAAATATCACTAGATATTATTTAATCAGAACAAAAACATAGAACTGGTGTACATATATAAGAGAAACTATTTGTATTAATAAATTGAGAAAAGTGAAGCTTCATGATACAATGTATATCGTTAAATACGTTTATCCAGGCACGTCCAGCTGATAGATTGAAAACAGGGTGAAAAGTAGATTACAGATTCCACTACTAGTCACATATCATCTATTTAATTTCAATTTTTAAGGGTGAGATTATGAACAAAATTTTACTCTCTTTACACAGAACGGTGATTTGTATCAAACTGAGTGATGCTTCAAGTATAGAGTTTTACCAGCATATGTCAGTACGTCATCAAAACAGCTTCAAGAAAAACAATATTCATATACAAATATACCCCAAACTTATTGATAATAAAGCTAATCATTAGTGTCTACATTCAAGAAAACTTTCCAACATCGTAGTAGGAGGTCATGACAGGTAGAGTTAGTCACGGAATAAAGTTGGGGATTTGAAACATGTCATGATTTTCTCATAATGAGATATGGAGCTGTCTTATGCTATCATGAGTGCACACAGAAAAGGAATCCTAAAGTAGGACAAAACAGCCGTCTAATCTTCCAAGATATTTAACGGTTTCCCAAGTGACTTCTGTCCATGATGAAGAAAGCATATATTTCTGGATTTACACTAAAAGTCTATGAACTAACTTTGAGAAGCAAAACCCAATGCTACATCTTCACAAAACGATGAACGATTTGCAAGTTGTTACATTTAGAACAATGAAGACGTATTAATAAAAACTTCATACAATCATACCTGTGAAATAATGTTTTGTCCAGAATTTCGTAAATTATTAACACCTGAATCTATCCAACTCTGTTGATTATCATTAGATGATTCATCTTGACCATGGGCCCTTTGCACAGTATGTCTTAGTTTCAGTAATGAAAATGAATCATAGATATTAGATTGAAAAAAAGAGTAAACATATAGAAATAATTAACAATTAACAGTAAGTTTTACTAATTTTAAAAGTTTAGTTATTAAATTGCGCAATAAAATACTGAAGATTCTGATACTACTAAAAAATGAACAAGTAGCTCAACCATATACATGAAAAACGTAGGTATATTTGGTCGATCTGTGTACATTTTATGGCACATAAAATTAAAAGTTTTCAGAAAATATGATATGGTAAAAATGGAATTTGGATAATTCGCAAAAGCAAAACGAACCATAGAACATAATCTATCCAATAATATTAACAACGATTAGAGAATGAGAAATATCCTTGACCAGTATTAACGTGAAAATATGACTAGTAACAAATTAAATTGACTCCCACAACACATTAATAATAAAAATAACCCTGGTAAAAAAGACTGTATCATGTATAATTTTTTACTTGAATCGAAAATAAAACGTAGGACAAAAGGATAATAGCTTTAGTTTAATAATAATAATAACAAAATTTAGGTGGTACAGAATTCCGCGGATTCTCATCCATAAGCTTTATGCAATACAAAACGAGGGAAGTAATAATCTAAGTCAAATGGAAAAAATAGTATCAAGAAACTGGACATTAATAACAGATACTAATTCTACACCATGACCATTCATCAATTTCACGAAAACTTGACATAACAAAATGAAGTGAATGAAATAAGACAAATTAATTAACATTACTACTAATATGACAATTTATCATCAATCAGACGTAAATGATTCATCAGATGGAACAGTATTATTAATAAGTAACTGATAAAGACTAAATAAAGAATGTGAAATGACAGTAACCGGTGTGTTTTTTTATCGTAATGAGTGTGAATGTTATGATTTACGCAAACAGAAATTGGTGTGAAAGTGGATAAAGTGAGGAAAATTTTTTGACAGTAATTAACTTAAGAAATGCAGCAAACCACAATAACAAAAGGGATAAAAATTAGACAAGGAAATAAAAGAAACAGATTATTGGTTGGATTGGAGAGAGTGCGTAATGATATTACAAAGGATTGATACATAGAATATAAATTATTCACTAACTAACTGATTTATAGAAAGAAAAAAATGATTAGTATGTAGGGAAATAGTTCAATTCAAGATTTATCTCTCTAGGGATGCATTTATTTGTACAGTTAACAGCCTTTTTTGATGACGATAATAAAGAGAATAAAACGATTTCAGACAAACGCTATAAATATTTTATTCTAGAAATGTCAGTTGTAAGCACTTTTACTAAACAGTAAGTCAGGTACTTTTTTTCAACAAATGTGTCTTCTAAGTAGGGAGTTTTAATGCGACATAAGAAAAAAACGCTAATCAGTCGGATGTTGGTCCATTCGCTATAATTCTTTCGTTCTTATACGACTAATTCCCAATGGTTAACAATTTAAACGGTTATTTGTCCTATATGTAGGTAAATAAATACCTTATAATATATTTAATAATAATTTATGGTCTAATTCTGATAAAAATAACATTTTGCGAAAAATATTCAGTAAGCAATTATGTATGTTACAAAATTTATAACGTTTGATGATAAGCATTTATAGATGCAGAAAAAACCGTTACTCGTCAGTAAGAGGACGTAGAGATTGTTGGGTTTCATTAAAATCGTGGACCCATCTATGTTAGACCACCAGTGAAAACCTGGAGGCACTGGATGGTCATCTTGTCCTACTATTCAGTATGAGACTCCTAAGATGTGCACATCCATAACTCCACCAGGGTACGAACTCAGGTGAAACAGAACAGATATTGTCGTTCCAACACTATTCAAAGTTGTGAAGTGAACCAACTGACTGAAGTTCTGGAACGCTGAATTCCGATTTACTATTAATAGCTACCGTTTTACTTATGTACACTAACAAAGAGTTCAAAATCAGCATAAAACATCTGTTCAATATTCCCTTGCCTCTAAATTATCCCACTATAATTCCTAATTGTACACTTTTCAAAATGAATCCGTAGTGCCCATGGGCATTTCACAACATATGAGCAAACACTAAGCTTTTTCGAAAGTTTAAAACATGACTGTTTTGGGTTTTTCATGGTTAAACCTTTAAAAATTAACAAATCAAACATTCAAAATACAGTGAACATTTAGACCAAAAATACAATACAGCTGGTAAAATATAACTCCCGTTCACGTTAACTTACTCAATTTGATCAGCTAAACGTTGTGATACTGCGATGAAACTAATCATTCCTATTCCGGACCATTCTGGAAAACGTTCTTGAAGTTCATCAGAGTCAAAAAGCTAAATGAAACAAAATATCAGTTAACAAATAGACAGCTAGTGAATTTAATAAATTAAGCAAAATTAGAAAAACTTATGTTATATCATAGCAGTAATGATTTCAAAACACTATTCAGTGAATTCCTATCCTAGATGCCTATCATGAACAATTTAACTAGTGAAGACAATTTATCACCATATTCTATTGAGAAAAATACACGATAAAAAAATAATCATGCTATGCTATACATCGATGTCAATACATTCAAACACAGTGTCCTGTTTGATGAAGGAGTTAACTAACCTGTGAATCCAAATAGAAGATATGAGTTTAACAATTGAAAAAACACACTATATAGCAGTTCACTTTAAGCTAACCTACATTTGACCGTTTTTTCTTCGTCGATACTTCAATATGATCAAAACATCATATTCAATTACATCATATTTGCAAGATCGATAGATATTTGGATTCAGTCAAAATTATGATGAACTTGTAACAAAATCAAGTCATTTAATTAGTTAAATGACGAACACGAAACATAATTGTTATAATATATCACTTACATACAATACCTTTTCATTTACATACAAATGCAAGACAGTTTATTAATATATAACTGAAATTTTATTTTAATTACCATAGATGAACCTAATAGATATAATTGACAGAGAGTTAACTATCAGTGATGAAAACTTACAAAAAGCTTTTGTGGTTTGATTAATTTAAATAGATGTATTTGATTGTGAAAACCCGTCAATTCAATATTATGAAGAGTAAGTGTTTGGAATTATCTAATTGTTGATAATCATAACTAAATTTTGATCGGTCTTTATTGGCATATATGTGCATTATATGAGGATTACTTCGATATATCTATTTCAAGTTATATAGAATAGATAGATTATAGCTAGAGTAGTGGAATCTAAGAGGCGTGTTTTTTCCTATTTGTGAATTATTAGTTGGATTGGTGTCTGACGAAATCTCTGCACGGATTCAAAAAGCTCGTTTGGCTTTTGCCAACTTATGTCACTTATGGCGGAGACGAGATATCCGTCTATCAATTAAGGGACGAGTATACTCCGTAGCAGTTCGTTCTGTTCTACTTTACGGCTGTGATACATAGCAATTAAGAGTAGAAGATACTCGTAAGTTACTAGTATTTGACCACATGTTATGTAGTAGCGAAGACATAAGTACGGGTAACTTGCAGGACCTACTATTGGACTATCATTCTTATTGTATAACTATTTGGTAACTAGATTATCTAAGCTTTATTTTGATCTATTGATTATTATTGTATGATTTACTGTTCCTAAGTTATACTCAGTTTACAGCCTCATTTGGCCTGGTTTTGTACAAATATTATTTTCTATTTTATGGTGTGGATGTGGCCTGTCTGTCTGATATATAAACAAAGTATGCTTGAAATAAACGATTCGCATTACAGCAGCTGCTATTGGTGTTTTGGACTCAAGTGGACGGGTTAGGCGGATAAGGACCAATAAGGACGCTAGATTACTCATACTAATCGAACGTCATTGTCACAGTGTGAAGGTTGTAGAAGTCGTATTCTATTGGTGGACAATTTACGCGAATTACGTCCTTGTTAAATTCGTAAGGTCATAACGAATCAGCGACGACCTTGATCAAGTCATAACAATTGGCTAGCGCCTAGGACAAAAACATAACAAATTGGCGACAGCTAGGTCAAGTCATAACACCACAGATGCCTTAGAAATATTGCTCGCATGTGCTGGGATAACCGGGTAAGTAATAGTGAGGTTAGACATACGGTATTAGGGAATGATGGTAAATCAGTTGATGAGGTCATGAATCTTCATCGACTGAGATGTTTGGGCCACGTGTTACGTATGCCTGAACACCAATTACCACGACGCGCTATGATGACTAGTGTAGGGGATGGTTGGAAGAGAGTTAGAGGCGGCCAAACCAAAATGTGGCATCAGTCCACAAAGTCATTAACTTCTAGTCTGAGCCATGTTGGCAGATGCAGACTACCTGGTTGGGGTCCGCGTGACTATTGTAACCAATGGTTGGAGACTCTGTGTGACATGGCTCAGAATCGATCACAATTGCGTAGGTGTATACACTCTTTATTTTCCCTTAAACCTTAAGATTAAAATTGCTTCATAACGTTCTTCCTTCCTATACTATATCCTTATATACAACCTATCTTTTATATACTAACACCAGTAAACTAACTACTTCTATGAATTCGGTGTTCATCGTGTTGTGCTAACGTAATATGGCAACTTGGACCGATGCATAAATGTGCCTGGTCCTACGTTGTAGCTGACTGACTGACTGAGTTTAATCAATTAAATGGGTACAAAAGATTAAAGTGGAATTCTTTCACTGGAATCTATAATAAACTCTATACGATTAAATCAGTAAATCGAAAGGTTTTAATTCAAAAAAAGAGAGCAACAAACTAAATAATTATAATCTAGATTTATGAAAAATATATTACTATTCATAATGGAATAAATACTGTAGTTTAACATTTGGTAGTTATTTGTACCTACTGGTTTTTCTATTGATGTTCTCGGAAATACTTGATCTTCACAAAGTATGAATGAGTCGGCAATAATATCTTCATACAATAAAGGCTTTAAAGAAAGAGAAAAATATTTTAGAATACATAGTGTAGAACACAGTCAATTAGCACTAGGTAGTACAAAGTATTTGAAAAGAAACTCTACAGGAGATCTGTCACAGCTCAAATAGCTCTATGGTAACGTGTCACACTCCAAAGATGGGTGCTGTAGGTTTGAATTCCACAAGGAGGATTAATTCCTTCAAAGTTATAAGTATGTCTTATTAACGATTACGGTTTCCTGTCTACTAACTACACCCACTTAAAATTAATACATAAGACTAGTGAATACATCGCAATTCGATATACAGAATCATTAGTAAGGACCAAGCACACACGACACTGATCACATTATTCATTAGTCTGGTCTGTCATTAATACCTTAGCATTAAAGGAAGAAATTAACAAGATATAAGACAGAACAGAGGAACCCAGTAACAAATCCGACAGAAAGTTAAACATAAGAAACATCCTTTAAAAGGAATAAGAGTAAAGAAGGAAATTGAGACGATGTTTCACTTAAGATTCAAAAGAAAAAAATCAAGAACATTGTAGTACTAAGATTGGACTTTGGATCTTGCCATACAGCTTTTCAAGTCGTAGACTATGAAGATATCAGCAAATAAATCACAATCTAACAACATAGCAGCATCTAAGTTAAACAGTTGATAACTTCATTGACTGATATTACATCTCTATTGGATCTAACCCTAGATATCATCTAAACTAATTTTAATCAAACTAAACACTACATATCAAGCTCAGTCTCATAAATTTTTTTTAATGAATAATATATTTGCATCAATCTAACAAACAACTGAAAATGAAATTCATAGCATTTTATAAAACTAAAAGTAATCAGCAGAAAGACTTGCACTGAGCATTTTTATTTACCAACAATATTACAGGAACTGATGTTTCCATCCCATCTCTCTATCATGAGATTTAAATTTACATTAGTAGCTAAATTGTACTTTTATCGATAGAATTTGATTATACGTTAAAAACAAGAGAATATGATATTGTTCACCACCGTTGCAATAATCATTATTAATATTAACATATACTCAATTAAAATGTATTACTTATTTAATTAATTTTTTATGACAAAATAAAATATAAAAAATAATACATACAAGTTTAGTAATTCCACCATCAGTATCAGTTAAATCCACATCCCATCTTTCTTTAATTTGTAGTGTTTCGATAGCTGAAATTTACCATTTTAAAAGAATTAATAAATAATTGAGATCATGAAACGATCAATGTTAGATTATCATTGAAAATCTGGAGCACTGGACATCCATTTCGTCCCAGTATGGGACTCCTCAACAGTGCCCATCCACGATCCCGTACTCGAGATTCGAATACCCAAGACCTATGGTCTCGCACGCAAACGCTTAACCCCTAAACCACTGAGACGCGATACGAAATTTCTAATGTCCAACTTCAACCAATCCACGATATTGTGCTACAAACTTAATAACCATAGTAAATTATACAAAATGACAAACCAAGCAACAATAAGGAAAGAGATTAGTTTATGTCTTAATAGTAATTTGTTTTAAGTAATGACAAAAAAACGAAAGGTTAATCCCATAGATTATTATTATTATTATTATTATTATACGATTAACTGTTTCTAAATTATACTCAGTTTATTGATTAATAACTCCGCCTGTAGCTCTTCTAGAGTTACTGCCGGTCCCAAGCCCGGGTAAAGGAGGAGGGTTGGGCATGGGGTTAGCGACCCCATCCCGTAGAAAAGCTAACTCGCTAAAAAAACGCTAACCAGAAAAAATAATCCAAACCATTTAAACTCTGCCCTCCAAGTTGAAGGAATAATTATGACGTCTCATGATGAAAGCCGAAATTCTTCGGAAGTCACGAGACCGATGCACCTTCTAACAACCAGAGCAACACCCTTTATAGGTACATGGAACGTCCGGACAATGTGGGAGACAGGAAAGACCAGCCAAATAGCAATGGAAATGAGGAGATACAACTTGGCAGTACTCGGAATCAGCGAAACCCATTGGACACAAACTGGACAACAAAGGCTAGGTACAGGAGAGATGCTGCTGTACTCCGGTCACGAAGGGGAAAATGCGCCACACACTCAGGGAGTTGCTCTAATGCTGTCCAGAGAAGCACGAAATGCACTTGTGGGATGGGAATCTCATGGACCCAGGATAATCAAAGCATCATTCAGAACAAAGAAGGAGGGGATCACAATGAACGTTATCCAATGTTATGCACCCACCAATGATAGCAACGACGATGATAAAGATCAGTTCTATGAAAGGCTGCAATCAATTATAGCAAAGTGCTCACGAAAGGACCTCACCATCCTTATGGGAGATCTAAATGCTAAAGTTGGAGTGGACAACACAGGATATGAAGATGTAATTGGACGACATGGACTAGGAGAGAGAAATGAAAATGGGGAGAGACTTGCAAACCTATGTGCTTTCAACAAATTGGTTATAGGCGGCACAATATTCCCACACAAACGCATACACAAAGCTACATGGATCTCACCGGACCACACCACAGAGAACCAGATTGATCACATCTGTATCAACAAAAAATTCCGAAGATCAATGGAAGATGTGAGAACCCGGAGAGCAGCTGACATAGCTTCAGATCACCACCTGGTTGTGGCCAAGATGAGACTGAAGCTAAAGAAAGACTGGACAACTGGACAAACAGCACTACAAAGGTTTAATACAGCCTTCCTTCGAGATGCTGACGAGCTCCATGAATTCAAGATAACTCTCAACGACAGGTTGCAAGCTCTACAGGATCTACTGAAAGAACAAGAAACTACTTTGGAGGACAACTGGAAAAGGATAAAAGAAGCACTAACTTCAACGTGTCAGGAGGTTCTTGGTCCTAAGAAGCACCATCACAAGGAATGGATCTCTCTGGGAACCCTGGACAAAATTCAAGAAAGGAAGAACAAGAAACTAGCAATTAACAACAGCCGAACACGAGCAGAGAAAGTCAAAGCACAAGCAGACTACGCAGAAGCAAACAAGCAAGTGAAGAAAAGCATTAAAGCCGACAAGCAGAAATACATGGGAGAACTAGCAACGGCGGCGGAAAAAGCTGCAAGAGAAGGGAATATGAAACAACTATATGATACAACGAAGAAATTGGCAGGGAGATATAGCAAACCAGAGAGACCAGTCAAAGACAAAGAAGGAAAGACAATCACTGAGATTCAGGAACAGAGGAAAAGATGGGCAGAATACTTTGAGGAACTGCTGAATAGACCAGCCCCATTGAATCCACCGAACATCGAAGCAGCACACACAGACCTTCCAATAGATGTCACTCCACCAACGATCGAAGAAGTCAAGATGGCCATCAGACAAATCAAAAGTGGGAAGGCGGCAGGACCTGACAATATACCAGCTGAAGCACTGAAGTCAGACATTGAAATAACTGCAAACATGCTTCACCTTCTATTCAAAAAGATTTGGGAAGAGGAACAAGTGCCAACGGACTGGAAAGAAGGATATCTCATCAAGATACCAAAGAAAGGAGATCTGAGCCAATGTGAGAACTACAGAGGTATCAGTTTGTTATCAGTACCAGGAAAAGTTTTCAACAGAGTGCTGCTGAATCGGATGAAAGACGCAGTAGACGCCGAACTTAGGGATCATCAGGCTGGATTCCGTAAGGATCGGTCGTGCACAGACCAGATCGCGACACTACGGATCATCGTTGAACAATCAGTTGAGTGGAACTCATCACTATACGTCAACTTCATCGACTATGAGAAGGCGTTTGACAGCGTGGATAGGAGAACATTGTGGAAACTTCTTCGACACTATGGAGTTCCTCAGAAGATCGTCAACATTATCCAAAACTCATACGATGGATTACAGTGCAAAGTGGTGCATGGAGGACAGCTGACAGATGCATTTCCAGTAAGGACCGGAGTCAGACAAGGCTGTCTACTCTCCCCATTTCTCTTCCTTCTAGTGATTGACTGGATTATGAAGAATTCGACATCTGAAGGGAAATACGGAATACAATGGACTTCTCAGAATCAATTAGATGATTTGGACTTCGCAGATGACCTAGCCCTCCTCTCTCATACACACGACCAAATGCAGATGAAGACAGCAAATGTAGCAGCAGCCTCCGCATCGATAGGTCTCCACATTCACAAAGGAAAAAGCAAGATTCTCAAATGCAACACGAGGAACACCAACCCAATCACACTTGACGGCGAAACTCTGGAAGAGGTGGAAACATTCAAGTACCTGGGGAGCATCGTTGATAAACAAGGAGGATCGGATGCAGATGTAAATTCGAGGATTGGCAAAGCAAGGGCAGCATCTCTACAATTGCAGAACATATGGAACTCAAAACAACTCTCAACCAATTTCAAGGTCAGAATCTTTAATACGAACGTCAAGACAGTCCTACTGTATGGAGCTGAAACGTGGAGAACTACTACGGCCATCATCAGGAAGGTACAAGTATTTATAAACAGTTGTCTACGCAAAATACTCAACATCCATTGGCCGGATACTATCAGCAACAGCGTTTTATGGGAGAGGACAAACCAGCTTCCAGCTGAAGAGGAAATTAGGAAAAGACGTTGGAAGTGGATCGGACACACATTAAGGAAATCACCAATGTGCATCACGACTCAATCCCTAACTTGGAATCCGGAAGGGAAGCGGAAAAGAGGAAGGCCAAAGAACACACTACGCCGGGAAATAGAAGCCGATATGAAAAGGATGAATAGCAACTGGAAAGAACTGGAAAGGAAGGCTCAGGACAGAGTTGGATGGAGAATGCTGGTGAGCGGCCTATGCTCCTCGACGAGGGGTAACAGGCATAAGTAAGTAAGTAAGTTATTGATTAATGTCTCCAACGTTCACAGTCACATTTTGGCTTGATCATGTACAAATGTTATTCCCTATTTTATGGTGCGATGTGGTCTGTTTGTCTCGTATATAAACTGATTGTGCTTGAAAAAAAAAGATTGGCATAGAAAGATCTGTTATTGGTGTTCTGGAATCGACTGGAAGGGCTAGGCTGCTCATACCGCTCGTACGTAATTGGCTTGGCACAGTGCTACGATTGGGTAAGTCGGATTTCGAATGGTGAATAAATCACGTGGTAAAAATTCGGGCTGAAATACACAACTTTACTTAAATAAAAAAAGTTATTTTTTTATTTATTCAAATGACTAGTTTGCTTTTGACTAAGATAGTAGTATATTATCACTCAATTTAAATAATTACATTCACTCTTGCATGTATAACAATTTAAATACAATTTTTCATATTTTAAATAACATATATTCATACTTTAAATATTGAATTTAAATATTGAATAATAATCTAAGAAATTTTTATAAATATAATTTCATTGTAAAACTATTTTTAATAAGTTAAAATATTTACTACTTACTAAGTTGAGCACGAAGAAATATTCCACGAACAGCAAGTTTACGTAGGTCATAAGCAAGTTTAGCAAATATATCACAGATTTCAGATGACATCTCTGACAATGGTAGGGAACTACAACATTGCCTAAGAATATGTGGAAGCAAAAAAAAAATGGGAAAAATAAGTGAATAACTAAAAAATCATTAAAAACGACGAAGCACTGAACAACTGTTTCCTCCTATTACGTGGCCCTTCAATAGCTCGCACCCTCAAACCCACTAAGGATCGAATCTTTAGATTACTAAGTCCTTATTCAGTGGTTTACATTTCCGAAAAATCTCGGATTAGGACGAAACAATTGTCCAGTGTTTCTGGATCGCAATAGTTGTCTAAGGCCAGTTCACGACATAGACTATAACATTAATCTTTTAAGAAAAATACAAGATGGTTATTATCAGACAGCTCTAAAATATAAAGCGATAGTTCAAGAAATCCCTTGTCTCTGAACACAGATAACTCAGTAATAACAAACATACATAACAGTCAAAAAGAAGTTTATTACCTTATTTCGCAGACGTAAACAAAGGTGATTTCCCCTGTTAATATCAACTAGTAGATAATATTACATTATAATAAAGAAATTAAAAAAAACAATAATCCGTAAGTTTTTGGCTCTAAGATTTTACTCTCTTCGAAAATTCAGCATTTTCATTTAACACTACATTACAATCTGATATTTTTTACATATCATGTTAGTGGAAGTATGGGCAAAGATGACAAGTAAGCAGTAACCTATAATATCTCGATCTTTTCGAGTACTTGTAGTTTTAAATAATTTAACGCCATACATATGACAATTAACTAGGATTCAGTACAAAAGTTTTTGTCCTGTTTTCAAACTTAATTATGCATCAGCAACTATGAAACCACGAGGAAGTGGTAACGTACCATTACATAATGTGTGCGTCCCATATATTGGTGAGATGAGGTTATGTGAATAAAATCATACAAGTGCTACATGGAATTTTCAAAGATAAAGCAAACATTTAAGCGATGAGATCCTAGAGTTTTGACAAGTGAATCCTGTTGTTTAACTACATGCAAAATCTGAACATCGAAAACTGAGATAAGGAGTTTGGGATTCACTTTCAGAAGACCAAAGATGAAATATCGTTATCCCTAATTGTTAGCATTGATTTTACATCTGGTAAAAGGTTAAGCTGGAAAGTAAGGTAAGCAGGCAAAAATTTAAAAAGTGAAGAGTTGTTTGCAAACTGGAGTAGGGTAGGTAATCAAAGTTTCCCGGTCTCTACACTGTGGAAAAATGTCTCTTCTTGAGGAACTTAAAATTTTGCATTGTTATCAACGACCTCATCAACTTGCAAGTATAACTGAGAAGATGAAGAGACAATGGACTGAAACCGGTTACGCATGACCATCAACTGAGTGATTACTTTTGAAATCCAGACTCAACACTTTTAAACTGCATCAAAAATACTAAATAGCTGTAAGACGAGAGGGGTTAAATTTTTAAGATTAACCATTTCAAACTGTCTCCTTCCATCTACGGGAAGAAGGAACAGTTATATGTTAAATATCTGTAGTAAACGTGCTGCTACCACACTCCTGTAGTTCACAGTATTAATTAGATCTGGCATCTAACGTTTATGAATTTTTATTTTACATTCACCAACCTTCCCCCCACATCTGGGATATTAAGAACCTAAGGAACTAGTGCTCAGATCAATATCATTCGTCCAGGTTATCAGCATAGGTGTGCGCAACCACAGTATCAAGGTAGCAGCCACGTTGATTTTATGTCTGGGATATTATCGTTTTTATTACAAAAGTAGAAACTGAAGATTTCATGTAAGATAAGTAGGGAAGGATAATGACTAGATATGTTGTTAAATAATGCACATGATTAATATTACACGCAACCATTACATTTATTTCGATTTTTCACGAGAGAAAATAATGTCCATTGTTAAGCTCACACTGTGAGAATAAGAGGAATTATGAAAAGAAACATGTGAGAAAATAGAGCTACCGTTTGGTAATAAAGTTCTTTGTTTAAATCAATTTTCCCACAAACACTTAAAACTAATTAGACACAAAAATAATGATCGCAACGGATTATTATACAAAGAAAGAAATTATAGAACATAACAATATGGAATCAATCATTAAAGTTAGAACCAATGCGGAACCTAGAACATGGGCGCATTGGTTAAAGTCGCCACACAGTGAGAGGAAATTAATCAGACAAAAACCAGTATAGTAAAAGTAACAGCATTAGTATTATTAGTAGTAGTATGAAAAATTAGGGATAGATTATATGAATCGAGAAGAGAGAATGAATCTGTGGAACGGAAAGTATATGTATTTTAAAACAAAAGGTGAATGTATTGGCATCATCGTGATCGATACTGACTAATGTCACTGAATATCTCCAATCATTGGTTAGGGTTAGTTGCTAGCACCCTAATCAATAATTTTACAAATCCACATCTTTGTCTGCAGTACAAAACACTTGATATACTGCTAAGGCAATTACAAGAATGGTCAAATTTTACTAAAAGTGCTGAAATCCTTTCAAAAACGATAACCACATACGCACTTTCGCTAATTCACTTTTACGCATAACCTTTGACCTTCTTCCGACTAGTCGTTGTGGCTTTTAATTCGCTAAATTCGTCCGCTTGAAGGCCAGGTTATGTTACTATATATTTACGGAGTTATATCAGTTCGTTTTAAACTGCTTGTTCTACCTCAAATATCAAATTTCCCTATAATTCATATTCTCCTTGTATTAGCCACCGCGTGTTGTTGTGGTGTGTGTAAACTACCATTGTTGATTACGCAGAGGATCGATTATATTAGAACAGCTCAAACATTTTCCTCAAATCCATAAATATTGTAGAATCGTACTAAACCCCAATAACGGAATACAACGTGAATATCCAATTGATAAATCATAAATAACCTTCATGTTACATATGTATTGTATTAATTTGGTCAACTTAGTACTAGTTTTAATATTATGTGTGGTCTAAAATCTGTTCTACTAATCTGGGTACGATTACGACACTCATCATAAACTTAGTCAGTCATGAATTGTAAACACAAGATAAATTAAAAGAGCATTTACAAGTTTGCTTTAATCAAGTATTTCGAACTAAGATCAATATCAGTATCGTGAATAAGGTTTATTTAAATATGCTCAGATATAACTAATTAAGAAGTGATGGGTAAAGGTAAAGTAAATTACAATTTTTCATGTCAAAGGAACACATTATTAATAAAGGATTTTATGACTGATTATATTAAAATTCAAAATAAATACTGATAAAAACAATTGTTTCAAATCCATGAAAGGATCTGACAATTTGAAACTTTCCAATGTATGGAATGGTAAAGAAATTTTAACGCGTTAAGGAAATAGTTGATTTTTGCATAGTTTCAAGATGGAAGTATAATAACAGTCAAAATGTAAGCAGAGATGATGATGGCTAACAGTGGTATTCAACTGAATGTACCTGTATACCCAGGTTGATGTTGATTCCAGGGCTCAAACCCAGTACCGTTCGCTTCAAACGCTGTCGCGTTATCCACTAAGTTACTAAGTCCATAAAGCCAAACTCTGGTACAGTGGGGTAAAGTTTAATTTACTTTTGTATTGGTTGTTTGAATCTTCCCATTAACGTTTGGGACTGCAATTGATCAGTCTCTTATTGACATATGTGCATCCTGCTTACAATGCTTATAACTTAAGGCAATATTGAGGCGATCCACACAGGATCAATGGGAAGATTCAAACAACCAATACAAAAATGAATTAACAACTAAAATAATTTCAAAAAGTCTAGAGACAACAAACCAATTACGAGAACTGTTATAGCTATTACTTACATGCAGTCATGAGTTAAAACAATTTTTTAAAATTATCAGTTGGGATCATAATTGATTCGTGTTACTCTGTTAAATAATGAACTAATGTGTGCTTCCATTCCGTTTTAAGTTTATGTGTCCTTCTGTAACACTGAATATTGTAAGCATAATTTTAACTGGTTATTAATGCCACAATTAAAATAATTAAAAACATTTGTAGAAAACTGACTTACCTATATTCTTTTATACACTCTAATAAATGATCAGTTAATGAAGTTTCATTAGATGTAGTGCTGAAAGCTTCAAGAACAATATCACGCATGTGATTGGACACAGAGTGTACAAGTTCCAAATTGATTTGCTGAGATAAATATTTAAAATAAAAACCAGTGGAAGATTTGGAAAGAAAAGACAAAATATTTAGGCATATATTTTACAGGTAATTACGTTGGACTCAATTTTGATGCATACATAATAAAACGTATTTTCAATTGATCAACCAGTTAGTCATTTATAATCAACGTGAAGACTAAGTTCAAATTCTCATGCAATAATAAAAGGAAACAAAATCAATTGGATTAAATAGCAAGAAAATAAAAATAATAATCGAAGTAGCAATGATAATGAGGAACAGTAAGATTTGAGCATATTATTCAAGAAGAAATGAAAAGTTGTGTATGGACAAATACTAAAACTTACTATCTAAATTAGCTGGCATTATTCTAATTACTTCAAATTGAGCACCTGGATAGTATTAATAGCTACCCCATATAAAAAGTGTAGCTCTAAGTCAAGTACATAAATCTGTATTTGTTAAATGAGCTTTACTAAGGAGATACATATTGAAGATATAAAGTATATATTCAATTAATCAAAACTGCATAAACAGTTGCGACAATTTATTGTTAATTTTCTGGATAAAATGGACGTTTTAACCATCTAACTCCATATAAAAGATAACCTTCATGATTATTAAGTAACTAACTAATAACATAACCATAAACTCATAAAAAGGGGTAGATTTGACTTTCTTCTGGAAAAAAATCAACATTTGAAATCAATACTATCAGAAATAATGATTATACGAGCGGTATTTCTCCTGTAATCCTCCAAAAGAGATACACAACATTACCAAAAAACCTAAACAGACATATATATATATATATATATATATATATATATATATAATTTCGTAACTTACCAGCCATGCCGCTTTCGGATCATTTGTTGACGACGTCTGATCAAGTTTATCATAAGATTTCTGTGTATAGAAAAAGAAACAAACTAATAGATATTTTCTTCAATCTAATCCTATGATAATAATAATCCAACTTACCAAATACATGTTTATGTATCAGTCTCCTGTGAGTCTTCTCAGGCTGATAATATCAACTTAACTACTTCCTAATCAAACTAAAATAAAATGACTGACTATCAAGTCTATTATTATTTATTTATTTAAACACATAAATATTGGTACAAGGAAGTACCAGATAAATATGCGCCTCACAAATCTCATTTGATTTATGTGAGGGCTGTGATACTGCCCAGGTGCCCAGACTAAAGCAGGTGGTTTTCTTAGGGAGCCACACCCCAAGCCTTTGACCTGAATGTCTAGTCCACAAGGTAGTGGAGCATCTTAAGGATATGCAATCCCATGGTAGCCGGTGACCAACGATTGGTTCATACGCCATTTGTTCCTTCAGGATCCTAGAGCCCATGTGCACCATTGGCTTGGATTCAGGGTTTTCCAACTCCCCTAGGTGGACCCTCCATGTCCACCAACCCGGTTAAAGCGCCGGACATTCGCTTTTCGTCCTCTCACTTTTGTGAACAACACCCTCGCCACGAGAAGGCAGTGAGTAGGACTTCCCTGGCAGAGGTTATATATTCGCGTGGCCATGTGAGAGAATTTCGAGAGGGAGAGCAAACTCTCCCCACTCTCGGCCATACCAGGGCATTTGGCGGCTATCAAGTCTACAATTTAAATGGTCAAAAGTTTAGTGCTCTACCCCCCCCCTTAATGCTCTATATTAATCATTAAGTCACCACATTAACAGAAATAGGTGTACATATAATATCTGTAATTTCAGTGAATGTATACTTCATATTATATAGAAGAGTACCAATACTCATAGTTATATATATATATATATATATATATATATATATCCAATTAATTTAATTTAATCGTATTTTAAATCTTAACATTTCTATTTCTGTTAAACAAATGAATAAATGGGAAATATAATGATTGCATCAGAGATTTAACTAATAATTCATCTATTCTTTACAAACATAAGACTTTCAAAAATTGGAGCTAATTGTAAATTACGTTGGCTAATTAATAATAATAATAATAATAATAATAATAATAATAATAATAATAACTACTTTTTATGTTCATTTCGCATTCTTTATAAATAATGCTTAAATAAAAAATATGAAACACTGTTAAATGAATATTTTCAAAACCAACTTGATTGTTATAATTTAACTGTCCCGAAATATAAGCTGTACCCAAACGCCAAAATTGAATAACATGTGTAGTAAGTAAACGACATACTGCTTTCACCATACCAACCATTGGTGGGACACCATAAAAGTCTAAATTATAATCAAACAAGAATTTTATGTTTATTCATTTTATAATATTAGTGATTATATATGATCGACATCGTAGTACAAGTTTTACGGTAGAAAAATTTTATGAGTTATGAAATGTATATTACATCATAGGTGATAAATATGACAAATGGTTATCTTTTCATCTTAAAAGAAAACTCAACTGTATTTGCACAACTGACATTGGTAATTAGAAATTTTAGAAGTTGAATTCATGAGTCCATCGACTAATGAATTCAACTACTAAAGCTATTACAGTCTCCACAAACTCCCATTCTGATAGATAGAAATTTGTCCGATTTTATTCATAAGGCAATAACATAGTGTAATAATTTCCCTGTATCAAACAATAATCATTTGGGGGTTACTAATAAAAAAATAATGACTATTTACAAATTAGAATCCAGTATACTCAGTAGCAAGTCCAACTAATTAGAAAGTGAAACTTATCTATCTACAAAATCAAAACTTTCACATGTCAAACTAAATAAGTCAAGATAAATATATCCAAAAATTATATTGTTTAGCGCTTCGTGACTTAGCGTAGGCTCCATCTTCAGAGTAAATAAGTAACAGAATTAAATTATTTATTCGGTAAAAGTGACTTACATTAAATCACGAAACAAAAAATATAATTTCCTACTTACTGGGAAACCATAAACAGTATATTTATTCTTAAATTTCTACCTCATTCTCAATTTATTTGAAACTATCAAGTCCAACGTTGGCATTGATACTGACTAAATAGGTTAAGGATGAGAATAAAAGTCAATTTTTGATAGATTGCTTCTACTGATATGCTACCAGATAAATACTTAATGTATCTGTCTATCACAGTTTATAAATTATTCAATAGTCTGTTATCGTTATTTATTGGTGTAATCTTTCTAATGACCATAAGGGCTATCCATCAATATATAGAAAGTAAACAGTTTTTTAGGTTATGCACACAACAAAATTATTTTGTTTCAAGTTTCTAAAATTTCATACCACCAGAACTTGAAGTAACAATAATAATTAAACTTGGACCAATAATCACCAATATTTTTAACTAAAATCTAGAATTTATTAACCTTAAAGGATGGAATTGATAAAAACTGCTTCAACTGTACGAAATGATACAATTGACATTTTTCATAGATTGCATACTATGCCACAATTCTTAGTGAATCCACCACAGAAATGAACTGACATCGGAATGTGAAATGCATAAAACTTTGTCCATTTATATAGTTAATTTGGAATTTAGAGGTATTGTGATGGCTATTATTTATGCTTACTTATTTACTCCGCCTGTAGCTCCTCCGGGGGTTACTGCCTGTCCCAAGCCCGGGTAAGGGAGGAAGGTTGGGCATGGGGTTAGCGAGCCCATCCCGTAGAAAACCAACTCGCTAAAAAAACGCTATTATTTATGCAGACAGATATAATTAGTATCTAATAGGAATTGGAAGTAAAATGCTCACCAGTAGAAGAATGAAATAAAACGAGGGAGATAAACAGAGAGCAGCCGGAATAACAACAGAATTGAAAGGATAATTGACATTGTAAAGGATAACTCAAGGAAGATGTGCAAATGATGTGTGGTTTTTACATTTTACAAAGGCACTGTGTGATTTTTTATACAAAAATAAATTGGTTTACCCCACTTAAATTTGTTTATTATAGTATCTGTGTCAAGATTATTTATCAACAAATCACGTGAAGATATTAATATCTAAACATTAGGATTCTCTGTTTAATTAATAACAAAAATTAGGTGAAATCCTTTAGTGAGTAGCAAAGAAACTAAAATAATGAGATAAATCTTAATTGGTACAGAAGCTAATTAGACACCATCTACAAATTGAATGATATACTTCATTATTTTTATAAAGATCACGAACCAGTCAAAGTGAGACAACCAGTGGAAACCTGGAAGTACTGGACGCTCCTCAGAAGTCAGTGTGCATGACCGCGAAAACGGGAATCACACCCAGGACCTCTGATCTCACGCGAGGTCGCTTAACATCTAGAACACTGAGTCCAACATAGATAAGTTTTTGATCTTAATAAAAATCCAGCTATCTTCAGAGCCCCGTACTGATACTTTGTTCGTTATTGAAAATTCTGTAAAACACAAACCCAGTGTATTCACAGTGTTAAGAGATGAAAACATATAAATCATAATATTAGCAAAACGTCTATAAAGATAAAATAGAATGTTGAAATTCATAGTTTTAATATATATATATATATATATATATATATATATATATATATGATGATGCACTATCTGACGCGGGAGATAGCTTACTAACCTTCAGCAAATAAGATAAATGAATCAGGATTCATTACAGACGATTTACTATCCACGGAGAGAAGATTGCCAATGATATTAGAACCATCAAACTGTTTACTTTTCATGGAATTACCATCGACCATATCTTGATGAGATATACGTTGGTAATTACGTAATTGATCGATCAGCCAATCTTTGAAATATGTCAAACATAACCAACCAGGATCATAATCCACTTCTAATTGTGTCAGATACCTACAAAACGGTATTAACAAGGTACCCACAATATATTTTTGAATAACATACTTTCACTAAGGTAGATGCATGAATACTTTGAACGATTAGGAAGCAACTATCAATCCAAAATGAATTCTATTGAAAATCAAGGAGCAATGTACAGCTATGTCGCTCTAGTTCGGCACTCCACAGTAGAGCGTACCTCCAGACCTAACGGAGAACGAAGCAAACACCTTTACTATTTCTGGAGAACATGATAACTTCAGAGCATAGAATTGGAATTAAGTGGCCTATTTCTTCAACTTTATACGATTTATAATATAGTACAATGACTCACATCCAATGTCATTAGTGACTTAATGCTTTAGACTTGTTTGACTACACAAGTAACAGTTTCCCAGCAAGATCAAGGACTGAATTTCGAATTAGTATTTTTAAAAATCGTGTAAGCTACAAGATTCCAAGATAACTAGTTCCACCCAGTGTGTGTGATCCCAACTTCATCTTACTCAGAAGCTCTAAAACAGAACAAAGCTGTCTAGTGCTTCCTAACTTTCAACGTTTCTCTAATTTATATGTAGTTTTTATGATTTAGGTCACTTCCAGAATTGTAATAAAAAATATCAAATACTTTTCTCCAACATAATTTATCAAGACAGCAAATGCATTGACTTCATCACTCAATAATCAAGACAATTAGAAATTGGTAGTTTTTAGTCAATATATGGAGCCAAAACAACTGATTTTATATAAACACAATAACATCTGTGAAGTAGACAACTTGATTTTTCGCCAATATTACCGATGAAGTAACAAACGATCTATAGAGATACCCGGCTATCAAACATCTTTTGCGCAAATAAAACTTTCTTACTCTACCATCTTTCCTACATATCCTTACAGTATTTCTTTACATCACTGAAAATATGATTAGAACCTACTCTTTCGTTTTATTTCTCTCTCTGTGTTTGAGTGTCTTGTACATTGAACTTACAAATACATACACAAACAAAATATGGAGTAGAGTAAAAAGTATAACTAACGATAAGCACTAAGTAAGAAAGACAATGATGTCTATAACGCCTAAACCTATACAAATATACCATACTTCAAATATCAGAGAATCAGATATATTCACTAAATCATAATATCAGTACCAAACAGGAAAGAGTAGATCACTAAAAACAAGAAATTCAGTGGAAAGATTTTCCCAATTAATGTAGTACAGTTTCGTAAATAAAAACGAAGTTTTGAAAGGATAGATTTTATATGGGAATATAAACAACAAATAATCATGACAACTGCAACAATAGGAAGTTATGACTTATATCCCTGTCTAATATTGCGCGAAAAAGGCACTAATAACTTTCAGTCAACACTAAGCTCTTATTGGTCCTTGTTTTGGTAGCTCCCTCCTTGCCCTGCCCGTTGATTCCAGAACACAGTAATCAGCCCCCATTATATGAATATTATATTTCAACTAAACGTAGTTTATATACAAGCAGACCAGACTGGATCACATCATAAAATGAAAAATAATAATTATACATGATCAACCCAAAAGTGACTGTGAGCAGGGGAGAGTATGAATAACAAACTGGCAACAGATTACTAATAAATCATACAACAGTAGTTAATTGGTCGGATGAAAACTTATGATAAGAAGGATACAAATATCTAATAATCTAGTTACATAATAATTACACAATAACAATAAACATACATTGATAGTCCATAAATTAATTCTGGCAGTTAGTCTTCGTCAAGTATAACAGAAATAATGTGTTGATGAGAGCGAAAACCTTTTTTAAACGGTAAAATGTGGCTCATGATCCATCAAGGAAGCAAAAAATCTGACTAGATATAAATCTATATAGATCTTGAACTGCGAAAAACTAATTCTCAATTTGACGAAGTCTTTTTTTTAGCTGGAGTCAATGCTCTCAAACCATCCCATGATTTTAATAGTTGAAGTCATGAGTCAATCTAAGCTAAACCACCACAGTAGGCTCAGATGCACTGGATGGACGTTTTGTCCTAGTGTGGGACTCCACAACAGTGTGCATCCACGATCCCGTAATCGAGATTCGAACGCCTATGACCTTCGGTCTTGCGCACAAACCCTTAACCTCTACACCAATGAGTCGAGATCCTAAAGTATTAATGTCTAACTGTAATCGACCCATGATCTTGCGCGACTCATCTATTGTTTGAGGTGAATAACTGTCTCACACCCAACACGGATTGAACCCCACTGGTCACGCCTTCCCATGATTATTCTTTCTAATCCATGACAATTATATGAAATAAGACTGAATCCATATCTACGGTCAATGTTAATAACTATAAATAAATGTGTCTGCAATTCAATTACCAGGTAATAGGTTTATATTCCTTGTCTCAAGTTCATTGCATACTTTTGCAAAATAGAAAATCAAGTGGAAATTAGGCATAATCTACTAATTATATAAAGGTTCAGTAGGGGCCATTGAGCCTCGAAAATGACTGAAACAAAATCACATCTTCAAAAGATGATATCTGTTTTGTGATGTGCATATCTTTTTTGCGGTCATATCAAGAACCATTGGCGTCAAAAATCAATGCAAGAAAATTTAGCGATTTTAAGAAAAACGAATGGTTCTCATACTATTTAAATTAGAATGTGCTTTTTCGAAGAACTAATTTAAACCAGAAAATCAGCTAGGTGCACAACAGCATGAGTCTTAGATAGGCGCCCGATAATTATTAAGGCTAGTATTTTAAATGCTATATTAATCAAACTAATCCCTCTACGCTTAGAACAGGATGATTTTGACTTCTTCTTATATATTGGGACAAGCAGTGATTGCGATCATTTAGATGAAATTACATTCAGTTCTCAGATTTTAGCGAAAATATTATTCAACTTAAAACTGGACCAACATCCTTAAAGACCTCTGGAGTTAGTCCATTTGGACGAGCTTCTCTTCATCGTTTCAGATTAACTACAGCTTCTTGAACTTCAATTAGAGTCGGGAAGTCTAATTCAATGTTCCATACAGGATGTTTGGGAATGGCGGCTAGCTGTAGAGTAGCTGAAGGCCAGCTGAACTGCACCTTAAAGTGTTCCGCCCATCGTTCTAAACGTCTGGACTGAGAGCAGATAAGAGTGTCATCTTTTTCCGAAATCCTCTCACACTTGAATACTTAATTCCCGTTTCTTTTATTCGCCTGAGGAGTTGTCTTGTGTTACCTACAGCCATTGCCTTCTCCATCTCTTTTTCTCTCGTCGCCAAAAACTGCTCACGATCGTTCCCGTAGATTGCTGGTTGACCTAGATCCGTTTCTCGCTCCTCATCATGTCACGAGCCTGATGGAATACGTTTACGAGTCTATCAGTGCAATGGACTTGGCAGAAATCCATTGTTTTTACGTAACCCTTTGGTGTAAATCACTGATAAATGTCACTGCTGTTTCCACAGTTGTTTGCATATCTTTCCTAGCAGCATCTGGGTCACCCTCGTTCACAGAACTGCCTAAGTGTGACCTCACTTGTTCCCGGAATCTACTTTTGGCTTTCTTGTCACTTAGTTCAATTCTAATGCGTCTTCCTAGTGTGGTTTTTCTGCGTCCAGTGAGGCTCAAGCAAATGCATGCTCGTATTAGAGCATGATCGGAGTTCAAACAGCTATTTCAGAACGAGCGACAATCTTCTATCGAGCCTCTCCAACGATAACTGATGACAATATGGTCTATTTGAGTTCATCAACGGTTTGGTGCAGAGGTCTCTGCCATGTTAGACGATTCCTCTCTTTATGCCTAAAATTAGTTTTTGCTAAAAATATACGGTTGTCTGAGCACAGCTACAACAGACGGTCACCATCATCTGTTCGCTGAACCGGAATATCAAAATACACACCTAAATGTCTTTCTGTTTGGTTTAGGCCACTTACTTGTGTATGCAAGTCAACTGGTACGAGTACTATGTCTGATTGTTAGGCTTTACAGAAAAGTTCAGAAAGCTTTCTGTAAAAGTCATCTTTCACTTCATTCGGGCTGCAGTCAGTGGGCAAGTAGACAGAAACGACGAAAAGACAACGCGTGTCCCTATCCTTCCGAGTTCATACGGAGCCGTTTAGCCGAACAGCACATAGGCGACTGTTAACGGGGATCCATTCTATTAGTGATTGTTCTGCCCTCGTACTTAGTGCTATGCCTACACCTGAAAGTTCACGAGAACTTTCCGTCGGGTCGCCAGATACACGGAGGGTGTATCTCATCGGTTCTCTGTTATGGTAAGGTGAGGTCAAGTGAATGACCATGTTAAGATCCTGTATACGTATTTCAGAGCCATAGCATTCATCAATGGAACGAAATTCTAGGGTTTTAGCCAAGGAAGACTGCTAGCCGATTTGACACAGGGTACATACGTTGAAGGCTACAATGTGTAGTTTGGAGCAAAGTTTCAGAAGACCTGGAACACTGTTCTGCGCACTAGAATCCTTGGTCATGGTGACACTTGAGGAGGAAACCAAAAGAGGAAGTTTGGAGTTGATAAGTCGATGTAGGAGGAATAATAAGAATTGAAGAGGGAGATTGATTATGAATACAGTAATTTTGAGTTCTGTTAGAGGTACGACGGTGGTTATCACTTCCCGGTCGATCACAACGTGGAAGGGTACTTCTGGAGGTACCTGAAAAAGAATTCGGGTGAGGGGGTCTTAGTGACTCGAGAGTTTAACCGCAGTGCCCAAGAGATAACTGCTTGGGGTCAGTCACACACATTTTTGTGAGTAGTTTTCGTGTTAGCACAGTACTTGTTGAGACATTACCGCCAGGGACTGATATCCATGGGACAAGGCGAGGTGTGCATTTTTAGGGTCGGTCTTTTCTAACCCCACCACTCCTTGTGGGAAGACAGCATCGCTGTTATGTTGGTTGCTTGAAGGGAACACCTTACCGCCGTCACAACTCTGTACAGTCAGCAGTACGACTTCGCCTTCGGACCTTGGGTTTTCTGCTTTTAGTCTTACTGTTCTTCAGTCGACCTGTCTAGCATGGTAGGACCTTGAGGGACGATTGTTCCAGTCAGTATAGCTCGACTGCTTCATTACGACAGGCAAGCCCGACCACCACATCAAGGTAGCAACAACTATTTTACTATTTTAAAGCCATTTCTAACTTAAGGTAAGCATCGACAGACTAAAATAACCACTATATAGGATAAAAAGTATATAGCCTGAATGTAGGAAAGAACAACTGTTATAAGAGATACTGTGGTCGGTACATAAATCAGAGTAGGTAAGCATTGAATGACCCTCCTCTATTATTATAACAAGGACCACAACATAGAATGAAGAAATGTGTTTCAAGGGGTTTTGAAAGTTGTCGATAAATTTATGCAAAGAGCTATCTTTTATAGCGAAAATTAGCTTAGAACAATGAAGAACTGAAAACTTCATGTTTGGGGTAATCACGACTCAACCATTAGGATTTTTTAAACAAAATAATCTTTTTTTATTTTACAGAATCTTGCAGTAAACAGTACATAAAAATAAATCGTATGTTGGCGAAATAAACTAAAATTGATCAGGTAACTAATAGGTTATCAACCATAACAAAAAAAATTATTTTATAAATTCTGTTACCAAAGTAGTGACTCTACCAATAATACTTTAAAAACCCTCTATATGACAGGTCAAACAACTTTTACAATATCCTACTGGTCTATTTAATTATCTTATTCATTTGAAACACATAAATGTTGATGCCAATGGGCATCAAAATAAATAAGCGTCATTCAAATAAAAACATGAAATCTTGAAGGGATATATAAAGGAGAAAGAATATGATAGAAACAAATTAATAAATAGAAAGATAAGTGAATGAGATTAGTTCGTATTAGAAACAGTTCGTTTGAAAAAGTACGGAAAGGAATAATTTTTCCAACTAACGGGATTGATTTCACATTTATGAGCAATGTAAAAAAAAAGCACTGTTATCTGTTTTGAGCTATGTCTATGATAACTTCTCAAGCAATTGAGTCTCATAATCTATTGTACACCAACCAAGGAATCATAATGAACTGATAGATGCCCTACCTAGAGAAATTTCTTTCATACAACGGCTCCACTTCATAAAGTAATCAAATATATAATGATTATTATTAATAAAGACAATGTTCTCGATCCTATTTGTGAGTTATATCATAATTGTACTAAATTTTTCGAATAAATTTAATTTCATTTAAACAAAACACAACAATTTAACTTACCCAATTTTATGTCTCGCATCATCACAATCAATTGGCATAGAAATTAGTTGTTTACGAAGCATAACAGAAAATTTAGCAACCACATTTTCGACATCAATATAAACTAGAAAAATAAGAAGGAACTTTTTGAAGGGCGAATTGTAATATCAGTGCTTTTTTTCTATGGAAAGGAAACACTTTAGACATAGTTACAATAGTTTAAAATCTTATTAAAAATGAAGACAATTGTTTAGTTACTATTTAAACTATCAATGAAATTGGGGAGAATAAACAAATTTATATTGTACAGGATTCCTCTTTTCATATAAATGGTACGCTTTGTTCCTCTATCTGTTGCTTACGGTTAAAATAATGACTTTATACGTTTCAAGATACGTAAGTAGTGTTTGGGATAGTTTTGAGTCCGCTTAAACCAGCTTACAACATACCACTTCTTTCAGTAAGTTTGAATTTTAGTGTTTACAAACTAAAGTGCAGCAGTAAAAAGAATTTTTTTTTGTTTTTGGTTTGTTGACCTTTTAAACAAGCTTACGTGTTGTACTACTCTTGAGGACAACGCAAAGTCACGTATACACGCAATAGATGCTCCCTTAGCTTAAACTTTCCTGGTATTTTCATTAAATCGTCTAAGAAGGATTATGTTATAAATTAACTAGGACTAAAAGGGAGCGATAAGAGGATTTTCTGTTTTTAATTTCAAAGAAATCGAAGCTAGGAGTTTTTCATCGTGTAGTCAAAGTGTTTAATGAACGAAACAGCAGTTAAATTACATGCTATATTACTTTGGCTGCCTAAGACATATGTAATTTTTTTACTTCTATTTTTCACCAAGTCTACACTGAGTTGTGAAAAGTAAGAGACCAATACAACAACATAACAAAAGTTGCTGTAAACCGGAAATCGGCTTCAATACTAGTTGTGAATCAAATTATCTCCATAGTTAACAACAAGAACTGATCTTAGTTAGGCACCTATTGAACGAGTGCTTAACGTTTATATATATATATATATATATATATATATATATATATATATATATATATATATATATTACTAAATACACTACTTAATAGTATGTTGAATAATAACAATAAATTGATCACACATTTCATCTATGCACATCCAATATGTCAACTGTAGAGAAAGTACAGTAAACAGAATGTTCAGGTAATTAAAAAACCAATCTGTGATAAACACTTAAAAACTAACTAGGCAACCTATAGTGAGGTAAACGTGTCACCTTACTGCTATACAACAATACTCGACAAATCTTGCACAAACCCACTGTATGTTTGTAGAAAATTTCACATTGTAATCATTTCCTATCTTCATATAAATATTATACTGAATTGAATGGTATTATTTTTAGGAAAAAAATTCTACTATAGATCCAAACTCACCACGGCGTAGAACTTCAGCATCTGAATTGGAGAATAATGATTTCGCACGTAAGTAATCATTTAATACCAAATTGTAATCACCCTGCAATAACACGAGTCACATGGAATGGAGGGGAAAAAAGAAACATAATAAGATAATCAAATTAAATTTTCAGTTTGAGGTTGTGGAGATTGCTGAATTTCATTGAAATCATGAATCGACCAATGTTAGACCATCATTGAAAATCTGGGAGCACTGGACAGCCGACTCGTCCTAGTATAAAACTCAGCAGTGCGCATTCATAATCCCGCACGCGGAATGAGAATACAAGACATTCGATATCGTGTGCAAATACTTAAAATCTAGACGACTGAGTCGTCATACAACGGTGTTAATGTGGTCTAATATTGGTCGGGTCATGATTTCAATGAAATTAAATTTCTTCATTAGGAAACTTTAAGGGAAATTACCATAAAGTTAAAAAGTTTAACATTGTGAGAATTGAGTTGATTAACTGAAAAACCCCTTCCACGCAAAGATTTCTTATGTAACTGCTTTAAAAAGAGCCAGTACATTTGACTTTGTGGATACTATTAAATGAGGATTCTAATGGAAATAGATGACCAGATGTTTAACAATGATACTACTACGATAGACTTTTTTTCTTCTGAATGTTATTCCACACAAACTACCTTTTTAAATACTCAGGTCTATATTACAAGATTTCAAAACACGCCTTCGAATAAAGAGCAATAAATTATTAGCGAACAAAAAGCCTAACTTTTAATCACTAGACTAGAGGTTCAAAAACTACCTTACCCTACGTTAGTTTCAGCGACCGAGTATCATCATACTAGATATGGAACAAAACCGAGTCTGATTGAACGTCTCCCTAAACAATTATAGTAGAGCACAAAGAACAACATTTCTACGAAGATTACCATCATTTATTTGAGAAAATAAGGAATGTATATAACATCTTACTTTGGATATATTTGTTCGAATAGCATGTGGTAGATTGAACAGGAACTGATAACGTTGCAAAACAGATATAGCATTTTTAATTGAATCACCCCTATCTCTACGTTTTAAAATATCTTCAAATAAACGGTGACCAAGTGTACGGGTATCTGAAGTAATCGAAGGATATAAAAGTTATGATTATAATCTTTCAAGTAATTGCTTTCATTTAATTTAGTCGTTTTATTATGAAAAGTAAAGCTAAAACATTTTAGCGTAACAAAACGAAAACCACGATATACTAGATTTCCATTCTACATTCCAGTACTATGTTAGATACTACTAATATTTTCCTATTTTAGACTAAAATAAGGTTTGCCAGCAAGTGGTTGTGGAGGTTATTGAATTTCATTGAAATCATGAACCGATCTAAGTTAGACCATAATTAAGAACTTGGAAGTACTGGACGGCCGACTCGTCCTAGAACGGCACTCCTCATTAGTGTACATCCACGTTACCACACGCTGGAATCAAACTCAGGGACCTTTGGTTTCGTTCGAGGACGCTTAACCTCTGGACCACTGAGTCGGAACTAAACTGTGTTAATGTCTAACTTTAATCAACCCACGACAGTGAATGACCATCCCATGCTAGGATAAAACGGCTTCCAGATTTTCAATGGTGGTCTAACCTAGATCAGTTCATGATTTCAATAAAATGAAATTTAAAACTTTAATCCAATAACAAACGAATAGCTTAACTGAACGAGCAGTTAAAACCTACCTGCAACGACTCATATCATTTTACAGATTAGATCAGTAATTTGGACGCTATACAATTGCTTTACTCACTGTTCAAGGCCGATATTATCTATGGTGTATCTAAACATGTGTAAATTTATTCAATCTAATAACTAACTGAGGGCAGGAGAGAGTGGACTTAAACTATCAAGCTGACAAAAAACATTTCATTCTAAATGTCGACATCTATCATATGCAAATCAAGATTCATGAAAAGATGAAAGTTTAGTTAAAATCATTGCACCATGTAAAAAAAACAACGAGAGGTGTAAGTAGAAGATAACAAGTAAATCTTTATATCTACTCATATCATGTTTAGGCTTTAACAACAATGTACAATAATTATACCAACCTATTCTACGCTATTTATTGTATGAATATTCTAACAAATAATAATCGTTCATGAAAATGAATTCCTACAAATAAAGAAAAAGAAAATATTTCAAATGTACAGTTATCATAGAATACTTGGATGCTTGAATGAGTTGCTGGTGTGTGTAAACACTGAGATATTTTTTTGGATAAATTAACTTAATTAATTTTAAATACTATTCTAATGCTTGTGAAATAAGGCTATATTGAGGCAACACGCACAGTATGCACATATGCCAATAAGAGACTGACCAGTTGCAGTCCTGAACATCAATGGGAAGATTCAAACAAGTAATACTAAGTGAATCTATTCTAATATGGTTTTTATTATTGTAATACATACAGTAATAAAATAGTTTTGAAGAAAAATGAATAATCTCTACCGTAAAGAATTGATTCCAAACGTAAATCATTGCTGTTATTTGTTTCAATTGACTTCTTCTCATTGTCCAATCTACGGCGTAAACCTGTATAATAAGTATAAAATGAATATAAAATGATAAATATATATTCCACAAATTTAGTGTCTTGATAATTAACAATCATGGTACTGAGCTCTCATACACACAAGCTAACCAAAGATGTTCACACTACAAAAATCTGTACATGCTAAGGAAAAACTAAATGTCTGTAATCGATGAGATTTATGAAACTGGCTACTGGTCATGATGATTTTGTATAGACAAAAAATAATATGAAATATTAGAGTATGACCGACCTTGTTTACGAAAATATCTGTGTTTTAAAGTACAATCAGTGATTCGACTAAGTCGTACTTTATCTTGTGAAACTCATGGGAAGAGTACTCTATTCTAATTCATTATTACTCTTTGTATGCTTTCTAGATAATTTACAACAACTGCGTAAAAGACTAAAGTCCAATCCCCAAAAACTTCTTATGACTCATTTGGTACAATGAAAGTCTAAATAAAATAACATTCGCACACAGCGAGTGAATAAGAAACTCTGTGTTTGAAAACACAATTGACCCAGATGCTGACTCAGTGGCTTAAAGGTTAAGTGTTTATGTGCGAGACTGGAAGTCTTGAGCTCGACCTCCGGGAGAGTCACAAATGTGCACTGCTGAGGTGTCCTATATTGGGACGAAACAATCGTCACTAAAAATATATAGGTGTGTTCAACTTACTATCCATTCCGTCCAGACACCGAAAAATCAAAACTAGATTTGTTCTAATAACATTGACAGGTTCACTTGGACCTTCCTGACCCATACTTTGGCGAAAATTTTTCACCGTAACCAATAAATCATTAAAACTAAAATGAAGAAAATTGTTCACAGACAATAAATTTCACTGTTTGAAATTACATTTTCAGAACCTCTGGAAAGAATATAATAAATTCATAAAATATATATTTCTGTTTAGTCAATTATTCACCTTGAAAGGAAATTATCCAAATAAAAAATGTCTTACAAAAATTTTCTCTTGAACTAAAAATAATCACAGGCTAAATCACTGTAGACTTTCAATAGGGAAAAAGGAACAACATGAGTTTAGTAAATCTCGTAAACAGTCGACTGAGTTTATTATTGAGGAGATTAAATATTTATTTATTTGACTTGAATTATAAACAAATGATGTAAACCTGTGATGCGCGTTGAATTTTACACATCAACTGATCGGACGTTTATTAAACTTTGATCAATACTATACACCATTAGTATGGTATTTAATTCAAATTTTCTGTTTCATATAGTCCCTATGTATGTTAGATGACCAACGATTATTACTGTCGATAAGATATGTAATTTGATAACCAAGAATTTGAGGTCTATTTAAAGTGCAGAAACCACACTACTCATAAGTGGATACATTAGATGTTGCAAATATCCATGTGCGAAAAAGATAAGCAAGCTGTTTATTTACTAATGAAAATCTGAATAGGATGATAAAGCTCTGAATGGACCTGATCAGCATTATCGTATATACTACTCTTACTGTTTACATTCATCAAGCAGGTGGTTTATATCTGGTAAAATATGTGTTTACTTTAGTCAAACTGACTCTTTGACTTCATTCCCCAAACACATATTTCACGTTCACATCATTATTAGAACGGATTTGAATTATCTCTTTCACAATCTTGTCTGAATTTTGATCATTCTTTGTTGGTACGTGTGCATCCTGTATGAGTTACACCCTGATTAAGTTACTTCCACAAGGAATCCAGCTGATGAGCCCCGAGTAGGATATCAGTGCTAGCTACAAATCCATCGATTTCATAAAAACATTACACGTACCATATATCTCTAATTATATCATCTCGGTTACATTATTTCCACAAAATTTCTCATTCACAACACCTTCGAACACGAATAGCATAGGTATTATTGCTGTTAAGGATTTAGCAAATACAAATGATATGAAATAAAAATCAGTGGATATATAGATAACACTATTTTTTGTTGATAAATTTCAAAAACTCGGGTAACAGATAATGCTTTCACTATAACACTAGCAAGATTACTTTTACAAAACACACAAAGTAACCAGTGTTTCTAATCATATAATTTCATAAAATGTGTGAACTGAATGGTTGAAACTATTAACAAATAGCCTTATAAGTGTACAATGGTGAGAAAAGGTATAAACAAGCAGCAAAAACCCTACGAATTATCATCAGCTAAAATTTAATTGAGCTCCTAGTTAAATAGTGAATACGATTTATGGATCCATCAATAAGAAATCTCTTAACTGGATATAATTTCGTTAGTGTTGTTGAAAGTAGTCAAAATATTATAAATCAATATGTTTCATTAAATATAAGAACATTACATTTTAGGCTACAGAATTAGAATAATCAAAAATTGTGTAACTGGCAATAGATTATCTAATATTTGGTCTATTTTGGGGATTTATTAAACAACTGAGTATGAACTAATACATTTTACAAATCTTTTTTTTTATTTTTGTAAGCTTACTTTGAATTCTTATAGAATTTCAGTAGAAACATAACTGGGTTAAAATCTTTATCGGCCAAATGTACAGAACCTGAACCTATAATGTGTAAATGTAAAAATAAGATGTTGAATTTGTTTTCGAAAAATGACTTTTACAAGAAAAAAGTTAATAATTTGAAACAACCATAATAAAATGATTAAATTAGTAGAATAACGTAAATAAAAACGACTGTAAGTTTCAAATTTAGAAAATATTAGCTAATGAACTAAGAAAAACCTATGAAACATTAAAATCTACGTTTAGTCACTCATTTGCTATTAACTTTATCGAGGAGTGAATCTATAAGTACTGGGGATGCTAGATCCCCAGAACTCAATTGGTAAACGTCTTATTTTTGTAATTTTGTTTTGGAAATATGAATTTCTTGTTTCCGTGTCAAAAGCGCCCATTTTCACCTTCATATGGTATTTCCCACTTGAGAGGAACTTAAATGTCATTAGTCCGTTGTCTCTTTTAATATACTATTTTGTGACATTTCCAAAGGACATTTTTACGTTGTGTATATACGCTTCAGTTGTGCTTGTTATTGTTCGTGCTTCTGGCTGCTTGTGGAGTACATATTTTCCCTTTTCTGAACCTGGACTTCTCTCTCTATTTAGCGCGGCTGAGACGCATCGGAATAGTTAGCTTATTTGGTCGTTGTGTCGCTGAGTCGTTCCGTTCGCAGAATACACAATGAGCATATTACCATTTTAATTCAGTCAGTCAGTAATGATCAAAAAAGAGATCGAAACATCGTACATTCAACCGCTCGATCGCAGGTTCAAACTCCATTTCACCTACCTTTACACATGATAATCAGTAAAAAACATTACTCAAGACATGATTTGGGACACTAGTAGTGTTTAACTGTGAATTACTGGAATTATGAGTACGTAAAATGCGCTCTGTTTCTTGAACAACTATTTTATTCATTACATTTTGAAATACAGCAGTTCCAGGATTTCGTGAATGTACGACACAAAATATTTGAACTGACTTTTAGGACCAGAAAATATAAAAAGAATTCAAATTAATCAGTCTAATTCAAGTTTGTGAGTCTGGTATAATTTATAAATAAAATCCATGAGGACACAAGTGGTAAGAAGATTCCCATTTATACTATAACGCTAAACGGCGGCCTGCTTGAATACCTGGGCTACCTGTTTTCTGCCATCTAAATATTTCAACAAGTTATCTGGGTGTTTTTTTAATTTGTTTTAACCTATCATTATGTCTATTAATCGCATAACCTACACAGGCGCGTTTATAAAATGCTTACGTCCTTTCGCTGCAAAAATTACAAACAAGCACAATAAGAGACATCGTGGTGGTTGGTAATATGCTTTAAAGAGAATAAACATCAATCAAATGTCGATTCCCGAGCTACTTAACTCTAACTGTCGATCACTAATTAACAAGGTGGACTATCTCCAATTTCTGCTAAGTCAAAACATGTATCGTAATTGTGGTGTCATCACAATTCAAGAATCTTGGTTAACTGACTTACAGGATGATTGCTTAGTGTCATTACGTGATTTTAATATCTATCGTCAGGATCGATCAAACAATAAAAAGACTTGTGGTGGCGGAGTAGCTACTTTTGTAAACGTTAACTGGTGTAGATCTACTTTTGCCTGTTTCAAGTTTTCAAACGACTTTATTGACTGTCTAACTTTAAGGTGCCGTCCAAAACACCTGAATAAATACAAATATATTTATGTTACCAATATCTACATGACTCCAGACTGCACATCATCTGCGCTATCTGTCTTCACTGATAAATTTACTGAATTCGCCGTTACTGCCTTCAGTGATTCACTTTCAATTGTATGTGATGATTTCAATTCATGTGACTGTAGCTTCCTTACATCACTAGGTCACCTAAATGTAGTAGATTTTCCTACTCGTTTGAATTCTCATCTAGACTTGGTTTTCATTAATGATGTGGGTGCCTATGTGACTCGCAAACGTGCTCCATTGTCTAGTTCGGATCACTGTATAATTCGTGTCTTACCTAAAGTATATGGTAAACATGGAAAGAGTACACACATACACCATACCAAAAAAGTAATATATAGGAATTACTCATAAGAAAATTTACAAAATCTAAAAAACATGTTTCGTACGACCAACTGGGAATTATTTACAGATGACTCAATAGAAAACACAACGGATGTTATCACCTCTTATCTTAAATTCTGTTTTGATATTTGCTGTCCTACCGAAACCTTCTTTTTAAGTTTTGATCGACTTACATCTCCACAACTAAAACGACTACGGAGGGTAAAAGAAAGGATGTACAAGGAGAAATACACTATTGAAGTTCGTAAGTTAAATGATCAAATAAACCAAGAGATTAGACGTCTCAACTGTGTGTTCACTCAAAAACTTCTATCTTGCAGAAGCTCTCCAAGTATGTGGAAACTCTTTAAAGAAATTACAGGGGACAGGCAGACTAGAAGCGATAACCAGCTAAATGTTTGTGACTTAAATAAGGGGTTTGAAGAATAATTGTGTCCCCAGTTTCACTGAAAATGATGTCTGGAAATGTCTCCAGTCTCTGAATTCATCCCAATGTTTAGGACCTGATGGTATCCCAGACCTCCTTTTTAAAAAATGTGCCGATGTTTTATGTTATCCATTAATGAATATCTTCAACAGATTCTTCTCAACTAATGTCTTACCGAAAATGTGGAGAAAGATAAAGGTAATCCCTATACCTAAGAAGGCTTCTGGTGATAAAAATGCGAAACTTAGACCCATAGCAATAACCTCACCTTTCCTCAAAATAATGGAAAAATTACTGATACAACCACTTCAACCTGTAATAAAAGAGCACTGTGATCCATATCAGTTTGCTTACAAATGCAAAAGAAGCACATTAGATGCCGTTGCTGTTCTGCATCACAATATAGTGTTTCGGTTGGAAAAGGGTAAGAAGTATGTTAGATGCGCTTTCCTGGACTTTACTTCTGCTTTTGATTCTATTCCAAGACACCTCTTACTTAACAAGCTGATCAGCGTCGATACTGACAGCTGGATAACCAATTGGCTATGTTCCTACCTTTCTGGAAGAGAACAGTACACTGTCTTTGAAGGAAAGTGTTCAACATCTCTACTGTCTACTGTAGGTGTGCCACAAGGAGCTGTTCTTTCACCTCTGCTCTTCTCTTTCTTTTTGCATGATCTGCCATCTTCCACAGAAAACACTTTTGTAAAATATGCGGACGACCTCACCATATGTATGCCAATTTCTACCTCCTTACATCCTATAGAAATGAATGACTTTTTATCTCGTATTGAAAGGTGGTCTGTTGGTAATGGTCTCTTACTCAATCCATCTAAATGTCAAGCTGTTAACTTTAGCTTGAGACATGGACAGAACCTATACTCTATGTTGGGATCCCATAATGCTTGTGCCATTGGAGACTCCTTAATAAACACAGTGTCGAAGGTCAAATATCTTGGTGTTATTTTTTCCTCTGATCTTTCTTGGTCTTCTCATGTTTTGCTGTAATCGAAAAAAGTTTACCGTTTGACATACTACATAAAGAGGCTGCATGCTTTTGGGATTACTCGCCATTTACTCTTACACTTTGTAAATTCCTGCATATTACCTATTATTTTATATTGTTCTCCATTATTCTTTCCTGGGCTTTTGAGAAAAGACTTTGCTATTTTGCGTAGAGTGCTGAAGGCAGTTTGCAAGGTATGTGGTGAATCTTTTGAAGTCATTGTTAATATGCTTGTGGATAGACATCTTAAGGCTTGCAAACTCTTGGCAGGTGTTATCTTATCAGATACTAAACATCCCCTTTATTCATATCTTTCTCCTTGTATATCTTCTGGTAGAACGAGACGTAAATACATTAAAATTCATGCACGCAAGCAAATCTATAAAAGTTCTGTAATACCTTAGCAAATTTACTTTGTGACGAACAGGCTGTTAGAGTTGACCTAGTAAATAACCTGTCTTCTTAAGCATGTCTCATATTCGATAATTTGTATAAACTCAGATTTTCTTAAACCTTTTTTATATTTCATTTCTGTTTTTTGTTTTTTTTTCTTTTTTTGGTTTTATTTTTTTGGGAAAAAACTTGTTGAAATAACTCGTGCTGAGAATTCTATATTGTACCAGATTATAATATAGAATAAAGCCATTAATAATAATAATAATAATAATAATAATAATAATAATAATAATAAACATGTGATTAGATAAACTAACAAAGATAAAGCCTTGAACTGTCAATCACCTGCCAAACTGCAATAACAGAATATAAATTGAAAAGAATGGCTCTGATGGTAGAAGTGTATAAACATTAAACAAATAATTTAGGATAACAAGCCTCGTTTGATATATCTTTTTATCTTGTTACAGTAATGTATAAACAGGTACGCCGTAGTTATAAAAAGTATACTAATTGACCATCAAATAGTGATCACAAAATTCCTCATCATACGTACTATCTCTTCAGTATATCATTTTGTTTATTCTATCTGAAATCATTTTTCCAGTTGTAATGATGATACTGAACCGTAAATCACTCTAATTTACATTAAGGTATATATCTTTCCAGTCTAAATACGCAGCATACGATTCCTGTTTAAACAGAAAAGAAAACCTGTTAAGCTGTTTATTTCTGCCCAAGAAATGCCATTTTACAACCGTGATCAGTGGTTGAATAATTTAGATGGTGTGACGTCGAATAAACCAAAGTACAACAGTTGCATATAGTCTTTATCGTCCTCTAGATTTTTAGCCCCAGTACTGGTTTATCCACACCTTTTCTTCTTGTCTTACCAAATCATACTATCAATCCTTATTCTTTTTTATTGTCATTGCTACTACATTATATCGACTCATCCACAATTTATCTTGTTAATTTCACTTTGTCGTACTTATGTGGTATGACAACTTGGGTCAAGGCACGTTTCCCCAGGCTTTAACTTGATTATGACTGAATCCTATTAAAGAAATTAAGGGACTAATAATGTTACTAAGAAATTTCTTACGTGGGTATATTTCTCTCAAAGCAGAGTCTGACAGTGGCATACTAATTCGACTCAACTCCGACATTGGAAGGCCAGTGGAATGATCGAGCTCTGCTCCAGGAACACATCCAACAGCTACAGTAGATCCGGATGATCCTCCAGAAGTACTACCACTGGTAGGAGCAACACGTCTATCATCTTCTGGCCAATAAGTTACAACAGTTTGTGGACCTTAAAATAAAAGGTTGTGGATTTTAGAAAAGAAAATAGGGTAACAGGAGTTTTGAAAAGTAAGTAGATCAATCGACAAAATTAGCTCACAATAATAGGGAAAATAGTAACTAACGAGAAATATCCATGACCAAGAATAGACACTATGGAGAATCCCAAACACAATAAATATGAAAATTAATGAAGATTAACGTTACAGCTTTGAAAGAGATGATAAAACCTCTTTATATTTTGAGAATGTACTTTAATAAGTGTAAAATAAAGGTTATTTGTGGCATTCAACTTATACAGAAAACACAAAAATATAAATGTATATATTACTGGTGGATTTATTTAAACTACGGTCATTAGCTTGCGTCATTTATGGCGTGGGCGAGATACCCGTCTAGCAACCAAAAGACGGGTTTACTGTGCAGCAGTTCGTTCCGTCCTACTTTATGGAAGTGAAACATGGCCCATAAGAGTAGAGGATATTCGTAGGCTACTAGTGTTCGATCATAGGTGTCTTCGAAGCATCGCTCGTATATCCTGGGACCACCGAGTAGGTACTAGGGAAATCGATTGATGAAGTAGTGAAATTTCATCAGTTGAGATGACTGGGACATGTGTTACGTATGCCCAACCACCGACTGCCCCGACGTGCAATGCTTTATGGTGTAGGAGCAGGTTGGAAGAAAGCTAGGGGTGGTCAGACCAAAACGTGGCACAAATCAATGAAGTCACTGACAAGTGGACCGGGACATGTTTTTAGGTGTAGACTACCTGGTTGGGATTCGCGAGATGACAGCAACCGATGGTTAGAGACCTTGAATGAGATGGCTCAAAATCGTTTGCAATGGCGAAGATGCATCCACTCTTTGTGTTCTACCAAATTCTAATCTTCTGAATTCTTTGTGTCTCTATCTTTTTTCTTTTTTCAAATTTATTTCACCGTATTATACTCCTTCAATAACATCGTCAAACCCTTATCTTTCACATAATACTTATACTCTTACTACTTCTACCACTATGGGATTTGAATTGATAACTTCATCTCTGTGCTAATGTGGTATGGCAACTCGAACTGATGTACGTACGTACGAAGTTCTACGTTGTGACTGACTGATATATGTGCCTTATCCTACGTTGTGGCTGTCTGACTAGTAAATAAACAGTCATGATATATAGTGGATGTTTTCTCGGCACTGTTACCCAAGGACTTTTTTTTACTTCTCTAATCTATCGTCATATCGTAGTAAAAACACTATTATTTAATGATTGTTCTACTTCACGCATAGTACTGGAAATAAATTTCCTATACTCTTACTACTTCTGCCGCTATGGGATTTAAGTCGACAGCTGCATCTCTGTGCTAATGTGGTATGGCAACTAGAACCGATGTACGTACGTACGAAGTTCTACGTTGTGACTGACTGACTGACGATCACTCACCAGTCTAATGCGATAATAAATAAATCCTTAAAGAATATGATACGTATATACTATCTAAAAGTTTACGTAGACAACAACTACTACAATCAATACGGAACATTTTTCAACTTAATTTATCTAAATAGTAAACTCAAATGTCATACCACTGAATAAATAATTCCGATATGATACGTCTTGTTGGTTGAACTCTATTATTCGGATCCTAAGCTACTTTTGTAACCCTTAAGCTAGAACTACACAGAGACTTGAACACGAGAGAAAAGGCACAAATATACGGGAAGCACTTTATTCCAAAGGTTCGTTCATGTACAGAAAATATAGGGTTTTTATAGCATTTTAAAAGTCCTTGGGTTTTACTGAAAATTCTAGAATACTGCTAAACATAGTAGCAGTGTATTAATCAGCCAATCGGGATCTCTACATGTGACTTTTCATTTTCGCTGTTATTAACAAAACTTCTAATCAAACGCTGATTGGATGAAATGCTCCTTAATGTTTCATGAGCTTGTCATGTCGATTGCGAGAAATTTGCAGGATCATCCCAACAGATATTATATATGGTATTTCACTCTTCAACTTATTTTATCAGATACTCTAAACCAGGCACAACAGCATAACAGTCCAATATTACGACTTCATATAACAGAGAATATTCACATAAATAATCCCCATAAGACTAATTTTGTGAACCGCATATGATAATATGGAATTAATGATGACTCTTACCTAAAACCTCGTATTCATAAGCACCAAATATTTTAATGTTATTTCTACTTTTCTGTTCTTATTTCTCAAGCCATTTATGAAATTTATGCTGATTTAATATTTTTATACAAGCACATGTTTATGCACCTAGTAATACGCCACACGCCCTATGAGAATAGTATTAATAACACCTGATGGTTCATAGCAAAATAAATAGAGTGAAGTTGAGAGTTTCAAGATTGGTTGAAAATCGAGGGGTTTAATCATTCAGCCAAGTGTAGAGGCACTATATCATTTTTGAGAACTTGAGTCTTAGTCCTAATATCATGGACTAAAGAAACCGAAACAATACAATAAATGGTGAAAGGCTATAGCGCAAGCTTAATTAGTATTACAGCCTGTAAAACGATTGGAAACATTAAATCACAACCATAACTAACCAAACCAACTTACTGACTACGCGGAGCATATTTTGACGATAAATCACTGCGGCAGTTCCAATCCCTCCGCTATCGGTAACCACAACGATCTCAAGTTCACCTTCTCCCAGTGGTGTAATTGCAGTAAGTTTCTTGGGTGAGAACCATTGAGCACTTCTTCCAACATCTATCCCACCAATGAATACATGTAGAAGATCACTTGCGGTGTTCCCCAAGTTTTCTCCCCTAATAGTCAGTTTTGTCCCAGGTGTTCCTTGGTTTGGAGAAATCCCATTAACTTGTGGAGCAGGACCACTAGGTTTCCCCATTATGGTAGATCAGGAATAGTTACAAACGTCCTCCTGGGAGACAACAATAGTGTGAAAACAAAGACTCATCCACCTATGGAACAAATATAAAATATGCTTTATTACCACAATTTATTTGATTCACAATTGGTACTGAATAACAACAGCTTTAATGGAATAACTCAGCATTCAAGCGCATTTTACATAATGGACTACGAATTAAACCACTTTCTTGGAGTAAAGTCTACTAATGAGTAGTCTAAACCTCAGTAGATAACATGCTAGCGCCGTTCACTAGAGTGTAGGAAGGATATGAAACATCACACAATCAGTAACTAATGAATATACAAGGAAGGAGAACACAGAGTACGAGAGCAACGAATTATATTCCTAAAATTGAATAACGCGATCGGCAGGTACATGTCTTCACAAAATATAATTTTATAGACGCCTTAAAAGTTCAGTTTATGAAGAGTTTGATATCCTTCCTCCAACGCATCTACCCTCTGTCGCCCTGCAAGTAAAAGAACAAGTTCATGATAATAACATGCGTAATAGTTTTATTACTGTTACAAGTGTGTGAACCAGACTTAGCATATATGACCTAGTGGTTGATATTCTAGTGCTTAGACCGATGGATCACAGTTCCAATGCTCAAAAAGGATAGACTTGTGACAAAAAAGGCGATAACTAACAGACTAAGTGTGACTGGAATTCAGTTAGGTAAGTAACTGCAGAAGCTTCTTCACACCAAAGACGCTATGCCAGTCAGTATTCAAACCAATAACAGCCTTGTCTGGTTCAACCTTCTTAACTAAGCTGTTCAAGACCATTGTGATCTGGAGACCTACTAGTAAACTGAACATAAGAGCTTCCTCAAGTGCTTTAAGGAATATTCAGACGATCATTATAAAGCATTATCGATGGATTGGTGTAAATTATTTGACAATCAAGATGTCATTTTCGATCATATTGCACTGTCTAGTACACAGTATATAGAGTTAACACCTTCGAATTATATAAATTTGTAACTGCATCAACTGCTTCGCGTCACTTACTGCCAATTTTTCCTAAAATCGGGTAGTGTTAACAAATGTAACTGGTGTTAAGTAAAACAAACTAACCGACAGTGCATAAAAAATACGGAAGAATTCAGTAACAACTTGGATCAAAAGGTAAATAAACATAAATGACGTAAATGTAGAATAACAAAAGCGATGGGTGACGGCTGTGGAGTACTGAAGATAAATTTAGACGACTGCTGGATCAGCAGTCTAGATTGATCTAGATTTTCTCTAATACTCCGTTGAAAGTTAATATAACATATTCGATCCCTAGATATGGTCTGACTGATTACATCGACCAAGACCCTAGGTTGACCTCCAGTGATGTTGTTACTAAAGTTCAACAGCGAATGAACATCAAACATGAGACCGATTCGGACCAATCTGAGGGATAATGTGATCTCGAAGTTCATGTGCTTAGTAATAAATTTATTTCTAGTCCCAAGTGTAAGGTATTGTTCACAATAAACCCTAGCAATACGTCACCCAGAATGAAGACGAAAACCCTATAGTCAACACCCTAGTCTCAGTGCATGGCACTTCGCCAAATCGTATCTATATGAAACCACCGAAGCATTAAATGTAGTGTGACGGGTTACAGATATAGACTTCACATCTGCAAAACGTGAATTGTTCAGAAAATCAAAAAATTCGAGGGGCCGATGATGAAATTTATGAGATTATTGGCAGATACCACCTCAATACCGCAGAGATACACTACAGTCGAGATTAACGGTCGTACTACCAGTTCGTCATTCAGCTGTCTTTTAACAGTTGTCAAGATAAAGTCAAGCAATGACAGATCAAATTTACATAATATTTGTTTTACTCACATAGAAAATGGATATCTGTAATTTACATTCCAACATAGAATTAAGAAGCCCACAGACTCATACTTTTCACTATTTTTTTTATTTTTTATTTACTTAAAAGTAAACACTGATACAAGGAGGCGCCAAATACATATGCGCTACACAAATCATTTGGTCATTGTGAGGACCGGAATACTGCGAGGGTGCTCAAACAGAAGCAGGTGGTTTTCTTAGGGAGCCACACCCCAAGCCTTTGACCTGAAGGTCGAATCCACAAGGCAGTGGAGCAACATCAGGAAATGAAGTTCCATGGTAGACGGTGAACAACAATAGGCTGATAAGCCTTTTGTCCCCTCAGGATCCTGGAGCGCATGTGCACCATTGGTTTGGAATGAGGGTTTTAAGACTCCCCAAGGTGGATCTTCCATATCCACAAACCCAGTTAAAGCGCCGAACATTCGCTTTTTGTCCTCTCAATTTCTCAAACAACGCCCTTGTCCGGAGAAGGTAGGGAGTAGGACTTCCCTGTCAGTGGCTGTGTACGCGTGGCCATGTGAGAGCATTTCGAGAGAAAGAGAGGATTCTTCCCAAGTTCGGCAGTACCAGAACATTTGGGGGCCATATTTTTAATCATTACAGTTAAAGACGATGTAACAAATAAACCTAGAAGCACGTAGCCATTAAACAAGGGTGTTTGACATGTGTAAACCTAAATATAAATTGTAGGGAGAGAATCAATATAGATTTACGGAGAACTCGTAAGGCTAACTTTCAACACATTTCATCACACCAATTTATTCAGTGGTATTCTGTTTATGAACTTTCAGAGCCGTTCACACTGTGTAACGACTACTCAGTTTATAGGATTCTGAGTGCTTTATTCATTGTATTGATACATGACATTACTTTGAATATAATTTTGCCCTTCCTACGTCTTCACTAATCCACTTTTCAAAAAATGCTTTTCTCTTACGTTGCTCAACAACGCATCACTGAAGCGTCAAGTATTAATTGCCCAGTCCGACTAGTTTGCTTAGATCCCATTCAGTATTGGAATAATCTCCCATACAACTGTATCATTTCAATTCACAACAAATATACAGCATTTTAAAATACAACACCCAAGAATGACCCGGAGAATTTAGAAAGAGAAAAGATAGGACTGAGAAGTATATTTTCATCAGTAGTGAAAAGATCAAAGTAGAAACAAAAAAATGATAGAGCTGAGTCATACTATCAAACCTTAAACTACAAATTAAGGTTATATCACGTATATGGAGGTCTGAACTTGACACAGCTCACGATAGTTAGTAGATATATGGGAGATGTAATGAAGCTCTTGAGACCGTCAAAAGATTCGATATTATCTGACTGATATTCTAAGCATAACACCCGTATTACTCATTTATTTATTTATTTAATCACATACATATTGATAAAAAGGGCACCGGATACATATGCGCCACACAAAATAATGAGAATAGGAGGAGAAAGAGGGAAGATGCATATGTGTAACAGAAGGAAAAAAGGAGAATAGTAATGATGAGGGGAATTGAAATGTACAACCAGAAGAACTCTCTCAGTTAAGGAATTTATAACCACTCTTTATGAAGAAAGTAAAAGAAGGTTACAGCAGGATCGCCACTGGTTTCTATTCTGAGCCATATCTGATAACGTCTCTATCGTACTGATGATATGATTTCAATACAAGAGAACATTAGTTTCAAAGACAAATGTTCCCAAATATATGGAAACCATGTGCTTTTTGTGTTCTTAAAATAAAAAATGACTTTCAACCTTAGATATTAATGTCCTAGTCAATTCAAGTAATAAACCTGGGTTTCCACACTTAGCAACTCCACCTGTAGCCCCTTCGGGGGCTACTGCCGGTCACAAGCCCGGATAAAGGAGGGGGGTTGAGCATGAGGTTAGCGACCCCATCCCGTAGAAAACTAACTAGTCAAAAAAACACTAACCATACTTAGTGGTCTTCCAATTCAGTCCGCCGGAGTTCGTCGCTTCTCAGTTTGGATTATTCAGTTTTCCAAGCTTTACAAAGACTTATAGACTCAACTTGAATGCAAAAGTGTAAATTCGGTAACAAGTCAACTTTTTACTGGTATTGCATCCTTGTACTAATGCATTCAACAAGTCTTTAGGAGCAGAACATATAATGAATACTATATATGAAATCGATAGAAAAAGTGCACTGAATATACAGGAAATACACAACTGAAATTACTGCTAAAGTAAACTAGAAGTGCTACGAGTGAAAATCCAGGTACGGAGATACGTTAACATATACTCGTACCGGATACGTTGAAGAGTCCGCGGCGTTGTCAAATGGTTCAAATGGTTGAGGACGGAATAGAAGAAGCTTTCGCTTAACGGGCTTCCGTGTCTGGTAGCAGTGGATCACCAATACCTCCAGGCAAGAACCTAGGTATATGAACGATAATAGAGGGGGAAAAAGAATTTGGTAAATCATAATAATATGTTATCCTTAGTCCTTAAGAATAAGTCAAGTTTCCTCTTAAAGGACTCCTGGGAGGTCGCTTGGACTAGATCAGTCGGCAGTGAATTCCAGCACTTGACAACTCTAACGGAGAAGTTGTGTCTGCAGTCTGTTCTGCTATGTAGGGTCTTCAATTTCTGGGTGTTACCTCTCAGGTTAGTGTTATGACTAAGCTTAAGATGTTTAAGGGGATGACCAGAAGTATTAAGGATACTATAAGTCATAAGAAGATCACCTCTAAGACGCCTATACTCTAATGGGTAAAGGTTAAGTGAGTTGAGGTGCTCTTCATAAGGTTTGAATTTGAGTCCCCGAACTGATTTCGTGGCTCGACGTTGTATACGTTCCAGAGTGACCTTATCCTTTTGGAGGGAGGGAGGAAATACTATGTTTCCGTACTGTAAATGGGGACGAATAAAACTGTTGAAGATTATGTGGAAGGTTCTACCGTCAAACTGGCCAAAAATGCGCTTCAATGTTACCAGTGCAAGGTTTGCTTGAGAGGCGTTTTTGTCACAGTTCGCATACGATTTCAGGTCGTAGGGTACCAACACTCCAACACTCCAGCATAATCTCCAAGAGTTGAACATGTACACCGATTGAATTGCTTACACCACTAATTTGATTCTGAATAATGGTTAGGATGTGTAATATTTCAACCTCTAAAACTCCATCGGGTCACTGTTACTGTTTTTCATTGTCTTCGACAACCGTCTCTTCTGAATACTACTATGTTATTTTAGGAGCCCACATGTCTTCAGTGAGTGTCTCAGTACCGACGTACCTATATAAATTGTCACTGATGCCAAGTCATGCTATCGGTGAAGCTAAGTCGTTTCTGCCGAAAGTTAGACAGTAGATAACTGCAGACTTCACAGTTTGTCGGATATCGCCAGTGCCATAATTGAACAATGCAGATTGATCATCGACACACTACGAGCCAGTCAACAGGACAGTGTCCTCTGTGTTCCCCTCGATTATATTCCCTCTAATCAAACCCACTTTTTCGAACGCACCTCAGTGTATTAAAAAGTTATAAGAGGATCTTTGACTTGATACACAGTGATGGAAAAAAATGGAAAGCGGTAGTTTGACAATACAAAACTATTTTATCACCAAAAATTATGAAAAATAAGAGAAATTTGAAATAACTTCATAGCTTTTTGTGGTGGGTTACATAGAAAATTTACAACCTGTTATATCCTGGCGAAGACATAAGTACGGGTAACTCCCAGGACCTATTATTGAACGATTATTCCATATATATATATTCTTATTGTATAACCATTCAGTGACTAGATTATGTATATCTATATTCATCTTATTATAACCTTCATTTTGACCTATTGATTATTTTTATACGATTTACATTTTTAAACGATTCGCATAGATTCGCATAACAGAAGCTGTCATTGGTGTTCTGGACTCAAGTGGAAGGGCTAGGCGCACAAAGGACCAATAAGGACGCTAGATTACTCATACTGATCGAACGTCATTGATTGTCAAAGTGTTAAGGTCGTAGAGTCGTAATTCCATTGGGGGATAATTCACGTGAATAAAAGCCGGACATAAAAACCGATAGCGAACAAGCATACGTCCTTTGTTTATTTTGTAAGGTCATAACAAATTGGCGACGACCTTGGTCAAGTCATAACACAACCCTAATGTGAGGTACGACCAAACTATTGAATATTCATCACATAAAAACGTCGAAAAACACGAAACTGACTATTCATCATAGAATAGAAATGAACTTGCCAAGCAAGGAACTCAATTTCACCTCAATCCACTGGCCAGTTTATTCTAATCAATGTTGGTAATCAAAAGCATAAGATATTAAGTAAGCAAAATGTTAGGAGCCTATAAGACTATTTGTGTGTTAGCACACCCAACAAACATCAAATTCAGTCCTATCTCTAAAAGATAAATGAAATCACAGAATTCCAGCGCGTATGATCATAGGCTAGTAATACAATGCGACATCTGACAGGATATAATGCTGATTAAAACAAAATGACTATCACCAAGTGGGAGTGATTCAAATAACTAAAAACAATTACGGATAAATGTGAATGATTACCTTGTTGTGGATCGAAAATTAAGCCTCCCTTTTGCCTAAACTAAGGATGCCACAGGTATTCAAAGTGTGACAACGCCTTTGCACATTACACCTTTTTAATCGAAGGATACCAACCCAGTCAAACTGTTGATCAGAAGTGAAACGGTTTGAATATATATTTGGAAAGCTATCGATATGTCAGGCTAAATTTGCACAACTTTAACACGAGAGAAAGAACGGGAAAAATGGAGAGAACGTTCCAGTCCAGGGTTAGTTTACGTACAGAAAATTGGGGGTATTTGTTATATCCCGTGGAGATCTATGAGTGATAACTTTGATAACTATTTATGGACCAATATGATATGTATATTTCCTACTGTATGATTGTTAAGTAACTAAACTATCCGTATTCGTGTTCCTCTTATCATAGGCCTTATTTTGACCTATGAACTATTATTATACGATTTACCATTCTTGAGTTATTCCCAGTCTATTAATTACTGTTCCCCCTACTCACAGCCACATTTGACCAAATCTTGTACAAATGTTATTTTCTATTTTATGGTACGATGTGGTCAGTTTGGTTGGTATAGAAACTCAGTATGTTTGAGAATAATGATTCATATTGCAGAGGTTGTTACTGGTGTTCTGGACTTAACTGTCAGGGCTAGGCAGAAAGCAAGGCTAACACGTTCTCAAGACTGCTCATACGGTTTTCGTGTATTATTGATCCGGTCGATAAATCACTCCTCTATCATTGGCGGGGATCATCACGCCATATATTTAACAGGACACACGCGCATTCAGTAGATATAACAGTATTTATAGCATTTCAAGTCGCCTCAAGCTTCTGGAAAGTTCTGGAACCCTGCCAAACCTACTAGCACGATGACAATCATCCAATCAGAAATGCGACGTGTGACTATTTACTTTCTAGATTTTTCTGAGAAGTTTCTATTCAAAGCTGATTGGAATGAAATGTTTCCCAGAGTTTTCGGGACCCCTCTTAGCATTTTTAGGGGAACATTCTGGATCTTTCGAACACAGGATACTTACAGATGATATGAACCGTTATCTGATCGCTAGTTATATCATAATTACATCAACAGACATTCAAAAGCCGTGAAAATTACACTTTTTATCGTAACACAGAACTGTTTACTGGAGCCAGCACAAAAACCATCTAATTTTTTATATTACACAAGCAACCATCCTCGGCAAATATCTTCCGTAGAAACTTTTTCAGGCGATATTGTTGATCTCCTCTGTCAGAGACCTGGATGTTAGTTGTTTTCTCAATTTTATTGATGATCTTCGCGGATGGTTGATCTACTCGGGTATGTGGGTATGGTGTGACTTATCAGCTTATCGAAGTCACAATTCATCGCGAATACCCAACCTAGTTTATCTCACTGTGATGACCTGGTGATTCGGCTTTGTCAGTGAGTGGCTAAAAAAATTATATTACTATTAAGAAGTCACGTGTGCGGAAGAAAAGACTGTAGAAGTACAGCTTGGAGCCACTTTGGCATAACCCTGTTCATGGATTTCAACTGAATAATTCTTGTTATCAGTCCTTGGCGATTCCAATTAACGTTCCAACATTCAGTGATCTATCGTGTAACGCAGAAGAGGTTCATCTCGATGATTTATTTGGCTAGCGCTCAGTGACATTTTACTGGTCCTAAAGTTCAAAGCATTAGAAAGAAGTGAGAACCCGAAAGGTTAATTTAGTCCATAAAAATTATCTTACTAGAATTTCCAACAACATAAGTGGATTTGATAGAAGAAACACCATTATGGCTCTTTGCCAAAACTGGGTAGATAACTATGGATTGACAGCATGGCTCTTATTACATTTACAGTCTAAATAATTCTTCGTTACACATCCGTTGTTAGTTGGAGGAAATTCAGCCGTTATAGCTCGTCAAGATATAAAATGGCTTACCACCAGAAGCCTTCCTGAATGGCAGTTTTATTTTTTGTTCAGACATTTGTGCAGTTGGATTGCCGAGTGAGCTCTTCTAATTAAGACTTAGTATCAGTAATAACTCTTCACAGAGAGTGTAAAACGAATTAGAACGCGTTGTTGTGGGGACCATGGAAGAACAACAACGCACTTTACAACTACATGTTCTTACGTTCTATATACCACATGTCCAATCTTTCAGCCTGCCCATTGATCTAGGCCACAGCTTGTTGGGCAAACTCAGGCATATGCGTAACAGATCTGAAGAAAGTTTGAAACAACTTCGTTCTGCACCCAAAAGGGGTTCATTATCATTATCTGTCGAAGTCTCATCACCCGAAAGTTTGCGATCTTAGGGTTTTTCTCGCCAACACCTGACTTTAGTTTTGGTTCTTTTCTAATTTCTCGTCTCTTTATGCTCTTTATGAGTGACAAGTATTTACATTCATATCTTATAAGATGTCAACCCAGCTGAGATTTCTTCTACGGTGAAAATTTTAACTTCCGTAACAATTTTATCTTGCTTATAAACCGGTATGCTTTATGTAGCAAACAGTTATTTGGGAATAAATTATCATTATCCTTTATCATTGCATCTAGTTGTGATTGGTAATAGACTGACACCCTCAGAGGTGGCTGCCGAAGTGGCATATGGTCTCTTATGTAATTAGTGTTGCACCGTAGTCGTTCGGTTTCCAGAAAAACCTCTTCGAACACACAATTAAACTGCTGGACCACAGCAATCGTTGCCCGGCGATCTTTCTCTGTTATTATTTGATTGCTCTGTACCTGACGTACAAGTTCTGAAACATCCACATAAGATACAGATTTAATTGACATGTCGTAGTCGTGCAGGTGTACCCTAGCCTCACCAACCCATGAATATAGAGACTTGGTGTTTTAACATGAAATCAACCTCGAGAATCATGTCCCAAGTTAGTGCCGGACAAACTAAAAATCCGTGTCAAAACGGATGCTTTTCTATCACTAGATCTAACCATGCCTTAGAGCACACTTTCAGTGGATCATCGCTTGCTGTGATTGATATGGATGGGCATCGACTTCGATGTACTTTATGTTTCAGTATCTTTTAGAGTTTGTCCTTGGTAAGGGATGCTGAAGCTCCCGTGTCTAGTAGAATTTCTATATCGACGCCATGCACACTATCTCTAACCGTAACCAAGTGGATATGACTAACATGAGAAGATAAATGAAAAAGACACGGCTTACCTTGTTTACGGAAACGGTTATAGCCGCATATCCTAGCATTCCTGCCAAACCTCCTGCAGTATGTGCTCTCAGCCTGATGGCCGTGCAAAGGCCGTTTATTCCAACTCGAGCTTAGCTGCTCGCGATTGGTACCCCGGCTAGAAAAGTTTGTAGTAGTTGTTGCACCATGGGAACTATCCATTCAGCTAGATCCTGTGGCTTGATCCACCGTCATCACCGATGGTCGCTGTGCATCTGATGAGCTTGCTAGTTTTTCTGTAGTTAGAAAACGGTGTGCCGTTCTTTTCAAGTCAACTGTGCCAACTGGTGGGCTTCGCATAAAGTGTTCTCTTAATGGGCCGGGCACCATCCCTTCAACGAAACGCCACTGCACTAATTTCTCTCGTCCCATAACATCTAGACGAGGAAATGCCTGAACTGCTGTTTGCTGCAGGAAGTTGACGTAGTCGGTTGGCTTCTCACTTGCTTCCTGGTGACACCATAAAAACTGGATGGTCACCTGTCAGGTGTTCACGTGTAGCAAAAAACAGCCTTCTAAGATCCTCCAATTTTGCGCAAGTGTGTTGCATGCCGCGACGCCGCTGACTGTAGCTGTTTGAACAGCTTCACTACTTAGATAGGATACGAGGTAATCAAAATGTTCGGACGTTGGAAAGTTGTACGGACATGCTGTAACTTTAAATTTGCAAACAGAATAATCTGATGAAGCTTCAAGCAGTGGTGGTTGACGGGGTGTTGAATCAGTTACTGCCATGACTGGAATCACTGTGGGTTCGTCTACGTTTTCGTCAGGTTTTACCGTAAACATCTCCATCACCAGTTATAATATGTTTTATCAGCAGTCACAATAATGTGGAGAAGACCTGAAACCACAACACACAATGTTAATTCAGAACTTCACACCAAGAGAGGACACTGAGAGGAAGACATGAGTCTTTTATTTTTGAAAATTGAAATTCGCAGGGTCTGTACAGAAATAAAAGCTAGTTTACACAATAACCCCGAAACAAAATGGCGATGACGACCGTAGTCGAAAATACAATCACTTATATATGTATTCGTACACCCATTTTGATTAATAATTAGGATGAAATCTGTACCTTAACGACCAATATGCATCATAATGCACTTAGAAGTATTTATCAACAACTGTCAGGTTCGAGACCATTCAGACAACTTCTAAAATGCATTTTCAGGCTCTAATCTATCACTTTTGTTCTTTATTTTTCTCCACATCTTCACACCGTCGGCATATAGGAAGACCGATAGGAGATGAGGAAGGTTATTTACATACAAGAGGAATAACAATAACTCTAAAACGGTGCCGTGAAGCACTTCGCTAATCACAGTTTCCCAGCTAGACAACTTGGAGTTCACTCGTACTCTTTTTGTTGGAGCCCAACTAAGAAGTCTTTCATCCACATTGATAGATCGCCTCCAATCCTTCATTTCTTAACTTATATAACAGTTGTTTGTAAGGAGCTTTATCAAGAGCTTTACTGAAGTCAATGTAGGCTACACCTACAGGTAACTTTCTGTTTTAAAGAGAGCACCAGCTTTCACGAGCCAGACGGGACTTACTATGGCGTTCTTCCAGTCTTTTGGTAACTGACCCTGGGTTATGGATACACTAAAATATATAATTAAGGGTTAGTAACGAAATTTACTAGTTTGTTTAGAATCCTAGGATGAATTTCATCGGGTCTAGTGGATTTGTCTATATCAAGTTCATTTAGCAATCCAAAGGACATAGAGTTCTTAAATGGTCACGTTGTCCAATGTGTGTGGGGGGATTTGTATGAATTGATAGAAGGGTGTCTCTACGGTATATACGTTGCTAGGGTAGTTTGAGAATAAGTGAACTTTATCATAGTCGTCCTTCACTAATGATGAAGCATTACTGTCACCCCATCATGCTGGAATATTTCCTCTACTTTTAGTCCTTTGGTTTAAATACGAGTAAAAGTGTTTAGCTCATTCTATATGTTCCTTAACAATTTTTTCATCGTACAAATTTCTAGACATATGGAGGGTGGAGGCACAAACATTTCGGACATCTCGATATTGAGATTTCCTCTAATCGATACACAGTAACCTAAATCTTTCTCACATTCTTCTCCTCTTACAGAGAGGGATGGGAACCTCTTCACTGAACCATGGTAGAGTTTCTCGGCTCCCTTGGTGTAGTCTAAGGGTCGTGGGGTGCAGTGAGTCTGTTTCAAATGGGGACTCGGGCGTAATTGTCCAGTCTATTGACAATGCTGAGTGTATAATATCTCGTGAATTTGCTTTCCAGACGTTAGGTCTGGGTTGGTCTGGTGCGTGCTCGTTTTCGACAACTATATTGAGGTCAAAGTTTAGAACTGCACGATCACTTTTACCTAGGGGTAGCATGTAATCGAGGTTCGTGACGTCATCCTAATAATGGGTCAATATAAGATATAGTAAGGATGATTCAAAGTCCGTGTCGTACCTAGTCGCTTCTTTCACTTGTTGTACTAAGGCACATGTAATAACTACATCAACTAGTTCCTGTTTGAAAGAATTTTCTGACAATTCAGTTCTCAGATTTTTCCAGTCTGCCATGGGTGCATTAAAACCTCCTATGATTAGACATTGACCGCTTTGTGACCAAGTATGGAGACCATCTAACAGGATCTCATTTGCCTTATAGCTAAGACTGAAAGCCTTCAGTTAAACAAGTCCACTTAAACAATGTGGACAGCATCCAATGTCGAACACTTAATGTGCTATTGATTTTGGGGAATTATTTACAGCTACAATGAGATACGCTGTCAATAATGGCAAATGGGATAGTATTCCTAATAAATAGAGCTACTCCTCCTCTCTTATGCTTCTGGATTCAGTGGGCTCTTACGAACGTGAAATCTTCAAAAACAAGTTCCATACTGTCTAAAGGCTGTGTCAGCCAAGTTTCTGTGACTGCGATTATGTCTGGCTTGGTAAAGTCAATCTATACACCTAATTCCAATCGCTTGCTGAGCGAGCCTCTGGCATTTGTGTAGCAGATTTGAAGCCTGTTTAAATGATCTCGAGGTGCACCCAAAGTGGCTTCGGCATTATTCTCTGCCAATGCCCCACAACCCGAAAAATTACAAATTTTAGGTCCTTTTCGCCAACATTTTACCCAAGTTTTGGTTCTTTTTCGGCTTCTTTACTTTTTGCACGGTCTGTGAGTGGTATATCCTTACTCACGAAAACTCCCGAACGCTTTGGTTTATGTCCATCCTGTAAAATTATGTCCCGTTCATTAGGAGATTTAAATACTTCTGTAGGCAGCCTGGTTTGATTCTCTTTCAAGCTCACTTGGCTGCCTAGCCGATACAAATTTAGCAAGGTGATTTCAGAGATATTCTGAGGCATTATCTGATTTAGTAGTTATTTCGTCAACCCGTTGTCGTGCTCAAAACAAGTTTTAGGTTCTGAGCCTTTAACTGAAATAGATCCAACTAAAGTGTAAACAGTAGGCTTGATACATGATAAACGATCAAAATGGTAAAACCTACTCAACGAGGAAAAATACCACAATCCTTTTTAAATAATTTAGTTTAAACGTATCACATGCAAGTCAGAAAGTCAGCGCATGGTAAGAAAAAGCTATGTCAAGTTAAGTGTAAAAGTACATTTCAGTTATAACGCCTTCCCTGAATTGCAATGTTATTGTTCTTAACCAAAATAATGTTCTTGTGAATTCTGAAATTTAATAAACTCAAAAATTTGCACGGTCGAAGTGTATATTGTGAAACCCTGTTTGATTTCATATGTGGTTGTGAAATATGACTCATTCTTAATCAACAATCCATTACCTGTAACTTCTGTAGATCTTCGTAAATGACAGTGGATATCTGCACATACAATAAAAATATGTAACGAGCATCTATCTATTATTAATCTCCTTGTAAACCATGATGTTATTGCTTGTCAATAAATGCCTTTACCCATGTCTTCAGTAATAAGGATAGTAGGTTGATGAACCTGTGTTAATCCTGACAGATTTCCTTCCAGTGAAGGTCCAGCTTCTTTTTGAAAATGCTCATTGATGGTGCTGATACCACTTGTTCTGGGATTACGCGCGCTATTTAAAAGGACAGTGGTATTGTTTCACGTTGAGTTTAATTCACTGTTTTGATCGTAAATTACGTGTCAAAACTACCGTTTGCACTTTAATTGAATTTATTTCAGTTAACGTGACATTGTATTTGTGTGTTTTGATTCTGCTTTTGTGTATTTACTGCATCAAAGCATTCTTGGTCGACTGAGGCTTGTTTATTTGATAAGGTTGGGATTTATCTTACATATCTACCTTGCCTATCATTTTGTTTTATTCTAAGATGGTCGGCTCTGTACACAAGTGTGGACAGCCATATTGCCTATTCCCCGTGGAAGAAGGGATGCAATGTGACGATTGTAAGAAGTGGTTTCATAAAATGTGCACCCGCTTAAGCCCTGCTGCCTATAAAAGGTGCTCGAAACCCAATTCTCATTGGCTCTGTATGTTTTGTTGCTCAAGTAAGACATTACTCATACAGGAAGCCATCAGCCTTCTAGCGTTAGCTAAAAAGGTCGAAGTAGGCCGTGCCGGCAACATAGATACTGATAATGAAGATTGTATCAGTGTCGCAAATGCTGCCATGGCAGGTACCAGACACCCAATTTTGCAACAGGAAGCAACAATTTGTACTCCGGTACAACCAATGAAAGCCATGCCATTAAGTACTGAGGGACCAGTCGCTTTAGCAGCGACTGAGGACCCGGCTAGAACCACTATCGTCCAGAATAGTTCCAATCTGGATGCTGAGAATAGTGGCAAATGGATTACGCGGAAACGCAAAAGAGACGGAAAAACACCCAAAGAAAGCGCGCGTATAGTCGGTAAGTCATCGTTGGACTCACGTCCTGAGCATCAGGCAACTCCTCTCAAGTCCATACGTAAGGAAATAATTAATACTGTTGTGGATGGAAATAGTCTAACTTCACCAAATGTTGTTGGGAGTAACTCGCTTGACCCACATGACACTGTCATAAAGAAAGCTAATAGCAAGAAGCCGGTAGCTAACCGGCAGGATCTGACATCACGGTCAAAGGCCGTGAACACGACGTTTAAGGCAGTTAAACAGATGCCTAGTGTAATCATCTGGAACTTGGCAGAATCGAAAGACACTGATCCCGCTAAGAGACATGCCCACGACCTGCAGTTAGTGGGATCTCTCATCAGAAATATACTGCCAGAGGAGGTCCCAGGGGTACATATCTCGAAAGTCATCAGACTTGGTAAGTATGTTGGAGACGAAACCCAACAGAGAAGGATCCTCAAATTAGTACTCGGTAATTTTGAGGAACGGGACGTATTACTAAATAACTCACGCAAAACTCGTGACTCAAGCATTCGTATTCGACCTGACTGGCCACTTGAGGATCGGATCAAGTGGAAGAATGCCCTAACAGAGTTAAAAACTCGAAGGCTAAACGGTGAAGCGAACCTTACGATTAAGGGTTTTCGGGTAGTCAGGTTTTGGAAGCCAATGCTTCCGAGACCTGTGTGGGTAGAACGCATGTCTCCAAAAACACCCTAAATGTGTGTTATACGAATGCTCGTAGTCTTCGGAATAAGATGTCTGAACTAAGTTTGATGGTAGACGACTTAAATCCCGATATAATTGTTATCACCGAAACTTGGCTCACTGTAGATATAGACTGTTCTCCAGTAATTTCAGGCTACATCTGTGTCAGAAGTGATAGAGTTAGAAGTCGCAAGGGAGGAGGCATGATATTATATATTAGGGACCACTTCCGCATTAACTCGATCATATCGGAGGCGCATGTAAGTGGTACGTGTGAGGTAGTATGTTGTACAATTAGGTCTAGAAACGGGTTAGTGACGATAGGAGGAATATATCGTAGTCCGTGTTGTCTCGCTGACGACTTTATCCTAAAACACGTATGTTCTTGGAGTAAAGCAGAATGTTGTCTCATCGTTGGAGATTTCAATGCACCCCATATAAACTGGATAGAGCTCACAGCTCCAGGTGGGGGTTTCGATAGCGTCCTTCTGTCATCAATTATTCAATGTGCACTTGTACAATGTATCGTTAAGCCAACACATATAGACTTGGAACATAATCCGTCATTGATAGACCTTGTCCTCACACACCACTCTGAAGATATCGTTGACATTCAACATCTTCCCCCACTGGTGAATAGTGACCATGTCGTACTTTCCTTTAAGTTCCGGATACATGGTATAGAATTTGCATCAGCTCCACCCCGTCCTAATATCTGGAGAGCTAATATTCCGGCAATCAGGGACTATGCTATCTCAATTGACTGGTCGGTCGATGCTGATGGATCGATTGATGATGCATGGAATAGGTTTAAGTCTGCGTTCGAATCCGTAACTTAACCGTTTATCCCATGGTCAGCACGTAAGTTATCATATTGCCCTCCATGGATTAATAAGGAAACCCGGAAGCTGTTGAAGCGTAGGAAACACTTCTGGGACTTATTCTTGTCAGCAGGTCAGGCATCATTTAAGTGCGAATATAAAAAAATCCGGAATATATGTAAAAAGACCATAGCTAAATCCCGCACGGCTTACGAACGACAGTTGGCATACGATAGCCGTACCTGTCCGAAGCGCCTGTTTTCGTACGTTAAAAGGCGGACGAAACGTAGTGATGGCATCCCCTCATTACTGTTAAGCGAAAATTCAGCTTTATTGGCTGAATCTGATCTGGCGAAAGCGGAGTTATTTGCTAACTATTTCAGTGAAGTCTACTCTACGTGTAGTGTTACAACTACTTGTCCCGTTGACAATGAGATACCAGCCATAGGACCCTTACACGTGACAGAGGATATAGTTCTTCCTTTGATAACTAACCTAAAACCTTGTAAGATACCGGGCCCCGATGGGTTACACCCACGTTTGCTGTCGTCGCTTGCGGACATTATCTCAAGACCGCTCACGATGCTCTTCAACATGTCCCTTTCACAGGCTCAACTACCTAGAGACTGGAAAGACGCCATAGTTAGTCCTATATTTAAGGATGGTCAGAGACGGATAGTATCTAACTACCGGCCTGTTAGCCTGACCAGTATAGTAGTTAAGTTACTTGAAAAATTAATTCGGGCTAAGCTACTGAGCCACATAGATTCGTACAATCTGTTAACTCCCGAGCAACATGGGTTTCGTAACAAGCATTCATGCTTGACTAACTTACTCATTGCGAGAGAGGATTGTACAGCTGCCCTAGACAACGGCCAGTCTGTCGACGTGATATTCATAGATTTTAGCAAAGCGTTTGATAAGGTTTCACACTTAGGTCTTATGCAAAAGCTCTCGAGCTTTGGAATAACAGGTGCTATACAGGAATGGATAGGAAGCTTCTTATGTGACCGCAGACAGAGAGTGAGAGTCAATGGAACTCTATCCGAATGGAAACCGGTCAAAAGTGGTGTACCCCAAGGCACCATCTCAGGCCCTCTACTTTTCCTTCTGTATATTAATGAACTACCTTTATTACTTAAGTCGTCGACGTTATTGTTTGCGGATGATGTTAAAATCTGGAGAACAATAAGAAATGAGATTGATCGTTGTTATCTACAAGCAGATCTAGACGAATTAGTTAGGTGGGCTCATGATTGGGGCCTGGAAGTTAATTCCAGGAAGAGCGTGTTCATGCACATCGGGCACGATATTAGTTACCACTATACCATTAATGGTACATCTCTGCCACGCGTTCATACGCATAAAGACTTAAGAGTAATTATAAGTCACAACTTAAAAACTACTACGCACTGCAATGCGGTTGCTTCCAAAGGCTATCGCGCGCTATGGTCGCTTCGCAGAGCATTTAAATGCTTTGACGAGGATATGTTTCGAATTTTATATCCCACCTATGTAAGGCCACACTTAGAATACTGTATCCAAGCAGCTAGCCCTTGTCTGATAAAGGATACTAAATCGCTTGAGCGTGTCCAGCGTGTATGGACAAAATTAGTAAAGGGTCTTTCCAAACTCCCTTACGATGAGCGTTTAAAACGTCTAAATCTTTTCCCCTTATCTTATCGTAGGACGCGAGGTGACCTTATACTGGCATTTCGTATCTTTAATTATGATCTGGGTGTTAATATGTCTTACCTTTTTGCTCCCTCCAGCACTAATAATCTCCGGGGTCATAGCAAGAAGGTTCTGAAACCGCGATCTAATAAACTAAAGGTGGGGTTCCGTTTTTCTCATCGAGTGGTCAATGACTGGAACGCTTTACCAGAACAAGTGGTATCAGCACCATCAGTGAACATTTTCAAAAAGAAGCTGGACCTTCACTGGAAGGAAATCTGTCAGGATTAACACAGGTTCATCAACCTACTATCCTTAATACTGAAGACTGAAGACTGGTAAAGCGTTCCAATCACTGACCACTCGATGAGAAAAACGGGACCCCACCTTTTGTTTATTAGATTGCGGTTTCAGAAACTTCTTGCTATGACCCCGGAGATTATTAGTGCTGGAGGGAGCAAAAAGGTAAGACATATTAACACCCAGATCATAATTAAGGTCACCTCGCGTCCTACGATAAGATAAGGGGAAAAGATTTAGACGTTTTAAACGCTTATCGTAAGGGAGTTTAGAAAGACCGTTTACTAATTTTGTCCCTACATGCTGGACACGCTCAAGCGATTTATTGTCCTTTATCAGACAAGGGCTAGCTGCTTGGATACAGTATTCTAAGTGTGGCCTTACATATGTGGGATATAAAATTCGAAACATATCCTCGTCAAAGCATTTAAATGCTCTGCGAAGCGACCATAGCGCGCGATAGCCTTTGGAAGCAACCGCATTGCAGTGCGTAGTAGTTTTTAAGTTGTGACTTATAATTACTCTTAAGTCTTTGTGCTCATGAACGCGTGGCAGAGATGTACCATTAATGGTATAATGGTGACTAATATCGTGCCCGATGTGCATGAACACGCTTTTCCTGGAACTAACTTCCAGGCCCCAATCATGAGCCCACCTAACTAATTCGTCTAGATCTGCTTGTAGATAACAACGATCAGTCTCATTTCTTATTGTTCTCCAGGTTTTAACATCATCCGCAAACAATAACGTCGACGACTTAAGTAATAAAGGTAGTTCATTAATATACAGAAGGAAAAGTAGAGGGCCTGAGATGGTGCCTTGGGGTACACCACTTTTGACCGGTTTCCATTCGGATAGAGTTCCATTAACCCTCACTCTCTGTCTGCGGTCACATAAGAAGCTTCCTATCCATTCCTGTATAGCACCTGTTATTCCAAAGCTCGAGAGCTTTTGCATAAGACCTAAGTGTGAAACCTTATCAAACGCTTTGCTAAAATCTATGAATATCACGTCGACAGACTGGCCGTTGTCTAGGGCAGCTGTACAATCCTCTCTCGCAATGAGTAAGTTAGTCAAGCATGAATGCTTGTTACGAAACCAATGTAGACCATGATGTTATTGCTTGTCAATAAATGCCTTTACCCACGTATCGTTTATTAATGTAGTCGATAGCAGTCTTCTTGTGTTTTGTAACGGAAATAAATGCAAACATATGGGAAATTTGGAGCTAGGAGAAAGGTAGAAAATTCGAAGTGTATTTAAGTAAAACGGGGATAATCCTGCGACATTTCAACCATTGAGTGACAAAGAGTGGGGATTTCGCATTATTTTTACTCAAGGCAGGCAAAGAGAGAGACTTTTCGGTGCGTTTCTACATCATTCCCCTCATTTTACGGACAAAATTTTCCTTGCTTGCCTTGTTTTTCCCTTTACTGATTGCTTTGGGTAATGTTGAAAATTAGTAGTTTTACCCATCGGCCATGTTTTTTCTCACACTGTCAATATTCTCCTATAGCTACTCCAGTCATTTGAAAGTGCGAACTTCCGGATTGATTCTTATTGTTGTCATTCATCAAACAGGTAGTTTCTTTTTCTAGTAGAGTATTAATTATTTTCTCTGAATTTATAGTTTAACCACATATTCCACTTATTAGAAGTCTTTGGTTGTATGACTTTTGTTTCTTTATTTTCATAAAATCTCATGTTTAGCACTCATATGGATGATACATGCAGTGTTGTTATCGAGGATTTGGTAAATACACATAACGTGAAACCAGAATCAGTGGAAACATGGTTAGCACCATTTGGTGTTATTAAATGTAAGTGTTAGACTGTGACATAATCTTGGACTTCTTTGGGCTTTTTTATAAGTTCTGACGTCCTACTTATTTTAGATGCTTTTCTATTGAACTTCATCCTTATGGTGACCAAAGAGCATGTATTATATATCAAACGGCCAAACATACGAATAGTGGAAAATATTATTTTCGAAATAAGATTTTTATTTACTGAAAGTGTAGGCAAAATATTATGCAGTACTTCACCATTCATTATTGACTGTTTCATGACTTCAGTGCTCGATTTATTCAAACACCTTTGTCCTTTATCACTCACTGAACTTGACCCCAAATAGAAATGAAGTGACTTTAGCTACAGAATCATTAAAACTAAGGGCGAATGGTCAACGTTTTTATAGTAGTCCAAAACGTTTTTATCATCACGTACAAATAACTATACACGGAGAATTTGTAGTGAATGATAATTATATCCTCAATAGCGACTAGCTTCAAGGTGGACATTTTGTATTTTTAGTAAAATGTCACAACCAAATAGAGATTATATATAGGTAACTGTTTTGAAACTTTTCTACTTCCATTTGTCTCCTTTTATAATCAGACTTGCATTATTTATTCTTGGGTATAATATTTTAACATTTGTTATACTACTGAACTAACTAGCTCCTTACACCGAGTGCCTATTTGTGTGCTTTGTTTATACCTACGTTTTGAATTAACTGAAACTGTTTCAGTGTGGAAAATTCTAAGAGTACCAGTCTATTACTTTCCATCGATCCCTCAAATGCTCTGGTACTGACAAGAGAGTGGGGAGGGGCCTTTCATTCTCGCGAATTGCTCTCACACGGCCACGCGTATGCAGCCACTGACAGGAAAGTCCTCATCTGCCTTCTCACGGAGCGGGTGTAGTTTACGAAATTGAGAGGACGAAAAGCGAGTGTTCGACGCTTTAATGAAGTTGAAGTATAGTGATGAGTTTCACTCAACTGGTTGTTCAACGACGATCCGTAGTGTCGCAATCTGGTCTGTGCACGACCTATCCTTACGGAATCCAGCCTGATGATCCCTACGTTCGGCGTCTACTGCGTCTTTCATCCGATTCAGCAGTACTTTGTTGAAAACTTTTCCTGGTACTGACAACAAACTGATGCCTCTGTAATTCTCACATTTGCTCAGATTTCCTTTCTTTGGTATCTTGATGAGATATCCTTCTTTCCAGTCCGTTGGCACTTGTTCCTCTTCCCAAATCTTTTTGAATAGAAGGTGAAGCATGTTTGCAGTTATTTCAATGTCTGACTTCAGTGCTTCAGCTGGTATATTGTCAGGTCCTGCCGCCTTCCCACTTTTGATTTGGCTGATGGCCATCTTGACTTCTTCGATCGTTGGTGGAGTGACATCTATTGGAAGGTCTGTGTGTGCCGCTTCGATGTCCGGTGGATTCAATGAGGCTGGTCTATTCAGCAGTTCCTCGAAGTATTCTGCCCATATTTCCCCCTGTTCTTGAACCTCTGTGATTGTCTTTCCTTTTTTGTCCTTAACTGGTCTCTCTTGTTTACTATATCTCCCTGCCAATTTCTTCGTTGTATCATATAGTTGTCTCATATTCCCTTCTCTTGCAGCTTTTTCCGTCGTTGTTGCTAGTTCTCCCATGTATTTCTGCTTGTCGGCCTTAATGCTTTTCTTCACTTGCTTGTTTGCTTCTGCGTAGTCTGCTTGTGCTTTGACTTTCTCTGCTCGTGTTCGGCTGTTGCTAATTGCTAGTTTCTTGTTCTTCCTTTCTTGAATTTTGTCCAGGGTTCCCAGAGAGATCCATTCCTTGTGATGGTGCTTCTTAGGACCAAGAACCTCCTGACACGTTGAAGTTAGTGCTTCTTTTATCCCTTTCCAGTTGTCCTCCAAAGTAGTTTCTTGTTCTTTCAGTAGATCCTGTAGAGCTTGCAACCTGTCGTTGAGAGTTATCTTGAATTCATGGAGCTCGTCAGCATCTCGAAGGAAGGCTGTATTAAACCTTTGTAGTGCTGTTTGTCCAATTGTCCAGTCTTTCTTTAGCTTCAGTCTCATCCTGGCCATAACCTGGTGGTGATCTGAAGCTATGTCAGCTGCTCTCCGGGTTCTCACATCTTCCATTGACTTTCGGAATTTTTTGTTGGTACAGATGTGATCTATCTGGTTCTCTGTGGTGTGGTCCGGCGAGATCCATGTAGCTTTGTGTATGCGCTTGTGCGGGAATATGGTGTCACCTATGACCAGTTTATTGAAGGCACATAGGTTTGCAAATCTCTCACCATTTTTGTTCCTTTCTCCCAGTCCATGTCGTCCCATGACGTCTTCGTATCCAGTGTTGTCCATTCCGACCTTAGCATTGAGATCTCCCATCAGAATGGTCGGGTCCTTGGTTGGGATGGGGCCGCTAACTCCATACCCAACCCTCCTCCTTTACCCGGGCTTGGGACCGGCAGTATCCCCCGGAGGAGCCACAGGCGAAGTTCGATCATCGTTGTCTCCGAAGGATTGCTGACATACAGTGGCGACACCATGTTAGTAATGCTGAGGTTCGGCATCGTGTGTTCGGGCGCAGAGACGATAATTCAATTGGTGTCACCATCTTGAAACACCGACTTCGGTGGCTTGGACATGTTTTACGAATGTCGTCCCAGAGACTTCCACGTCGTGCATTATTTGCCGACCCTGGGACTGGTTGGAAAAAGCGGAGAGGAGGTCAGTGTATGACATGGTGTCGTGGCATGAAAGAGAGCTGCAAAGGGCTAGCTTCCGTTGGTCCTTCACGACTCCCTGGTTGGGGTCCGAGAGATAGTGCAACACAGTGGCTAAAGACGTTATCAGATATGGCTCAGAATAGAAGCCAGTGGCGATCCTGCTGCAACCTTCTTTTACTTTCTACATAAAGAATGGTTCTAACTTTCTTAACTGAGAGAGCTCTTCTGGTTGTACATTTCAGCCCGCCTTATCTTTTCATCCCTTCTCTTCCTACTTTCATTATTTTGTGTGGCGCATATGTACCTGGTGCCCTTTTGTACCAATATATATGTGTTTAAATAAATAATAAATAAATATATAGTTATGAATAAGTTGTAATTTTCTTTACATTTCTGTGTAACTTTCAACAATCTTGATTTTTATGGTCTGTTAGGTAGGAATAAATGTTTAAGTAAAGTTTTTGGTGGAACTGTACCGTACCGACAAACGAATAAAATTTCGGTTCTTATGTTTTGCGCGAAATCTGGAAAATGAAGAATGTCTTAGACTCCATTGACAGCCAACTGAAACTTTTTACAAGAACGCCTAAATTCAATAAATCTGAGAAGACAAAATGTAGGGAAACACCTGAGTGTCTTTAAAAGAGTGGTTAGTTTTACATGAAAAATAATCACAAACAAACGAAATTAAGACATATACAGCATTTTATTATGATTCACAAACATTTTGAGGCAAGTCAAAGGTTCTTGATGCTTGAATTCAAAGAACTAACTGCATAAGTATTCTTATACAGATGGCTATAAAGCACTTCCTTCTTAACACTACATTACTACCATTGAAGTGATTACTTCTATGAATTTGGTGCTCATCCTGTTGTGCGAATGAGGTGCAGCAACTTTAACCGATGCATATATGCTCCTGGCTCTACGTTGTAGCTGACTGACTGACTAACACCAACTCATAACCCCAAATATTTTTGGTTTTCTGGACAAAATTGTTCGTTTGTACCGTCTAAACTTGCATTGTATAGTGGTTTAATGAAAGTCCTCAAGATAATGTGTGGAGTCACTGAAGGTTGTTCAAAAGTATGGTCGTACGCAGCTGCTTTGTGAATATTAGGGATTGATCATTAGTAGTTAGAAAGTTTGTTCTTCAGCCAGTGTGTTACAAGCCAAAACGTTGCAGCACTTCATTTTGGATAAATGTTTATTATCAGTGTGTAGCTAGAAACCGGTCACATAAATATATACTTGTTAAACGAGTCACTATAAATTTATTTTAAGTGAGTTTATATATATCTTTTTAGCTATATCTATTTACCGACGTGTGATCTTCGTGGAGTTCGAAAGTCCTTCGGCGGCGGAAAATGTCATAACTAGTGAAAATGGGAAGATGTTTCAGAATAGTTATGTGTCCATACGAAGTCCGCAACCATGGGATTTGATGGTTGCTGGAGATCTTGTCACGAAATACGAAGTGCCAACTTCATCTGAAACCAATAAAGAAGCTGACGCGGAAGTAAAAGATGAAAATGCATCAAATGACAATGTTCACACGGAGGTTGAGGAGTGAGTTTTTATTACCACTAGTCTATTATTGATAAGCGTCTTTGTCATTTGGAATGATAGTTCTTTTATCATCCTTTGATGAGAAATCTCAATTCTGTAGTCTGTTGAACTTGTGACATCGTGCAGTCAGCACTTCTACTTGAAAAAATCAAATTAAGTATCGATCACTAGGACGTAGCTTTATATTGATTTTGTCAGTGGGGCATTATTGTCCAAAGTTTTTTTGTTTATGTTGTGGTAGAAAGTCTATCACATCGTTGCTTAGATAGCGAAGTAGGGGCCTAATGGTTAGGGCATTCGACTCCAGGCTACTAAGTTCCTCCCACATAGGTTGCTGATGCCCAGGTGAATAAGATAACTGTCATTGTCGCTGTTTTGGAGAAGTATTTAGGCATATATCCCGAAAACCATACCGAAAAAGTTTTTAACAACTTTTTGCCGATTACTTCCCCTATAATTATTTCTGAGGAGGTTTTATCAGTGTTTTCATCTTTAGCGGTAGTGTTGTCAATAAATCATACTTTCTCGAATGAAGCACTAATACCATGACTTGTGTTCATTACTGTAATTCGACATCTCTTTCTGTGGCGTGTGGTAGTGAAAGTATGATTGGTCATTGAGCGTGGACGAACAGCCACAGCCTACGGACTATTAATTATGTGATTTTTCCTTCTTATCATTAATTTCTACTCTGGACTCACTGTGTGTGACTGCTTGTAGTTGTATTAAGTATTCTCTAGTATTAATCTGGTTCTCTATTTTGGGTCGCGAATCCTGGTTCTGATATTAAATGATTAGTCTTATTAACGTATTATCGTAATATACATGAGAGAGGAAAAAATATTGTAAACCATCAGTTGCATCACTCTGCTGTATTTATTGATAGTTCTTTGTATGTTGTTGACACAAAACCTTGGGCTTAAGTTTTATGCTAATATAATATCTCAATAGGTCTGATCGAAACGAGCAGTACAGTTTTTTAAGTCACTAACTGTTGATACCATTCCTAAAAGTTGTTAGATTTTCAGAATAGCATTTTCACAGTGTTGTACATCAGTAATTGTAAACTATTGGTAACATGGCTCAGAATCAATCAAAATAACTTGAGCGAATTTAACACATATCTTCAAAATGTGGAACATTTTATTACTCATTTATTACTCATTTTATTACTCTGCTAAGGAAGTCCTACTCACTGCCTTCTCGTGGCGGGGGTGTTGTTTACGAAATTGAAAGGACGAAAAGCGAATGTCCGGCGCTTTAACCGGGTTGGTGGACACGGCGAGTTCACCTAGGGGAGTTGGAAAACCCTCATTTCAAACCAATGGTGCACATGGGCTCCAGGATTCTGAGGGAACAAATGGCGTATGAATCAATCGTTGGTCACCAGCTACCATGGGAATGCATATCCTCACGATGCTCCACTGTCTTGTGGATCAGACCTTTAGGTCAAAGGCTCTGAGTGTGACCCCCTAAGAAAACCATCTGCTTCAGTTTGGGCACCTGAGCAGCCCTCATACAAATCGAATGAGATTTGTGCGGCGCATACATATTCGGTGCTTCCTTGTACCAATATTTATGTGTCTAAATAAATAAAATGAAGTTTAATTGACTAGTTGTTCATACTTGTAGAATTTGTGTAATACATGGACTTGCTTATTCTTTCCACTAATACTGTACTTATTCCATAATATTGATAATGATGATATTTTAGGGTAAAAAAATTAATTACACATATAAAATATTTGGATAATGATGAACTCTGGACGTTGTATAATGCATTACAAGATATGCGAAATGAAAGGGGAGCGAAGACTAAAGTTAAAATTCGTAAGTTTCATATTTCTGCAGAGTACAGTTGACCTTTTAAGCCATCTATCTCCCATAAAATTACGAGAAAGTTTAATTTGTAATTTATTTACTAATCTTTATTTAACCATAATTGAATTTTGTTAATAAGTTGGGACTTGGCTCAGTAGTACAAATAACTGAGTTGTAGTTGAACGAAATACTAGGTGTTTTTAGTAGCCACTAATCAGTTCTTGTAATTCAGTCACCATTCTATTGTGACTGTTATTTTTAAAATAGATGTGAAATCTAAGTGTTATTCTCTTAGCTAAAAGACTTCAAAGTCGATTAAGCATATATATTATTTATTTATAACAATCTACCCAATGCTCAATTTATTCAAAATTATCAAATCAAGACTTGGTAATGATACCTATATATATATATATATATATATATATATATATATATATATATATATATATATATATATATATATTATTGATTTTTATGTTATATATGTTATATGTTATATGTTATTGATTTTACCATACCGATTTGTATTCTAATAAGGGGATTTCACAATAGCACTTTCTAAGGCACGCTACCTACCATGGCGAGTAGTGCCATATTTTATACATCAATCACTATAATTACTTCTAATAGAAAGATAAAGCATAATTATTATTTTTATTTTTCACTTATGAATCAAAAAGGCATTATGTCTAATATTTTTTTAATATCCTTTTACTCCAACAAACAAACACTTAAAGTTCCTTCTGGTCGACCTTGGCTCGATTCAACAGGCAAAAGTCTATTCACTGAAAGAACTGAAACATTACACAAACTAGAATTAGAAGATAGTAAAGTAAATCGTCGTCGTTTTATTCAATGTGACAAACTATACACTGAAGCCAGGAATGAATGCGAAAAAGCATGGTTCAATATAATTGACCAAGAAATTAATACGTGTAATGCTCCTATACTTCCAGAAGGTAAGTGTGTTCTTTTTGTTGTAAGCAATTACTCATAATTTGAAAAAGATCGGACGTTTTTTTATCGTTCACTCCAAATTAAGTTATGTTAGCAAGCAATGAAATTGTTATATTCTGCTACTGGTAAACATGATCCTGCTCGTGAACTTAACTTGCTACTTAAAGGAAAACATTGAGAGTGAAAAGTAAGGTTTTTTATTGGCCAACTGAATAGAGAAAACACTACAAATTCATATATATATATATATATATATATATATATATATATATCCTCCGTGTTGTATTTGAGGATCTTGCTTTTTGTTTGTGTATGTTGAGGCCTACTGATGCAGAGACTGCTGCTACACTAGTTGTCTTCTGCATCTGTTCGTCATCTGCGAAGTACGAATTGCCTGGTTGACTCCGGGCCGTCCATTGTATTCCGTGTTTCCCCTCCGGTGTGAAGAGCTTCATAATCCACTCAGCCATCAGAAGAGAGAGAAAGGAGGAGAGTAATCAGCCTTGTCTGACTCCTGTTTTCACTTGGAATGTATCTATCAGCTGTCTTCCATGCACAACTATGCACTGTAATCCGTCGTATGAATTCCGTATGATATTGACAATCTTCTCAGGTACACCATAGTGTCGAAGAGGTTTCCATATAGTCCTCCTATCCACACTGTCGAATACATTCTCATAGTCAAAGGAGTTGATATTTAGTGTCGAATTCCATTCAACTGAATGTTCAACAGTGATCCGTAGTGTAGCGATTTGGTCTATGCACAACGGATCCTTACGGAATCCGGTCTGTTGGTCTCGAAGTTGAGCAACAAAAAAATTAATAATAAATGCTCTCCATAAAATTCATAAAATATTTTCAAACAATTTCAAGAAGAAATGTTAATCATTGAATTGAATATTTTGATACAGAGACTTACTTTATTCGAATAAATTTAAGCCACTTCATTAATAAGGAATCTATTCAGTTATAAAAGGCAAATATGGAAATAAGTTATGGATAACAACCAATTAAAGTATACATCAAAGTTGACGATTTCAAATCCTAGAATTTTTATAACTTACAAACAACAATTCACTAGATTTTATAATACATATGTAAAATAATTTAGTAGACCAATGACATGTGAAAATTAAACCATAAAATTTTGAACATAACTATTGTATGAGTTAATTAACTAAAAAAGAAAGATAAATTTTCATTGGAACGATACAGAATATTCACTAAAACCAAGGTAAGCAGTTTGGAATTAATCATTTGAAGCATTGATCAATTTGTAGTGCCGCGATTCGTTAATCGTTTACTTAGATAACCGTTATAATTGTAAACTTAACGGCGCGTAAAATCAGAAGACAAAGGATAGCAGCAACTACAGTTTATTGTCGAATAACTCAGGTTCGAAAGCTAACAACACCTGAGCGAATATCAACGAGCGAGTGAGCGGCAAGCGAGAAAGCGAGTGAACAGGCGAATAAGCGAAGGAAACGAACGAGGAGCAAGCGAGCGAATAGCAAGCAATTACATAGGCAATTTATAGTCAAATTTAATAAGGGCACAGCAAAGCAAAACAAAGGCTGATAATAATATTTGCGTGCGTACATATATGGGGAGGAGTATGAGTCATCGAATGATATTTAAGCAGTCAACATTTCGGCTAGAGTGTCATGTGCTCTAGTGGTATAGCAGTGCAAAGAATATGCAAATTGTTACTATCCAAATGACGATGTCTGTTAAGTAAGTTAATAAAAAGGGCTTAATCGAAATTGATTGTAGGATGGTTGCTATAATATCCAAACTTCTAGGGAAAAACTTCCTAGGAAGAAACCGCTTAATGAAACTACTAAATTGATAAACATTGATAAACACATCCTTTCTGCAATGCATAATAAACATGTTATCAAAATCCTATTCTAAATTATTGGATAAGGATATGACTTACTTATGTATTACTGTATTACTACTACCTTGGGTGTGGGGATTGGTTTTAATGTTAGCAAATAAATCTCCTTAAGAATCATCTAAGTGATTTTAAATAATAATCCTGAAACTTCGTTAAAAGTGGCACTATGAAATCACTATAGTAATATTTGAACAGTTGAGTAGTATGAAAATTCTCTACAATAAAATTAATTTGAAACCCATGACGGCAATATCAAAAGTTACATGATAATAACTGGAAAACACTGAATATATTAACACAGTGAAACTCAAAACCCACCACAAAAAATAATAAAAAGGGGTTTTATAATTAATAATCACATGAAACAAAATGTTACGCAGTTAAATATCAGAAACTGAATCCGTCAGGATCGTAAGAAACTGACACATAAATACAAATGGATAAATATAGTAAAAGGTAAAATAAAGTTTGAATCTTCCAACTTTTGTCTTTATCAACGAGGAATTCGTATGGTACAGAGAAACTAGTTTAGCAGCCGGATGCCTACTTTTCAATACAACACAATCTAGAATTATCCTGTTGAAGATATTTATACTGGTTAATTAGTGGGCTTTTAAGATTTCACTTTAAGAACACTTTTCACCACAGGCTATACAGGTATTAAAAGCCAGATACCAACCTCTGACTTATCCTTGTGTTAAATAAATACATCGTCAACACTAAACGAGATTGAACACAAGACCTTCAGGTTTTGAAGCGAGCACGATACGACACAACTGAGTCGATATCCAACAATCCATTTTCAAATCTAATTTTATATCTTTATCCAATGTTGTTCATGACCATTAGCCTTATTTCTAACGTGTCTGGTTCAACTGTGTTCTCACTAGTATTTTTTTAGTAAATCCATTTTGGTAGTTACACATCAGTTAGAATACGGTTATATCAACTTTATATCGACGGTCAGTAGATCGATTAAATTGCCAAGGATTTATTTAAGAGATTCATGTGTGATTAACGTAATTCGCACTTTTAATTTTGTAGATATGAACAACATATCGTTCACTCCAGAAGTTGCAGCCCCCCAACCTCAGATAAATGGTCCTGTATATGATTCCACAGGATTTCTCATGCCATATCCCAATCATTTTTCTTCAGATACTTGCTACAATGGATATTCTGCTGTATAATCTATGCTTAACTAAATATATACATTAAAAATCATTTTACCGGTCTTCACATCATTTCGATTGGTTTAAAATCGATTTTAAAAGGTTATAAACCTGGATTTCATAATTTCTTAATATCTATCGATGGGATCAGCACTTAAGTATAAAGAAATCGATACTTTCATGAACTAAAATTTTAAATATTCCATGCTAGTGAATCTAAAAATAGTTCAAAATGTAGAGATTTATCAAAATGGGTGGATCGTAAGTCTTACTTTTCCATAAAACAGTAATGCGATGTTATTCAATCTTTAGATTAGTTTGTTATGAGATATGTTGGTGCGCATTTCATATGCATTTTCTATGACAGTCACAATGAATATATACGATTCTACTATTTTATCTTTTCACATAATCTACGGACTTCCGTAGGTATATCAGTCGTTTGATCCATGTTTTATCCTGCATGGTTGAACACAAATGGTTCAAATGGTTGAGGACGGAATAGAAGAAGCTTTCGCTTAACGGGCTTCCGTGTCTGGTAGCAGTGGATCACCAATACCTCCAGGCAAGAACCTAGGTATATGAACGATAATAGAGGGGGAAAAAGAATTTGGTAAATCATAATAATATGTTATCCTTAGTCCTTAAGAATAAGTCAAGTTTCCTCTTAAAGGACTCCTGGGAGGTCGCTTGGACTAGATCAGTCGGCAGTGAATTCCAGCACTTGACAACTCTAACGGAGAAGTTGTGTCTGCAGTCTGTTCTGCTATGTAGGGTCTTCAATTTCTGGGTGTTACCTCTCAGGTTAGTGTTATGACTAAGCTTAAGATGTTTAAGGGGATGACCAGAAGTATTAAGGATACTATAAGTCATAAGAAGATCACCTCTAAGACGCCTATACTCTAATGGGTAAAGGTTAAGTGAGTTGAGGTGCTCTTCATAAGGTTTGAATTTGAGTCCCCGAACTGATTTCGTGGCTCGACGTTGTATACGTTCCAGAGTGACCTTATCCTTTTGGAGGGAGGGAGGAAATACTATGTTTCCGTACTGTAAATGGGGACGAATAAAACTGTTGAAGATTATGTGGAAGGTTCTACCGTCAAACTGGCCAAAAATGCGCTTCAATGTTACCAGTGCAAGGTTTGCTTGAGAGGCGTTTTTGTCACAGTTCGCATACGATTTCAGGTCATTGGATACCAACACTCCTAAATCTTTTTCAACTTGGGAAACTTCTAGAGGTGAGTTACCTAAGTTATAACTATAGTCTGCAACATGTCTCAGATGGACTACCTTGCACTTTGAAGTGTTGAAGGTAAGTCCGTTGTCGTCTGCCCAACTTTGAAGTCGGGTCAGATCCTCCTGAAGAACTAGTATATCATTATGATTACGTATCTCTCTCCAAAGTTTCACATCATCAGCAAAAAGCAATAAGTCAGGTGAAACTTGTTGAGGAAGATCGTTAATATAAATCAAGAAGAGAAGAGGTCCTAGTATTGAGCTCTGGGGGACCCCACTAGGACATTCCATAGCCTGAGAGAGAGAGTGAAGTTAACCCTGACCTTAAAATGTCGGTTTTCTAAATATGAAGAGAGCCAGTCAATCAAAGGGGGTTCTATACCCAATCGTCCAAGCTTCTTGATAGGGCATGCGTGGTTGACCCTATCAAAAGCTTTTGAGAAGTCCAGGTAGATGAGGTCAACCTTCCCCTTGCGATCAAGGATGGTTGTCCATCTATCCACCGCAGTCAGCAGGTTGGTCATACAAGAATGACCTTTTCTGAAACCATGCTGTTGAGGTGAGAAGAACTTTGAGGATGATAAGTGTTCTAGTATGCCGTCGAATACTAGGGATTCCATAATTCTGGAATGTGTGGAGAGAAGGGCCACTGGTCGGTAGCTTGAGGGTTCACTGCGTCAACCTCCTTTGAAAATTGGTGTGATGTGGGCCAGCTTCTATATTTCCGGTAGTTTGCCTCTGCTTAGCGAGTGTGCAAACATCGCGCTAAGTGGTGTTGCCAGGATTGAAGCTGCTTCCCTCAATACAGCGGAATGAACCATATCCGGACCAAAAGAAGTGTCTTTTCTTAGGTGCTGCAGTTTACGGAGCACCAGGTCCACTTCGGAAAGTCCTGTAGAGGTGCAGGTGAAGCTTTCGTCAGTATGGTTGATGTGGGTCAGCTGGAATGTCCGGGAGTATTGTTCAGCCAAAAGGTTAGCGGCATCAGCGTCGTTATTGGTCGGGCCATTAGGACCAAGCAGATGGTAGTAGATGCTCACAACAGATTGTAAGCAATGTTCACTCGAATGAAACAGACGGTAATAATTTGAAGTACTTGAATTATAGTATAAACTAGTAATCCCAGCAATAACGCAACTTAATCAAGAAGTATTAGATGAGTACGAACAAATGTACTTTGTTTGCAATTCAAAAACAAAACAGTCACCAATACAAAGGAGTCATTGGTTCATGCAAACACCACATCCGCCGCAGCTTAAATTGGAGTGTAAGTGTCTGTAATCGATTGTACGTCTTCTTCTTAAGTTCATCTTACCCCTGTCTGACAGTGTATTGGATGTAGACTCTGTATCATCTAGAATTTACTCGTTAGTATTAGAATTAACAACCGAAATTGGAACAGACTCACCTGGTTCCTGGAATTGTATTTGATCAACATGTCGGTTATGTATACTCAAGTTATTGATATCCAGAATTCGCACTATAAATTTTCCAACATTTTTCACCACGATCCCCTTGGCTGGTCAGCAGCAATATCCACAGGTGATGCGTCAGTATTAAGTACAGAATATACACTGGGTGAGTAAGTTCGAAGAACAGCATCACTTTGAAGAAACTTTAGCAGACCTCGTAAGCATGACTCTTGTTCCTCACCTCATTTGAATGAATTAGATATCAAAATGTTAAATAAACAGTTGGCACGACAAGAAAAATTAGAAATAAAACGAGAATAGTATTGAAGAGCACCCACCAGTGAACATAATTCTATGAGATTTTATGGAGACAGTGCATTTGTCAGCGGAGCTAGTCGTTTCATATCTGGTCTAAAACCATTACCATCAACTAGGTATTCAAGGCATTAGAAACTACATACACAAAATGAACATTTATTTGGTTTCAGTTGAATATTCTTCTCAATTAAACGACACAATAAAGTAATGTCTCTGGTCATGAACTACTTTATCGGTACTATGAACGATGAGATCATCTTGATAAACTTCAAGATCAATGACTACCTTATTCATCACATGCTGAAATACGGCTGGAGAACAACTTAGACCAAATGGAAGGAAGTTGTATTTGAGCAGGCCAAACGAAATGTTAATTGTCGTCAAAATAAATGAAGATTGATCTAAAGGGATTTGAAGATAAGCATCTTTTAGGTCAACTTTCGAACCATGAAGTCGATTTAGAATATCCTCAGCCTCCATCGTCGTGTATGTTTGCTTCAAACGGGAGTTCAGTGTTAATCTATAATCACCACGTATTCTATGAGTCGGTCGGTCAGCTACAACGTAGGACCAGGCACATATATGCATCGGTCCAAGTTGCCATACCTCGTTAGCACAACAAAATCAACACCGGATTCATAGTAGTTAATCTAGTGTTGGTAGTAGTATATAAATTATAGGTTGTATATAAGGATATAGTACAGGAAGGAAGAGAGATATGAAGCAATTTTAGTCTCAAGGTTTAAGGGAAGATAAAGAGTGTATACACCTACGCCATTGTGACCGATTCTGAGCCATGTCACCTAGAGTCTCCAACCATTGGTTACGATAGTCACGCGGACCCCAACCAGGTAGTCTGCATCTGCCAACATGGCTCAGGCTAGAAGTTAGTGACTTCAAACACTGATGCCATGTTTCGGTTTGGCCGCCCCTAACTCTCTTCCAACCGTCCCCTACACTAGTCATCATAGCGCGTTGTGGTAATCGGTGTTCAGGCATACGTAACACATGGCCCAACCATCTCAGTCGATGAAGATTCATGACCTCATCAACTGATTTACCATCGTTCCCTAATACCGTATGTCTAACCTCACTATTACTTACCCGGTTATCCCAGCAGATGCGAGCAATATTTCTAAGGCATCTGTGGTCAAATACTAGTAACCTACGAGTATCTTCTACTCTTAATGGCCATGTTTCACAGCCGTAAAGTAGGACAGAGCGAACTGATGCGCAGTATACTCGTCCCTTAATTGATAGACGGATATCCCGTCTACGCCATAGGTGACGTAAGTTGGCAAAAGCCAAACGAGCTTTTTGAATCCGTGCTGAGATTTCGTCTGACACCAACCCATTAGGGCTGATCAGACTTACAAGATAAGTGAAGTTGTCGACGCGTTCGACTACTTCACTCCCTATCCTTAGTTCGAGTGTTGACGCAGGCCAGTCCTGGAGTAACAATTTACATTTGGATGGGGAGAAACGCATCCCAAACATCCTGGCATTATTACTGAGTTCCAACAGAAAACTCTGCATTTTGCCAGCGTCTTCACCAAACAGGACTATGTCATCTGCGTATTCTAAGTCGCTTAGTGGTCCCCCTGGTAGGAGATCAATTCCTGTAGATTCAGTCGAAGAGAGTGTTATTTCCAGCAACAGGTCTATAATGAAGTTAAACAAAAATGGGGATAGTGGACAGCCTTGACGGACACCACTTGAGGTTGTAAAATCATATGACAGTTCGCCATAAGCTCTCACTCGACTAATAGTGTTCGAGTAAAGAGCCTTCAAAAGGTTTATGTACTTCTCAGGTACACCTTTCAATGACAGACACTGCCACAGAACCTCTCGGTCTACAGAGTCAAATGCTGCTTTCAAGTCAAGAAAAACTATCATTGTCGGACGCCGATAAGCGTGTCTGTGCTCTAAAACTTGATGAATGGTGAATATGTGGTCGATACAGCCACGACCAGGTCTGAAGCCAGCCTGATTTTCTCGTGTTTGCAGTTCACGAGTCTTAGTTAGGCGCCCGATAATTATTGAGGCTAGTATTTTAAATGCTATGTTAGTCAGACTAATCCCTCTATGGTTATCGCAGGATGATTTTGACCCCTTTTTATATATTGGGACAATCAGTGATTGTGGCCAGTCGGATGGGATTACATCCGTCTCCCAGATTTTAGCCAGAATATTAGTCAATCTAATCGCTAAAATTGGACCACCGTATTTAAAAACCTCTGAAACCAATCCATCAGGACCAGCTGCTCTTCCTCGTTTCAGATTACCTATAGCCTTTTGAACTTCAAGTAGGGTCGGGGGGCCTACTTCAATGTTCCATTCAGGTTTTCTAGGAATAGTGGGTAGTTGTGCAGTAGCTGAAGGCCAGCTAAACTGCTCCTTAAAGTGTTCCGCCCATCGTTCTAAACGTTTAGGTTGAGAGCTATTCTATGAGTACTGCCACCCGATTCCAATGGCGTAACAATAGGAGTATCCCATGCTGAGGACTGAATCGGTTCAATTATACCTTTCAAAATAATCCTCAAAAGTTGAATGAATGTCCGACTGTTCTATCGCAGGCTCCGACGCGACGCCAATGTAATGATTTGAAGTACTTAAATTATAGTATAAACTAGTAATCCCAGCAATAACGCAACTTAATCAAGAAGTATTAGATGAGTACGAACAAATGTACTTTGTTTGAAGTTCAAAATAAAAACAGTCATCAATACAAAGGAGTAATTGGTTCATTCAAACATCACACTCCAGTCTTTAATAGGTTAAAATGAAACATATCAAACGGTGCTTTTTCGTCTTACTATTGATGAAACCATTGGCATAATTATAAGGAGTTCAAACCATATGCGCAGAGATGTCTATCCATCAGTTTCTCCTACCATAGTCGTAACGTCTTTATTTGCGAATCACCACCGTTCTCTGGTGACCCTTTGTCGACTTATTTCTCCTGTCCTCTATGTTCACACTTCTTCTTCAGATTTATCTTATTATGTTACCCAACCTATCTCAATTATTGATCTGCATTTTCTTAACCATTCCGTAGTCTCTTCATAGCAATAGTACTACTACTGTGCAGCACACATAATGTATATTTACGATTTTACAGTGTCAAGAATGAAATCCAGTGGGAAAAACTACTGTTTTTGCCTTTCTGCGATCCTATGATGCCATTCGCCAATGCAGCCGCTCTATAGAGTGACAGTCATCTTAAACCAATTTTTAAAGGTAACAGAGAAGACACTGATGCACGCATCCAAAATCCTGACAGTCATTGTAAATTGGAAAATAATGTAGGGTAGGCAACTGAAATTACTAACAGATCAACAGCCTTTGGCTCCAAATACGTATCCGGACTTTGCACTGAGAAGTAATGTTACTGGAATACTGTTTTGACCTCCAGTTTTGACGAGATTAAGACTTTGGACATTCTTATAATCCGACGGTGAAAACCCGGACAAATTATAATAGTATAAACAAGGCTACGCTTGTTGTAGTCTCGCCTTAAGTGGTTATTAATCAATCCGGCAAATGGTGGGGCTAACAAGATACAGCAAATAACCAGGCACATTTAACACGAGTGACCATAATCTGTGTAGCTCAGACGGCTATACCAACTATTTCTCTGCATTATAGATGGCTTTAAAAAAGATACTCCACCAACACAACGATAGATAGAACCACGTCAATCTATTCCAAATACTCAGCTATTGTTTGTATGAAGTCCGTTGCTGATAACTGCACCCTGACTGAAAATGGATCGTTTGACTAAATTCGATGAGCTGTGAGCAATACCGACAAGAACCTGAAAAAGCTCCAGCAACGCGATGTCCAGAATATGCACAGGTTTCTGAAGCCATATTTCTGGGCTTTTATACTTATTGCTAGTAGGTCATTCTGAATTCAAATGATAGTATCCACTATTAATGGAAATGAGTTATCCTTTTAAGTCGTCCTGAGGCTCATATGGACGTTACTGAATGATATCACCAACACGCGTTTGGCGTCTTAAAACCCTTAGTCAAATGAACATAATTATATTTTGAGAAGGAAGGGGTAATAGTGTTAAATATCTAACAGTTCTCACTAATTTATCGAATTATCCCTTGTAATACGGTAGCGAAACAGGTAGAATTGAGTGAATGCTCTGGACAATGAATGGTGCGATGAAGATAGTTGACGAGTGGAAATAACCAACAGACAGGATATATGTAGTATAAGCAAAGCTAAGCCGTATTATAATGAGAATAACTTGAATTTGTTGTAACGATCGGGTCGAGACATTCGGTCGAGACATGTCGTCTCCAAAGACGCCCACATGCACCCAAAATATTTTTGCAGATAAGGGGATATGTGTACTAATTAATAATGAAAATCGAACGAGTCAGAATTGCTCAAGTGGTTACTGTCCAGCAGATGACAATGAAGGTGTGTTGTACAAACTAATTGAAAACTTTGAATTCGACACTTTGAACTTTCTTGTTTATCAAGATTCTCTACAGGGACTGGCGATCCATATCTACCGCAATGACCCAGGCTTTTGAAATTAAAATTTCAGATATAATACTGAGAAGATGGTAATTGAATCCGAATAAGTGAAAAAACGAATCATTACCCCCTTAAGTCTTCTAACTAATGAGTGGAACTAAATAAAACTAACAATGAAAGAAACAATTCTTTTGGCTGATTATAAATTTTAAACATGATTATTCATGAAAACAAAGCAAAATTAAGATAGAATTTAATTAAACTTTTAGTCTCACAGACAAACACATATACACAATGGGCAAACGAATATCAGAATAATGAGTGCTGAGAAAAAAAATATACACAGACGAATAAAAGTGTTAAACGAAAAATTTATTACATTAACAGCACTACTGCTGTTTAAAACAAAGAAAGACTATTAATAGCTAGTCGAAAGAGCACACCTATTCTGTGAACGATTAAAGTATACACAAAAAAAACAACGAAAAAAAAGGAAAATATGAAAGATAAGTCATCCATAAGAGAATGTGTAATGCAGACGAACATACAGAAATATGTTATATACAAAAATATGGTATTTCAATACAAGTCATCAGTGAGGATGATGAAACGTTTCTCAAGCAAATTAAACCATTCATTAATGATAGGTAAATTATGAAAAGAAAAAAACAAACAATACAATGAGATTTATAGAATAGGCGGTATTAACAATTAATTATTATAAATCTTACGAAAATAATGTACATATACATATATGTATATATATATATATATAAATATGTACAAAATTGAAATTTCTACAATATACCACTATATAAACAATGTTACAAACAAATTAGTGATTATGTAAAAAGAGAATAAATCATGCCGTCAATGAAACTTTAATATGAAATATAAATGTACAGAAGTTAAAATTTAGATGTAATTGCGAAAAAATAACACAAATTATACTTTTGAATATAATATATATATCAAATGTTTCTCAAATAGTAGGGAAGCATTAACCCAGAACATAATAATGAATTATTATTATTTTGGGGAATGTGATTGTAGCATAAATCAATTGAACTTTCAACAAGAAGAATTTATTCACGATATAATCCGATGTAATTAATGAGATCTGAACAATTTCATTATTACACTTTAAAAAAAGAAGTAGGTTTACATAATTACATTAGAACAGTACGATAAAACTTTAGCCAGAAATCTAAGCATACATTGCTTCCATATAGACAATTAAATATGACCAGTAGATAAGCTGCCATAAGAGTGAAAAAGAAAAGAGTGAATGACTATAGAAGAAAAAAATCTTTAGTACAAAAATTAGGATCGAGTTGACAAATAAGTCAGTAGATTATTCAACAAATATAGAATTGTTTAAGAAACCTGATGATATTGGTTTGTTTTGTTCCATTCTTTAGGTAGGACATCTGTAGTATAAACACACCATAATGCACATTTTGCGAAATTTTGACTTAAAGACAAAATATGGCGCAGTAACAGATTTATTTTTACAGCCAAGCGTTGTAAAACATAGTAAGTTAGGAAACAGGTTAAGTAAGAAGATTAGTAATCCGGATCAGATGGTTCAGATTCGTCTGCTGAATCACTTTCTTCCCCACTAGAACTGGCCGCCATCTAGGTTTTAAAAACATCAGGAACATAAGTTAGAGTCAAGAATTAAAATAATCAACTATTGAATAGTTTCACGTTAAAATGTCTGACCACAACAATTAATAGTCACAGTGCTTTATATTTTTTTCAAGTGTATAACTCTTTGCTCAACAGATATTCATTGACTTTTTTCTTGAGAACACTATATACCTAAGTTTTACAACGTTTGTAAAAGAAAGAGAAATGAGTCCTTACAAGGATATTAATTGACTCGGTTAAATATTGCGTAAGCTGTTGCTATTAAGTATACTATTCTTATATATTTATAGCACAGAAACACATACCTTATAAATTAGTGTGCAACTAAAAAAATACAATTGGAGCTACTAGGCTCTGCAGAAGAATTTGGTGTCTACAGTAAGATTACTTATTGTATTTGGTTTAGCTTTTTCAAGTGCACATTTGTGTTTTAATCGACCAACACAATGCGAACAAGCAAAAGAGTAAGTAGAGTTTGCAAAATTCTCGTAGAAATACAGTTGTATAGTACAAACATCTTCAATAGAACATAAGATTCTCTGTTTATTGATTCCAACATTAGGAAGAAAGGATCATTTGAAGAGTCAAAGTGAAATTATTCCTTATCAAATTTCATGCAAGAAAAAACAAGTTTAGTGAAAAGAAATTTAATTACTATGCATCGTTTTCGACGTTTGCGCTTATTCTTGGTATTTCGACCTAGAGGATTTTTCAAATTACCACGTAGATTGAGGGCTGGTTTCCGTTTCTTTGTAGGAGCTGATTGTGCCAACATAAGTCGAGAAGCACCACCTGCCTAGAAATCAAAATGAAAAAAACGCAGTTACTATACATTCATAATAATTTTTTAAGGAAGTGAAATAACTGAACATAACATATTTACCAGACGTTAATATAAGCATGAGTAAATGTACATATTTTACCATAAATCAAGTTAAATATGAGACGGAGCTCTTATTCTATGAATGAGAATGAAATACATTTGCATTAAAGAAAGAATATCAAAAATCACTAACATTTGAATCATCTGAATCATTGTCATCTTCCGAAGATTTACTGTGCAATTGTGGTACTAACGTTCTTACGGATCGACCTTTACTCAACTGTGTACTATCTGGAAGTATAAAAAGTGGTTAATAAATTGGCATAAAGTATAAGTTGATAATATATTTTAATCACTAATAGTAAAAGTAACTTATTTATTAAGAACAGATATAAAAACTTGAATGAATATACGTAAGCAGAATTATAAATGCTACCTGAAACTGTATTTAATCGATCATCATTAGTAGGCCCACCGGACTGTACTGAAGTATTTAAGTCATCAGGTCCCATATCTTCTTCTCCCGGAGGATCAATGGTAAGAATTAACTTTCGGAAGTCTAAGTAATCTCGGATGAGAGATTGCATTTCATTTATCGTTTCTTCTTCACTATCTGCTTGCTTGTCATTAGGATTGGATAACTCCACACTACTATGATCTGTTCTAACTGATGATTGAGAATTGTATAGGATATGGGAATCAGATTTATTAATCTCCATTCCGGCAGCTTTTAAACAAGGTATTGGATGAAAATGAACACCGACACGTCGTGTTAACGGCTTCTCCCATAATTTGGCTGAATCAGAAGGTGAGTAACGTTGGATTTTACTGGAATACAAAGAAAGAAATGTTGAAAATATTGAAGATAGATTTTTATAGTACACAACACGACCTCAATAAGTAAGTTCGTAGACGTTAGATAAATCTTGAAATACTTTGTTTTTGACTTTGACAGTAAAAGTTTTATAAATGTGCAAGTACAGTCAAGTCGTAGATGATAGAAACCAGAACCTTTACTGCTTTTATTTAAGGGCTCAGTTTGACTATGGTAATACCATGAGCATTGTAACTAACAGGCAAATACATGCTCCTGAATTCCATGGTACGGCCAAGAGTGGAGAGAGTCAGCTCTCCCTCTCCAAATGCTCTCTCACATAGTCACGCGTACACAGCCACTGATAGGGAAGTCCTACTCCCTACCTTCTTCAGACAAGGGTGTTGCTTATGAAGTTGATAGGACGAGAAGTGAATGTCTAGCGCTTTAACCGGGTTGGTGGACACGGAGGGTCCACATAGAGGAGTTGGAAAACCCTAATTCTAAACCAATGGTGCACATGGGATCCAAGATTTTGAAGGAACAAATGGCATATGAACCAATTATTGGTCACCGGTCACCATGGGACTGCATCTCCTGATGTTGCTCCACTACCTTTTGGATTAGACCTCTAGGTCGAAGGCTCGGGGTGTGGCGACTTAAGAAGACCACCTGCTTCGGCTTGGGCACACAAGGAGTATCACACAAATCGAATGATTTATGGAGTGCATATCTGTTTGATGCCTCTTTATACCAATGTTTATGTGTTTAAATAAATAAATGTTAAGTACTTCAGCTGACAAAGAATTGAAATCCAAGCTCATTTACTGAGAGAATTTTACGTAAGACATTAGCATTCTTATTCTGGTCATTTCTTCAAAAATGTGACAATTTATACAGATTTACAACCAAAAATCTGTAACTACCACTTAATTTCGAATAACCACAGTATTACTTTTTTTGTTGAGTTGACTTTTGAATAATAAAATTAGCTTTGTCATCAGGGTTTTAGAAGACTTTTTTGAGTAATCTGTATGTATTAAAAATTATGATTCTTAGCACATAAAAATGAAGCTGTGAGAAACTGACACTTGTATCAATATTGATAATTTCAAAATGGTGTGGAAATACTTTTATTTCGTCTACTCAATACTTTTTAGTGTTTACTTACATCAAGCAAAATGATTCATTTTAGTTTTCCATATGCAGCGTTCATTTGCTATTCAAGCAACTTTTTGCAGTAAAATGATAGTGTCATAGCTGTCATAAAACTGTTTCTGAAAACAGAAACTAGCAACTTCCGAAAAATATCATATTTACAGAATATTAATCCTTTTTCATTTAAACATGAGATCATTGAATATAAGAAGACTTACCCGTCAGTGATGCAATAAGATTCTTTTAGAAATTGCTTGAGTGTTAGCAGTAAAACACAAGCGCGACTGGTACGCATTGCGTCGCGAACTATTGCTAAAGATGTTTGGCGAGTCTTAGACAGTCTATCAAATAATGCAATCGGATCCTCCTCCTCTTCTATTTCGAAAGGACCTAAATCAACTCGGGAGACACCTATGAGAAGAATAGAAAATGTTGTGAAAATCAGAAAAAAAAATCAGGCAATTTAGACCAAAATAGACCCAATTTATTATTTGGTCCATAGTAAACAATGGAGATGACAGCTAATAATCAGTAAGTTAAGATGGAAAAAACACTTACCCTCTGTTCCAATGAGAGCCCCAGAAGGGAATTCAGACAGAGATGCGTTACTGGACATAATAGAAGGATTGGAGGAATTCAAACTGTTTATTCTTTGAATAGTATGTTGAATTTGATCGGCAATTAACCCAGCTGTTTCATGATCACCTCTACTCATAGCATCAGCCGAGGCAACTTGTTGGGCCTGAAGTTCAGCACTCAATTGCAGCTCCATTTGTGCACGGTTTTTTGCATCTGTCTCAAGTTGGGCAGCAACAACAGCCTCTAGAGCTGCTTTTAGTTCTGGAAAAAGTGCCTCACGAACATTCTTTAAAACTCCCGAACCAGCCATACTAACCATCAAGTCTATATGATGCACGACAAATAGAGGTTCCTCTTGCGATTGATAAGGAAAATGAGCCAGATTATCAGCAACATATACTAACTGACTGAGAGGAATCTTCTACAATAAAAAAGGAAGTCAATTAGATTCTGTACGTATTGAGAAACATCCCTACAATGAAAATTACAATAAATTGTCTACCACAATAAAATACACTAATACGAATGTATCAGAAATATACATTTGCTTTAGTCAGTCATCTTCATAACCGACAGTGCAGTTATATGACAACGTAAGATCTAACTTTCCGGATGATAGATAATCATACTGCAAATGAATCGCAGATGAAAAACTGAGGAAATGGGGAACAAAGTCAGAGAAATTTGTTAAGCAAAACTCAATGGCGAATAAACGAACATAGTCTATTATTCTCATGAACAACACAATGCAACTTTTCTATATGTACATGAGTTGTGCCCTGGGAATGACTTTAAAATGCACATTCACCAGGAACGAAAATCGAGTGATAGTTTTACAACCCACTCTGAAAATTAATAAAATACAGTTCATGGTCAGTGAACATCAGGGAGCTTTTCGCAAAAGCTTATTCAAACAGCTTGAAACACAGTGTTTAAGAATTCGTTGCTTGAAGTGGATAGACTATTGTCAATTTTAAAAGTTACAAACGACGAAAGTGATAAAAAAATTACTTAAAATAAATAAGTACGAACCTGTGAGTCATCGAATAATGATATTAGTCCATTAAGTAGAGAACGGCGTTGACTTTTGTTGTTTCTAAGCATAGAATATAGATGTGAATTCATAGCAGAAGGAACTTCACTGAAAGGATCTCTAGTACCGCGAATAGCACCAAAAGAATCTTCTGGAATATTGTGAAGGGACTGTGATTCGGAAACATTTGTAGATGGTGAACACTTTGGATTATCATCTGATCCCAAACAATCAACCTCAGATCTATTACGGGTAGTTCGACGTGTAGCATTAATAGAATGAGCGGACTTGTGAAAATTTGAAGATTCAGGGGAACCTATTTGCTGAAGAGAAGGCCCTTCAGAATTACCCTTTAGCTTTTCACGTAACTCATTATATAAAACAAGCTGAAGGCGATAAGATAAGTTGACACCTTGTGCAGCTCGCATCTGCGAAAAAAAGTCAAAGAAAAATTCACATAAAAAAGTGAATAATTGTAACAGGCAAAATTGGAAAAATAAGTAAATCAAGACATCGTACTTACTGTCAGAAAACCTGGGAATTTGGTGTCTATTTCCTGGAGTTGAGCATCAGCTTTAATACGAATATTCGGATCAATATCGGACTGCATAGCTATCAAGTAGGGTACAGTTTGAACTGGATGAACAAGACCTTGACGGAGAATCGTAGTTATGACAGAGAGGGCAGTGAGTCTCACCGTAAAAAATGGAGAGAAAAATGATTCCAGTATATCTTTGAGATACATTTGAGCAACTGAACTACCCATACCTGAAGCAATATCGCCCATTTCTTTTAATGATTCTTGATGTTGACTAGCCTTCCCTGCAACATAGAAATCAACATAATTTTATCAAAGATTCTGAATTATTAAGGCACAAAGTTAAGGGTAATATGACCGAATAGTGCCTTCGTAGAATTGAAAAGATTAAAACGCTACACAGATTGTGATGGATGAAACTATCCTCAATAGTACATGAGTGAAAAATGGTGCGAAGAGTAGAGTATGGCATAGTTGTCAAGTACACAAATCTAAGTCTGATAAACGTGATAATTTTTTAAAAAAGTACTTACTTGTTTACAACTTGGATACAGTCAGTCAGTCAGCTACAACGTAGGACCAGGCACATTTATGCATCGGTCCACGTTACCATACCTCGTTAGCACAACAAGATGAACACCGGATTCATAGAAGTAATTAATTTAGTGGTGGTAGTAGTATATAAATTATAGGTTGTATATAAGGATATAGTACAGGAAGGAAGAGAGATATGAAGCAATTTTAGTCTCAAGGTTTAAAGGAAGATAAAGAGTGTATACACCTACGCCATTGTGATCGATTCTGAGCCATGTCACCTAGAGTCTCCAACCATTGGTTACGATAGTCACGCGGACCCCAACCAGGTAGTCTGCATCTGCCAACATGGCTCAGGCTAGAAGTTAGTGACTTCAAACACTGATGCCATGTTTCGGTTTGGCCGCCCCTAACTTGGATACCGTTCTGGCTCTAGCATTTTTGCCAAACCTAGTTCTTCGTCCTAACCACTTTTAGTCATTTAGTAGCACTAACTTGCTCTCAGTTCTATTGCAGTATTTAGTTATCATGTCTATGGCAATAGCAAATGCTTTCATATGTAAAAGATGTAGTTCAATTTCGTCTACTTTACTAGACTGACAACCATCTCAGTTGAGAATTTATGGTTTACTAAATAGAGAGGAATAGGAGGGTGACTGATACATTAGATGTTCCAGATAATATTGAGGACTAGATATAAAGTTAGATGACAATTTAATTACAAAATCTTTCAGGTACAGTCTGATTTCAATTCATGTTCACAGCTTATCTGCGTTAGATTCACAGTATCATCTTAAATTCACTGAGGGCCGGCAAGAGGTATGAAGTACTTAAATTGCCATTCGAATCAGTAATAAGCACGTCTATTTCTGTAGGTTATTCTCAATTAAAGACATTCAGCAGTAGACAATACAATGGTCAGTTAGCGACAACTTTTATTCATGAAATTGTTCCGACGTGAAATAACGCTGCTACAGCTTAGGAAGAATAAAAAAAACTGTCCAAGGTGGTGAGCTGTAGAGACAAATATTTTTATTTATCGAATAATAAAAAGGTGGTTTATAAAACCAGACCATAGAAAATATCCAAAAACAATACATGTTTACCACATCTTTAAACAGCTGGAACAAGTTTTGGAATGACTACAAAAATGTCTAAATGGAGCACAAAAAACTATAACTTACATTTTGCATCGGCTTCTAACATGCGTTTCTCTTCCTCAAGAAAAAAGTTTAACAGATTTTCCAGCACAATACACTTCAATTCTAAATGATGGTCGGATGGTTTAGGTTTCGCCTCATCACAAGGAGCTTGCAAAAGATCATGATAGAATTTACAAAGACGAGGACCACAAAGTAGTTCGTGATGACGAGTACACAAAAAACCTAATCCTGATAATGCTTTCTTACGCATTTCGATGTCTGATTTAACTTGTTCTGTGAAAAACATAAGTGTTTCAAATACCTGATCACGAATATTCGCCTACACAAAAAAGGAAAACGATTTTTAAAGATATTATTCTTTATTACTTAATTCATAGATAAATATGAAATTACAGATAAAAAATAAAGCATCAAAATCTCAAACTATAAATTTAACCAAAATACTTTCGAAGATGAAAAAAACGCTACATAAATTACTTCATAACTTACATTTTTGCTTGATCGAAATACATCTGCATCAAAATGCTTGCAAAGCAAACCTACAGTAAATAGAGCTCGAAGAATAGAAGGGCGAATAGTTGGGGATATTTTGCGTTCAGAATCATCGGACAGCTCATTGCGAAATTTCTGAAGAGCATTGAAAAACCGAGTGAAACAATCTCTAGCTAGAGAATAGTTTTTCGAAACACGATTGACAACTGCACCTAAACACGCAACACATGACTCAAGTACCATTTTTCCATGTCGCAGAGTAAGACGAACCATATCCTCTTCAAGTTGTGCAACTAGTGTCTCACTAGGATGTTCCATTAATGGCAACGTGGCTTCTAGAATTCTAGCAACATAATGTAACACATGGGCATCTGATGCTTCATTACAACGAATGGACAAATAGGGTTGTAATACCATTGTATACTGAACCATTAATTCCGGTCTGATTTTTGTTAATAAATGAAGTGTTGCCAAACACGCTACCAATCTCTGATTGCTTTGACTTGAAATTTCTGAAATACCAAAAAGATACGCAGAAAATTATAAACAATGTCGTACTTTCCTAGAAGACTAGTAATTAATACGCTCTCTTTTACATTATATAATTTAGACTTTTACTCAGATAACAGCCTATTCTTCACCAACATTCAGTGAGTAACCTTGAGTCAAATTAAATATTAGTGACTTGATTTATGGTTCTGAAATTAAGTTTTGTTCCACCAAATAAAAATTGAACGATAAATATGACCCCACTATTAAAAAATGCATTATTCAGGAAAATAATGGATAATTAGACATTATCGCTGTATCATTAAGTAAACTGCTATCCGGCACAAAAATACATAGCTGTGAAACACTTGTAAGTTATAACAAATGGATAACAGTTACCGATTAAAGATATAATATCATAAAATATCTTTCCAAAAAAAGTGAAAAATGACAAATAGTTAAGGAAACCCAATATTCAAATATTTATAAAACGTTTCCGCAAGTGGACTGGAGAGGATGTTAAGAAAATCTTACATTCGTTTCTAACAGGTGGTAGAGAAAAAATTACCATTGTGGGTATACATGTGCAATGACAAAGATAAACCGAGACGCAATTTAAGAAGGGGAAATAAATGATGGATGACAAAATTTTAAATTACTGATTTATAATATCTCTAGGATTACAACCAGACAATCCACAGTTAGGGGTTACAACACTTTGTGAGAGGGTCCCTAAAATCAGAATAAGTGAAGCAGAGTTTGAGTATGAGAATTAATGGTTGAAATCCAAGAGATTTAACCATCACCAACCAAGTGATTTCCAAAAAGTCATAGATTATAAAACCTAGGGCTAAATAAGATAGCGATATGTTTTGGTTGGATCACCAGACTTTTTCTAAAATAATGTTAACCTATACAGCATTGGAAACAGAGGAACTTGATGAATGAACATGTATACAAACCTGTCGACTTACTAGGCGATAGTTCACAACAACGTCGACTAACATGTCTAGCTTGCGTAAGACATGAGACAGCAAAAGTAATTTCCCAATAGGTTTAAAATATATTATCAGTCCCAGGAAGATATATTATGTACATAAATCTCCCATATTTTACGTTAATAGCCGCACAGAGTAGAAGTGAGAGAACCGCTTAGCAATATACTCACTCACCCTCTGATAGGAAATTTATTTCCAGTACTATGCGTGAAGTAGAACAATCATTAAATAATAGTGTTTTTACTACGATATGACGATAGATTAGAGAAGTAAAAAAAAGTCCTTGGGTAACAGTGCCGAGAAAACATCCACTATATATCATGACTGTTTATTTACTAGTCAGACAGCCACAACGTAGGATAAGGCACATATATCAGTCAGTCACAACGTAGAACTTCGTACGTACGTACATCAGTTCGAGTTGCCATACCACATTAGCACAGAGATGAAGTTATCAATTCAAATCCCATAGTGGTAGAAGTAGTAAAAGTATAAGTATTATGTGAAAGATAAGGGTTTGACGATGTTATTGAAGGAGTATAATACGGTGAAATAAATTTGAAAAAAGAAAAAAGATAGAGACACAAAGAATTCAGAAGATTAGAATTTGAGAGAACATGGAGAGTGGACGCACCTTCGTCACTGCAAACGATTTTGAGCCATCTCATTCAAGGTCTCTAACCATCGGTTGCTGTCATCTCGCGAATCCCAACCAGGTAGTCTACACCTAAAAACATGTCCCGGTCCACTTGTCAGTGACTTCATTGATTTGTGCCACGTTTTGGTCTGGCCACCCCTAGCTTTCTTCCAACCTGCTCCTACACCATGAAACATTGCACGTCGGGGCAGTCGGTGATCGGGCATACGTAACACATGTCCCAGTCGTTACACACTAGACCACAAGGGCTGATGAGACTCCCAAGATAAGTGAAGCTGTCAACACGCTCAACTACTTCACTCCCTATCATTAGTTCAGGTGTTGATGCAACCCAATCCTGAAGTAACATTTTGCACTTCGAGGGAGAGAATCGCATCCCGAACATGCCTGCATTGTTGCTTATAGTGGTCAGAAGACTCTGCATGTTGTCAGAGTCTTCACCGAATAAAACTATGTCGTCGGCGTATTCTAAGTCAACAAGTGAGCCTCTCGGTAAAAGTTCAACTCTAGGAGATTGAAATGATGAAAGTGATATCTCTAAAAGTATGTCAATGACAAAGTAAAACAAGAATGGGGAGAGTGGACAGCCCTGACGAACACCACTTGAGGTAATCAATTCTGATGACAGTTCGCCATAGGCTCTAACTCGACCAGTTGTGTTCGAGTAGAGAGCCTTTATGAGGTTAATGTACTTCTTTGGTACTCCTTTCACTGACAAACACTGTCATAGAACCTCACGATCAACGGAGTCAAATGCCGCCTTAAGGTCAAGAAATACTACTATTGTGGGACGTCTGAATGTATGTCTATGTTCTAGGACCTGACGTAGAGTGAATATCTGGTCTATGCAACCACGTCCAGGTCGAAAACCAGCCTGGTTTTCTCTAGTCTGCTCTTCACGAGCTTTGGTTAGGCGACCTAGTATTATTGAAGCTAATATTTTAGACACTATATTAGTCAAACTGATCCCTCTGTGATTGTCACAGGAGGAAGGCACATATATGCATCGATCAAAGTTGCTACACCTCATTAGCAAACAAGATGAACATCGAATTCATGGAAGTAGTCGCCTCAATGGTAGTAATATATAAAAGAAAGATTGTATATAAGGATATAGTACAGGAACAAAGCATTAGTTTGTGGAAAGAACGATATAAAGCAATTTTAATCTCACGGTTCAAGAGAAGATAAAGAAGACATACATTTACGCTACTGTGATCGGTTCTGAACCATGTCACCCACAGTCTCCAACCATTGGTTAAGATGGTCAGGCGGACCCCAACCAAGTAGTCTGCATCTATCAACATGGCACAGACCAGAAGTCATTGACTTCAAGGACTGGTCAATGATGGATTTAATAAAAAATGGAGATGGTAAACAACCTTGTCGGGCACAACTTGAGGTTGTAAAATCAGATGACAGTTCGCCATAAGCTTTCACTCGACTGGTAGTGTTCGAGTAAAGAGCCCTCACAAGGTTAATGTACTTCTGAGGTACACCTTTCAATGACAGACACTGACACAGAACCTCTCGGTCTACAGAATCAAATGCTGCTTTCATGTCAGGAAAAACTATCATTGTCGGACGCCGATAAGCATGCCTGTCCAACGATAACTGATGGCAATATGGTCTATTTGAGTTCATCATCGGTTTGATGCAGAGGTCTCTGCCATGTTAGACGATTCCTCTCTTTATGCCTAAAATTAGTTTTTGCTAAAAATATACGGTTGTCTGAGCACAGCTACAACAGACGGTCACCATCATCTGTTCGCTGAACCGGAATATCAAAATACACACCTAAACGTCTTTCTGCTTGGTTTAGACCACCTACTTGTGTATGCAAGTCATCTGGTACGAGTACTATGTCTGAGTGTTAGGCTTTACAGAAAAGTTCAGAAAGCTTTCTGTAAAAGTCATCTTTCACTTCATTCGGGCTGCAGTCAGTGGAAGAGTAGGCAGAAACGACGAAAAGACAACGCGTGTCCCTATCCTTCCGAGTTCACACGGAGCCGTTTAGCCGAACAGCACATAGGCGACTGTTAACGGGGATCCATTCTATTAGTGATTGTTCTGCCCTCGTACTTAGTGCTATGCCTACACCTGAAAGTTCACGAGAACTTTCCGTCGGGTCGCCAGATACACGGAGGGTGTATCTCATCGGTTCTCTGTTATGGTAAGGTGAGGTCAAGTGAATAACCATGTTAAGATCCTGTATACGTATTTCAGAGACACAGCATACATCAATGGAACGAGATTCTAGGGTTTTAGGCAAGGAAGACTGCTAGCCGATTTGACACAGGGTACATACGTTGAAGGCTACAATGTGTAGTTTGGAGCAAAGTTTCAGAAGACCTGGAACACTGTTCTGCGCACTAGAATCCTTGGTCATGGTGACACTTGAGGAGGAAACCAAAAGAGGAAGTTTGGAGTTGATAAGTCGATGTAGGAGGAATAATAAGAATTGAAGAGGGAGATTGATTATGAATACAGTGATTTTGAGTTCTGTCAGAGGTACGACGGCGGTTATCACTTCCCGGTCGATCACAACGTGGAAGGGTACTTCTGGAGGTACCTGAAAAAGAATTCGGGTGAGGGGGTCTTAGCTACTCGAGAGTGTGACCACAGTGCCCAAGAGACAATTGCTTGAGGTCAGTCACACACATTTTTGTGAGCAGTTTTCGTGTTAGCACAGTACTTGTTGAGACATTACCGCCAGGGACTGATATCCATGGGACAAGGCGAGGTGTGCATTTTTAGGGTCGGTCTTTTCTAACCCCACCACTCCTTGTGGGAAGGCAGCATCGCTGTTATGCTGGTCGTTTGAAAGGAACACCTTAATGCCGTCACGTCTCTGTACAGTCAGCTTTTAGTTTTAGCGCTATTCAATCGACCTGCATGGCATGGTAGGACCTTGAGGGACGATTGTTCCAGCCAGTACAGCCCGATCGGTTCACCACGATAGGCGATCGTTTATTTATGCGACATCCAAATACGAATGTTATTTAGATTCATATTTTAAACCAAAGTACAAGTGACTTTATGTTAGGAATGGTAATATCTGGTTTACGTTGTTCTCTTGAACTTAATTCGCTGAATGAAATGACCTGGACAAAAGACATAACTAGAATTCATGTTCATAGTTAAAGCGGTATGGCATTAAAGTAAAAATGAAATTTCAGATGTGGGTTATTATTCCTTGAATAGAAAATTTACATGAAATAAATACTGAGTTTCAAGCAGCATTACCTTCTAATCGCATAATATTTTGAACCAAACAATCAGCTATTTGTTTGCATGCTTTTTCAACTGGTTTGACTTTTTCCGTTTCTTCTTTCTTTAAAAGCTATAAAGAATACAATATCGACAAATACATTATTCAAGAAGTTGAGTTAAATAAGTTGCGTAATACATGATACACATCTCTCAGTATAACTCAGATCCTAATTTAATGTCAATAATTTAGGATATCATAATCAAGAAAATGAAAGATAAGCCACAAAATATTTTCTCCCTGTTAATCTAATTATCACCATCTCATTCACCAACAAAATGAACGACTATGTAATTAATACATATCATACAATTTAGATAAGTTATTCAAAAAATTACTTACAGTTCGTAAAAATTGTTCAAACCACTCATAACCTGTGTCTTTGCAAGCTCCAACAACATCTGTGATATTCATGACCTTTCGAAGTAGTTTCACTGTTTCTCTTTCACGTACAGGAGTAAACCACATTGCTTGAAAGACCTCATGAACAAGTTTCTAAGGGCAAAACAGAAACGCTGTTATCAGAATATTCACAAACTCCAATGTCAGTACTTCAAAAACCAATAATAAACATTTAACCAAATTAACACTTTCAGAAAGGAATATTTCTCCTCAAGTCATGAAACTATAGCCAACATGATGTGATATAAAGCAAGATCTAGCAGGTTATGTGAAAATTTTATTTGGTATTAAGGTTATATGGATTTTAGATCGACATCGACAATGATAAACTAGGTACGTATAAACAAAAAATGGTGTTATAAAATGATATTACCACAGTTTGATTGCGTTAAATGTTCTCTGTAACTTGTTATCACACACTAATCAAAATTATTTTTATTTTTTTATTTATTTAAACACATAAATATTGGTACAAACGAGCACCAGATATAAATGCGCCACACAAATCTCGTTTGATTCGTGTGAGGGCTGTGATACTGCCCGGGTGCCCAAACCGAGGCAGGAATCAAAAGTATCATAGTTACGGAAATGATAAAATCAAAAATATGCGAGGATATCAGGTAACAGAATCGAAGGATATTGAGCTTCAAATTAAATACAGGACCGGGGTCAAAGGTCGAGGAACTACATTTTGTTACAACCAATACAGACTGTAATGGACTGGTGATATAATTTAACATAACGTGGTAAATTAAAGATGACTACTACACGGATAGTTACACAGGTATTGTATTCAAGCACATTTGACTACTCAGTCCAGAAAACTATACGTAAGAAAAGATTCACCTAGATTTAAACTTAACGTAGTATTTTAAAATTTAACAGGGAAAGCAAAAAAAAGCAATAAATCAACAGGACTTTAAATTACCTTGATTCCTTCTTCATCGTTGACACGTCTAATCATTTTTACACAAATTTCAGCAACTCTTGGAAAGTCTGGTTGCTCAAGACAAATGTCACGAAGGATCCGAATAACGCGTTTGCGGACACTTACTCCTTTATCTCGTATTCGTTCGGCCAACATTGGATAATACTGTGCAGTCAGCTCTGGTCTGCAACTTAAAAATCGACCAAGTAGATCTACAGCAGCTTCACGAACTGAAGTCGATGTATCTAGAAGACGAGAATGTACAGCCCGCTCAATATCTACGCGAGCTAGAACATTTGGGTCAGCCTCCACCACTGCTGATAAACATCTTAATGCTTTAGTACGCACAGCAACAGACGATTCACTCAATAACTGAAACGTACAGAAAACCGAAATTTATGCTGAGAATTACAAAGTACTCATCAATCTAAAAAGTGAAATTTTATCCCCTTGATGTAAAAAATTTGATGTGACTGTGATGACTAAGTTGGATCAGGTTTCACAAAATAAGGGTAGAACTGTTGTCACCTTTAAAAGGCTGTAGTGCCGTGCTTCGCTAATCGTTCACCTTGATAACCGTTATAACACAAATCTTAACGGTGCATAAAATCAGAAGGCAAAGAGAAGTGGCAGCTACAGTTTATTGTAAAATAACGCAGGCCAGTAAGCTATAAGCACATTAGCAAGTATCAGCGAGCAAACACATTGGCGGGTAAGCCAACTCGCTTTAATCAATATTTATAGTCAGACAAGAATAGGTTACAGACATGTGATGAATAAGATAAAAAGTACACACACACCTACGCTCACATACAAAATAGTCGGGGTTAATAAGTGAATAAGTAACAAGGTGAAAACTTGACTCAAGATGGATAGGCAAATTGACTTGTCGAGAAGTCTGAATAAGGTATATGGGCTTAAGATATCAACTGACACTACAAAGCAGACTAACGATACGACGACCCCAAAGATGAGCCGAATAGAAATTATCCAATACGTCTTCACTATACATAGATTCATCACATTCGTCAACTCACTAACAGAACCTACACAATGGCTCCGCAACATAGATTTGCCGACGATTTTCAACGGTTTTACGTGGTTACAGATACAGAGGTTTTAGAATCATGAGATAGAAAGGTATAAAAGCTCATACATGGACTCATCTTGAATTTCAAACTAATCAGAGAACTAATAACAAATATATTTTTTGTGATATCCCAATCAGTAGAAATTACTAATTCCGAAGTTTCGTGACAATCTAAGAAACTTCTTCAGAGCAAATAAATAACCGAAATAAAATTAACACAAGTTTAAGAAACTTTCTATCCAATCCTCAATTTATTTGAAATTATGAAGTCCAATATTGATATTGATACCTATAATCAGAGAGTTATTTAAGTCGTGAAAAAGGTTCATTTTTCCAAGAGCGCGCACAGAATAATGAGGAAAAAAATTAACTTCGTCTTGTTCGAAACACTTAGACCTCCGATCATGTTTCATTACCGTCACTAACAAATAGTACAAATAATCATTTTAGTGTTTATCATATGTTTTTGAAATGTCCATTAACTTTATGGGATACTACATAGCGAAATGTGAAGAAAACTGATTACAAAATTTAATGTTAAACCCATTTAAAGTAGTAAAACTTACTCTACATATTTGGGATAAATAAACATCAAAACTTTGAGAAAATGGTCGGAGACTGGCTAGATAACGACAAACTAAGCAGCAATCTTCATAGTCTAAAGTACCCTGGAAAATGAGCGTCGTTTCCTGATTTGAATCAGAAATACAGATGTTTGCAGACTGTTTTGTTTTCTCATTAGAAGGCAATGAATTGCTCCATAAACATCTACGTTGTCGCCAAGACTGTGGAGCTTCACGTACTTTCGACAAAATGTGCTGTCTTCTTCTTTCCGCTACCGCTAGGATTAGCGCCTGATCTGCCTCAGAAAAACCTTTGGTAGCACATACAGTTTCACCATTGACATTTAAAACAGTATTCTGGTTTTTCTTCTGCACTGCACTTCGTTGAGCACGTTCTGTTTCCTTTGTACAATCATTAAGCCACTGAGCCAGGTAAAATTTACGAGCATACTGAAATGTAAAATGAGTAATTAACAATTATATTGCGATTCAGAACAAAAATTAGGGATTATATATATATATATATATATATATATATATATATAGAGAGAGAGAGAGAGAGAGAGAGAGGGAGTACACGATGCGATTTTTTATCAGTGTGATCGCAGTTTTCGGAATGAAATAGAAATCAGATGCAATTATTCTAATGACAAAATGAAATGTGTTGGTTGAGACGTTGTTACTAATACGATATACAAATCAGCTATGAACGATCTCCTCGTCCCTTACGAAAGTGTCACTCGCTAACTTGAGCTTACGAAATCAAATCTCTGGTCACTTGAAACCGTACTTTGAGCTACACGTTGGTGAATCTCCAAGTCACGTCAGACAATAGACCTTATTATTCAAAACTGAATTCTTGAGAGAATCCTCCCAGTTTTTGGGAGGTTTCTTGAAAATGTTCTTTGAATATACACTGAATTGGTGTTCTCAATGTTTTCTGTCCGGCTTTACTCATCTACATCAATGAAATGTGGCAGGTGAATTAACAGGACTACGATATCCAAATTAAAAAGAAAGTGAGCGTCTATGGTTTTTTTTAATAGCTTGTTGAGAACACTAATTAGGATTCAACTGGCGTCAATATTTCAAAATCTGATATCCATAAAGCCAGATAGAGTGGATTTTAAATGTGATTCAAAATAACGATTGGAACTTCTGATTGCTTTGTCAATCTATGTCTTCAAATGACAGTTTATGGTAACGAAATTTGTGATATAGAACAAATTAGTGGTTGTCGAAATCCTAACTTAGTCATAGAACTACAGAAGCATGCAGAATGTAGGGTAAACTATGATGGATAAATTGCACAATATAAAAACGACTTACAACTGCCGTAGGACTCGCCTCTTCTGCTGCAAGATAGTCTAAAATAGCGTCACGCAGTGCCTGGACTCGATCCAACTGAGAAATGGGATCCGTATATTTGTCTTTGTGTCCTGACCTTTTACTTTTGATGACTTTGTCTTTAGGAATTTTGGTATCAATTCCTTTGGCTACAGATTTTGTGTTTGTCGAACTATAACCATTCTCATTATGGCGTATTGGTGTTTCAGTAGTGGAAGCAGAACCAACTGAATGAATATCAGACTCTGATTTATTCCTATCTACTTCTGAGTTAGATTCATGATCACCATTTATTTCTTTTGTGTCATCGGTTTTTGTATCTAAATCTTGTAACTCTTCTTCAGAATCTTCTTCATCGTCATCTGACTGATTACCATCCAATAGATCACGGATGACAGCATCAATATCATGTTCCTTCAATTGGCTAGTTACTGCGTCACGACGTAATGTAGATGCAACTGTTCCCAAGTAATCGACACTAGCAACCCGAACATTTTGATCAAGTGCTTTGTTATTGAACTGCTGTACTAACAAACTACCAAGAAGACTAAGCATAACCTCTGATGCTGGCCACTCCGGTTTATTAACAGCTAAGAGAAGGTCATTTACGAAGTTTTCAAAAATAATTCGGTAATCATCTTCGCCCTTCATTGTTGATCTAGATTTATTGAGAAAAAGACAAAAGTTTGTAAAATGCATTAAATTGACAGTGAGCAGTAAATAATTACAGACACTTAAATTAATGAGAGATTCAGATAAAACAAGATCTAAAGCAGACGAGAAAAACTAAACCTTACTTACTTGCGTAGGAAAACCAACAGAAAAGTATGGGCTGTACGAAGAGCATTATGATAAGAATTAATAATTGTCACTTCATCATCTGCTTTTTGAACTAATCCTCCATCAGTGGAGACAGAGACATTTGAGCTCTGATAGAAAACATTAGTATTTTGTTCTGAATTGAGAGGTGATGGGTCAGGAAGAGTTATAACCGACTGAACCAACAAAAGTGCTAATGCTGTAAGCATTTGAATGCTATCTTCACTATTCAATCTACAAAAGATCAAAACAATAAAGATTTCTAATATTAACCAATAAAGTATTTTTATGGAACAGTATAAACTAAGTTTAAAAAAAGGGCTTAATCGTAAGGCATAATAGTTTATTAAGAACGGCTCAGCGACAAATCGTCGGCATTGTGATCCTGAGATAAACATTGTTGTCTAAACGGTTAAAATTGAGATAAAATATCAAGTAGAAAAGTGTTTTGATTTAAAAACCAGTTATCAATAAACAGTATAATTCATCAGAAAATATTTCTTTATTACAATTTACTTAAACAATTGATTTGGTGAAAGATAACTGGTTAAAACAATGCATCCAATACGGTTTTTACATGATGAAAAGCATAATGAGGTCAATGTTTGTAACCAGGAAAAAAAAACATGACGGTAAGAAAATACACCAATAGAAAATAATATGACGCTACTCTGTAACGTCAATATAACCCATGAAAGTTAAATGAATTTACAACAAGAATAACTCCAGGCTAGTCACTGAACTTTCAAACCAACTGATAACTGTTGTCCCACATCTATGGGACACATCCTTGAAATTATGTAATCGTCAGTCAGTCAGTTACAACGTAGAACTTCGTACGTACGTACATCAGTTCGAGTTGCCATACCACATTAGCACAGAGATGAAGTTATCAATTCAAATCCCATAGTGGTAGAAGTAGTAAAAGTATAAGTATTATGTGAAAGATAAGGGTTTGACGATGTTATTGAAGGAGTATAATACGGTGAAATAAATTTGAAAAAAGAAAAAAGATAGAGACACAAAGAATTCAGAAGATTAGAATTTGGTAGAACACAAAGAGTGGATGCATCTTCGCCATTGCAAACGATTTTGAGCCATCTCATTCAAGGTCTCTAACCATCGGTTGCTGTCATCTCGCGAATCCCAACCAGGTAGTCTACACCTACCAACATGGCCCAGTCCACTTGTCAGTGACTTCATTGATTTGTGCCACGTTTTGGTCTGGCCACCCCTAGCTTTCTTCCAACCTGCTCCTACACCATGAAACATTGCACGTCGGGGCAGTCGGTGATCGGGCATACGTAACACATGTCCCAGTCATCTCAACTGATGAAGTTTCACTACTTCATCAATCGATTTGCCATCCCTACCTAGTACCCGTTTCCTAACATCTGCATTACTTACCCAGTGATCCCAGGATATACGAGCAATGCGTCGAAGACACCTATGATCGAATACTAGTAGCCTACGAATATCCTCTACTCTTATTGGCCATGTTTCACTGCCATAAAGTAGGACGGAGCGAACTGCTGCACAGTAAACCCGTCCTTTGGTTGCTAGACGGATATCTCGCCTACGCCATAAATGACGCAAGTTGGCGAAAGCTAGACGAGCCTTCTGTATCCGTGCTGAGATTTCGTTACACACTAGACCACAAGGGCTGATGAGACTCCCAAGATAAGTGAAGCTGTCAACACGCTCAACTACTTCACTCCCTATCATTAGTTCAGGTGTTGATGCAACCCAATCCTGAAGTAACATTTTGCACTTCGAGGGAGAGAATCGCATCCCGAACATGCCTGCATTGTTGCTTATAGTGGTCAGAAGACTCTGCATGTTGTCAGAGTCTTCACCGAATAAAACTATGTCGTCGGCGTATTCTAAGTCAACAAGTGAGCCTCTCGGTAAAAGTTCAACTCTAGGAGATTGAAATGATGAAAGTGATATCTCTAAAAGTATGTCAATGACAAAGTAAAACAAGAATGGGGAGAGTGGACAGCCCTGACGAACACCACTTGAGGTAATCAATTCTGATGACAGTTCGCCATAGGCTCTAACTCGACCAGTTGTGTTCGAGTAGAGAGCCTTTATGAGGTTAATGTACTTCTTTGGTACTCCTTTCACTGACAAACACTGTCATAGAACCTCACGATCAACGGAGTCAAATGCCGCCTTAAGGTCAAGAAATACTACTATTGTGGGACGTCTGAATGTATGTCTATGTTCTAGGACCTGACGTAGAGTGAATATCTGGTCTATGCAACCACGTCCAGGTCGAAAACCAGCCTGGTTTTCTCTAGTCTGTTCTTCACGAGCTTTGGTTAGGCGACCTAGTATTATTGAAGCTAATATTTTAGACACTATATTAGTCAAACTGATTCCTCTGTGATTGTCACAGGACTTTTGTCCTTTCTTATAGACTGGCACAACCAGTGATTGGGACCAGTCAGATGGAATTACGACCAGTCCCCAGATTCTACCTAAGACCTCAGTCAATCTCACTGCTAGTACTGGACCACCATCCTTAAAAATCTAAGGGGTCAACCTGTCAGGGCCTGCGGCTCTTCCTCGCTTTAGATTTCCTATAACTTTGGAGGACTTAACTCAATTTGCCATTCAGGACGACTGGGGATCGTGGGTAACTGAAGTGTGGCTGAAGGCCAGTTGAACTGATCCATAAAGTGTTCTGTCCATCGATCCAATCTCCTGGATTGAGAATGAATGATATGCCCATTTTCGTCTGAGATAGTTTCGCTAATAGTTAAGTTCCTAATGCCGATTTCTTTAATAAGTCTGAATAGCTGTCTGCTGTTACCTATTGCCGCTGCCTTTTCCATCTCTCTTGCTTTCGCTACCCACCACTGTTCACGATCATTGCGTAGGCTTCTTATTAGCCTTCGCTTAAGCTGACTCCGCTCTTCGTTAAGTCCAGAGCCAGGTAGGATGAGTTTTCGAGCATCTATCAGTGTGGTAGATGCTGCCGAGATCCATTGTTTCTTCCTGACCTTATGACTTACCTTACTAGCGGATATCACTGCTGTTTCCACAGCTTTACGGATGTCATTCCATGCTGCTTCGGGGTGGGCACAACTTGCATGTCTGTCTAACTGTTTTCCAGTTGTTCCTGAAATATATCATTAAGTAGAACCCTTAGAGGCTTCCCTGCAGTGTCTTTCCTACGTCCAGTAAGACGCAGACAGATACGTGCTCGCACTAGAGCATGATCTGAGTCCAAACATGTGCTCCAGAATGAGAGACAGTCTTCTATCGAGCCCCTCCATCGGTGCCTGATAGCGATGTGATCTAATTGGGTTCAACGTTGGGACGAATTCGGGGGTCGCCATGTCAAAAGATGTTTTTCCTTATGCTTAAAGTTAGTATTTGCAAGAAACAGGAGGTTATCTGAGCATAGCTGCAACATTATCTGTTCTTTTCGCCATGACACCATAAGATCCACCCAGGTCTTTCACTTAGTTTACCTACTTGAGCATTAAAGTCACCTGCTACTATTATTACATCAGAACGCCTAGCTTCTCGGAGAAGGTCAGAAAGTTTCCTGTAAAACTCATCTTTTATATCGTCTGAGCTGCAGTCAGTGGGAGGGTAGGCAGAGATGACGAAGAGGCAACGACGAGTTTCCCTATCTTTCCGAGTCCTTACTGATCCGTTTAGTCGGACAGCGCATAGACGACTGTCTACTGGGATCCAGTCTAAAAGAGCTAGTTCTGCCCTACGACTTAATGCTATACCTACTCCAGCGAGGCCACGGGAAGCAGCATCAGGGCTTCCAGATACACGAAGCGTGTATCGAGATGGTTCTTTATTTTGATTAGCTGAAGTCAAATGAATGACACTACTCGGATCTTGTATGCGTGTTTCGGAGACGCAACACACATCGATGGTGTAAGATTCTAGAATCCTAGCTAAGGAAGCCTGTTGTCCTATTTGGCACAATGTTCGGACATTAAAAGTTCCTATATTTAGTTTAGAGCGTGGTTTCAGGAGACCAAGAATAACGTTCCGTGTACTCGAATCGTTTGCCCTAGCGGTGCGAGGTGATAAAAGGACGTGGGAAGGGTTAGTCGTGGAGATAAGAGAGTTATTAGGAGTAGGAAGGAATCGAAAGTGACCAACTTGGTCTCGTGTGCTGTTACGGGTATGAGGGCTAATATCACTTCCCGGCTGCCCACACCATGGAAGGGTATTTCTTGAGGGACCTGAAAAAGAAGTCAGATTAGTGTTGGTCTTAACGACCTAGGAGCGTGACCGCAGTGCCCAAGGGACAACTGCCTGAGGCCGGTCACGCACGGCCTTTTTGTGGGGGGTTTTGACGTGTTAGCTCCGTTCTTCAAAGGAACTTACCGCCAGAGACGGAAATCCGTGGGATAAGGCGAGGTGTGCATTTTTAGGGTCGACCTTTTCTAACCCCAACCCTCCTTGTGGGGAGGCAGCATCGCTGTCATGCTGGTTGTCTGAAGAAAACACCTTACTGCCGTCACACCTCCGTACAGTCGGCAGAACGACTTCGCTTTCGGACCTTGGGATTGCTGCTTTTAGTCTTACCGCTCTTCAACCGACCTGTCTGGCATGGTAGGACCTCGAGGAACGATTGTTCCAGCCAGCATAGCTCGATTGCTTCATCACGATAGGCAAGCCCAACCACCACGTCAAGATAGCAGCAACGGTCGGGAAGCATATGTACATTAGTTTCAATCCAAAAAGCAGCTGACACTTATCCAATGTTTTCAACTATACTACTTATCATCAATTTACTGTATATTTACCCTTACACTGCAATGGTTCATTAGAAGTTTGTCTACTTTTTATTAGTTAATGTAATTGATGCTATTTATTTGAGTGACCATTTTACTCTTAGTTAGTAAAAGGTGTTAGATATTTATTTATCAGCTGGAATACCAGTTCATGAACGGGGCTGATCTTTATTATATAGAACCAATTGCATACAATTAAATAACACGAAAAGTGAAGCTTTTTGATTTTATTCGAAACTAGAAACAAGTATCATGACTGTTTTTTACCAACTTATAGTTGATAAATAAATCTATGACTGGAAATTAGGTGTCTAACTAATCAGAAGTAAGGAATTCCACAACAAAATTGAATATTAATTACTTACTACAAGCAACTCGTTATCATGAATTCTTACAATGATTAAACAGTTTACGCACACGCAAGTGAGGGACTCGTCTTTGTATTCAACTAATATAGGTACTGCTAGATGACCTCTTAATTAATAAAATCGAACTATGAATTTAAAACATAAACTACTAATCAGCTGTCTCATGGAATTCTAAGAATGTTGAAGGTTTAATTCCCATACCATTTAAATTATCAGATGTGTTTCACAATCCTGCTTTTTGTTTCCGATACTCAATAGGATTGTAAAAATAATTTTGGTCGGAAATATACCCATACAATTACCAAAGGTCAGTCTTCACGCTTTTTTTGTTACTATACATTAACTCATAATTAATGATACCCACGTGAGTTACTGATTTCTGAGTCAGTTTGAATAGTCTGACACTACTACAACCTTCACACAAACTAAAATATTACAGTCTGAATAATAAGAACAATCTGCTTTATAAGAACTGCATAAACCCCTACTACCTTATAATAAACAACACTTCATTTACTATTTTGCATGACGGATTTTCTATTGTCTGATTGTGCCTAGTTTTCCTTGTAGTGTTATTAAGAAAGTTCAAAAATCATGCAAGAGAAATGAAGTTCCTTAAGGACAAAGATCAAATTTTCAGGTAGAGAAAAACCCACCGATAAGAACGTAGATTCTTTTTGCTTGATGGAAGACGGGATAAGCTAGCCAGTATTTCCTCCATTATTAGCTTCCTATGAGTTTCATATTGGGCGAATATAGCAGTGACAAGTTCCAAAGCAGCAAGTTGCAACTCACTAACATTTTCAACAAAGAATACGGAGACACCAACACTAGATAAGGTAAGGACCAAGCTGTCTGTCAGCCTTTGGATTTTTACCAACTTAGATAAATTAGAAACAATTTCCACTAGCTTGTGGTACAGATGAATTATGGACTTTGGTTTTTGAGCATCGCGTTCACGAGCACGTCTAGATTTTATACTGCTTTGATTTTCTAATTTGTTCAAAAAAAAACAGTGAAAAGCACTACAAAATACATTGCGTAAAACATCATATATGAAAGAGAATCGCGATCACCGTTGTTAGTAATCAACTACTTACATTCGACATTCTTTTTACCCTTTTCTTTGGATTAACGCTCAAGCTGCGCTCCACTAGTATATCTCTAGAACTTGATCCTTTCTCAGAACAGGTGATCGTAGAACACTGAAAAACGGTTCGACTGTAGCTACTTCTACAGTCGCTCACTATTCAACAACAGTGTAATTAAAAGATCAATATCAGACCTTTAACTCATGAAAAGTAGGGGAAATCTTGACGCACAAATGTTGACCAAGTATATCAGTTTGATCGCACATAATCTTACCAGACTGGTCGCTATGGTAGATAATCAGACAGAACTACAAACTAACCAGCCCGACTATTACACGTGTAACATGTTGGTTTCCATAACACTCGACGATAAAATGGAGTCCGAGCACGGTGAACCCACAAAACTCAGGCGGTTGCAATAAAATACATCAAATGATTACATTTTGATATGTTTTGAAGCATATGTACTTGTAGATCCCTGAGTGTGACCATATTAATTGATTTGAAGATTCCATTTAGCTAATGTCGTTGACAAGTTTTATGGCAGTATGTCACTAAAAATCGAGTTACAGCGATACACTAAACTAACATAACCGTTCGTTCAAGCATTACTGGTCGGGTCTGAACCAGTGGGGAACTATCATCACAATTTGCTGTTTCAAGTGATATTCATGAAAGTTTTTCACTTCTCTTAATTTCATTTCAACTCATTTGCTTAGTGTCCAAAAAGTGTGAGAACGGTATGAGCGAATAGGATGATTGTAAGGTGAAATTTGAGATTTAATATATCAGTAAGCCTAAGCGTAATTTAGGTTTAAAAAAAGAAACTAAAAATTACTGTACATACAATAAAGATTACATATACAAACGAAAAACAGAGATTCGTAAATGCTACGTTATTTTAAAGAATTATTTAGTCCGTTGTCACAAAATGAATCTATGCCAGTGTGTTTTATTGGTCACACTGTGTTCAGATGCAGATCCATTTGTAAAATTAAACATCATACATATATGCTGTCGACGAATTCGTATTGTGAATGAAAATAATCGGAGAAAAAACTATGACAGTAAACTAACGCATTTCATAAGAATAAAGCAAGTAACCAACAATAGTAGTGAAGGATTAAAAAATAGTAGTTGGGCATATTTACCGCTTAACTTATCTTAAAAGTCTCATCAAGCTTGACAGATTGAGGATTAAAAAGAGATATTTGTAGGTTACTAGTATTTGATCATATGTGTCTTGAATTGTTGGACCACAGAACAAGGAATGCCGAAGTTATGGATAGGATACTAGGTAAAGACGGTAAATAAATTGATGACTGGTGTAGGAGTAGGTTAGAAGAAAGCTAGGGTCGGCCAGAACAAAACGTGGCACCAGTCACTGACAACTAGGCTGACCCGTTTTAGTAGATGTTGACTATTTTGTCAGAGTCCATGTGATTATCATAAACAACGGTGAGAAATTTTTAGTGAGACGTTTTAAAATCGTCAGCAATGGTTCATTCATTACTTGTCTTCTTTTAGAAACTGCGTACGGAAATCTCGTTATACACTTTTTTATATTTGATTTTTCTGCTGCTACCGATACGGTCACTACTCTCACTCTTCTGAGATTTGTCTTGAAATAACCTTATCACACTGAGTTATTGGGGTGTACCAACTTGAGCCGGTGCACGTGTCAGATTCTACGTTGCACATGATAATAATGACAAAGAATACAAACCAACAACGCCAAATATTAGGAATCAAGCTCCATACGTTGGCAATGTATTTATTTTCCGTATCCTACTATTACTCAAAAGGTAGACATTGTTTTGCGATGCTACATGAATTAAGACTCACCAAATGAAATGAAAAGAAACATAATTGATGAAAGAGAGGTGATTCTAAATTTTAAAGGACGTCTATACCTTTAGCTGTATTTTCAACACGATAGGCAGGATCGAATTCCGGGAAAATGCAATTGAATAATTGAAATCTGACACTATACACTGTACGCTCAATAACATCTTCAACATAAACTTCTCTAGGCATATCCTTCGAAGTCATTAATAATAACGCAGTTAGACCGGAATTCATACTCCGCATTACCCGCTCCATTGCCACCTCTTTCCACAGTTTGCTTTCATGTGCGTCAGCTTCTTCTTCCTATAAATTTGTTTGGAGAATAATTTAAAATAATTCATCATAATAAAGAAACCCAGAACAATGAGAAGAAAAAACAGTATCATTTATAGAATTATGGAAAACCAAACAAAAGTAAACATCTGTTAGATATTCGCACCTGCGTAATATTTAAAAAGAACTCATAATAATATCAAAATTATGTAGTTAAGCTGTGAATGAAACGGCGGACGATTTTGCCTGGAAACTAGCTAATAAAAAAGAAACACCGGTCCCACCATAGTTGCCATATGAAACAACAGCATGAAAGACCAGTAATTCATACTAATATTTCTAGCCAAATTTGTATCAAATGTAAAACTTTCATTCTGATTGTCACAATCCCAGGACTTGAAAGTTTAAACATCATAGCTTTTCCAGCATGAAATACTTTGGTTAACAGAATATGTAAATTTAAGGTATATATTGAACCCCTTTCCTAGAGAAACGATGGGCTTAATATTCATGTTCCGTGATACGACAATGCTAATAAAATAATTGTATTACGATATCAGGTATAACTAGGGTATATATCAAACCATAAGATTCTCATGAGGTCTACACTTCTGAACTTTAAGAAAAAATTTACTGCTTACAGGTCTCAATACGGCAATCACATTCGCACCATCTCGTATGTTGAGCAACAACAATGTAAGGAAGTTGAGTAATTGACCAGTAGGAATTTGATTAGCAACACCTATTGAGTTTAATTTAGCAGCATCACGACAAAATTCTGCCAAGTCTTCAGACGATATTATAGTCTCAGTTGATAAGCTTTCTTTATCAAGATATGAAATCACATCTTCACAATTAGATTTTCGTAGTTGATCATCACTGTTCGGTACGCCACCAAGGCTTCTTAAAAAGTCTGTTTCCTCAATAGTTTCGAGAACAGTTGACAACTTGTTGAGAAATCGTTTTACACTTCCCGTTTCACCTCCAACACTTTGTTCCCTAGGATTATTTCGTTGGATGGGTAAATTATTTGATGACGTAATCCCGAAATTTACGCGTTCACGTCGTTTACGCGTAGATTCTCCTGCTTTACGTATATGCGGGAAACGTGCTTCAACAGGTTCCTTTAGCCGAACTATAATTGTAAATAAAAAATCAAACTGAAAGTCAACACGAAAAAAGATAATATTTAAGTTGCTTTACAAAGTGATAGGTCCATGTAAATATAAAAAAATAACATAATGTGAATTTTATCATTAAAAATATTAGCTATGAGACTAAATGAAGAACCCAGTAATTTTAAAGGACAATGCTTAAAGTATTCGACTTAATTTTGCAACAGCAAGTCATCAAAGTGGATCTAAAAACGTAACAGGAATTCAGGTTTCCCGAAATTTATTACAACTCTAGAAACATGTCAACAACAATAAAATTGAAAACAGACAAGCTGGAAACGTAGTGAAACATTTAGTCAAACTTAATAGATAGAAATGAAAGAAACGATGCTCAAATATAAATTTACCTTCAAAAGGTTCATCATCATCCAGTTTCTTTCGTCTTCTAGCACTTGAAGAGCCATTTGAGCACCCTGTTTGACTTGCCGACGCTTCCTCGTCTTCCTCGTCCATACCAGCATACGAACGATTTGCAACCCCTGAACGCATTTCGCGTATGTGAGCAGTTTCGCTGGTTCCAGTGGAATCATTTGTTAGGTCAATTGTACCGTTAGGTTCATTGCTACCGCGATCACTGTCCCCCTCACTTAAAAGCAAGAGAAACGAGAAAATAATTTTTTTTGAATACAGAAAAAATGATTGGTACCATTTTTTTCAACAGTTACAGTTAACTTGGGAAGTAATCATTAAATCCTCCCTCTTTCAGAAAAAAACATGATAAATAAGTGCATTTGTGCACACAGCAGGTTTGAAAAAGATGAACGACAATTCAGTATCCAGACGTGTTTAACTACGGTTCCTCTCAATTGAAGGGTAAGTGAATAACAAATGTTTAAAGTTTCGACTTTTTATCTCTTTGACTATTAGGTCAGTATGGTGAGCAACGGTAATGCACACATCCCTAGTGTACGTTTACTGCTGGTGTATCAAACAAACACGTTATAAAATGAACAAACTGCAACAAATGATTTTTTGCTAAGAGTACGGAACTTCTTCAATGTGTAAACTATCAAAAACAGTAGCAAAATGTAACAAGATCTTTCATACGGATAATTTTTGAGTAAAACTATTTTAACTTCTGGAGTATATTTTAAATGATCATAATTCAAATGGATAACCAATTTTTTTCTCCAAACCCCCCTGCTATACAATCAACAAAACAGATGGTACCAACTGAAGATAATATGATAACGCAATGAGTTTGTAGGTATCATTACCAAGTTTTGGCTTGATAATTTTGAATAAATTGAGCATTGGGTAGATTGTTATAAATAAATTAATATATTTGTAATATCCCAATGAGTAGAAAAATTAGATTTTCTGACGTTTCGTGATTCAGTGTAAGCCACTTCTTCAGAGAATAAATATTTATAAATATTTATTCTCTGAAGAAGTGGCTTACACTGAATCACGAAACGTCAGAAAATCTAATTTTTCTACTCATTGGGATATTACAAATATATTATTTTATTTATGATAACGCAATATTTAGATTCTTGAGACGCAACCACACTTCGTGATACTGACTACTAAATTTCACCTTGGAAGATCCTGTAAATATGATTTGATGAATACTATTTACTGTGAATCTCTTATTTGAGTGTTAAATGAAACAAAAATACAACTATTGATGGAACAACATAACTGAAAGCTCACTTTTAAAGTATGACAGACTTTTACTAAACACTTACTTTGGATAGTCTTTATCATGCTCAAAGACAAAGTCTGAATCGAAATTCCCACCCTGTCTAACCATTCGTTTTCGTCTTTTAACACGTTCACCAAGAACCTGGCTATAAGAACCGATTGCATCATCCCAGGTCCGTTCATCAGGACCTTTGGTGCGTTCAGAAGCGGATTTTGATAAACCGGGTCCACTAACCGGATAATTGACTGTCCAAGACTGCAAATCTTCAAGTTCGTTTTTCCGGCGTTTACCTATTTCAAAGAAAATAAACTGGTCAAATGAAATACTTATAAAACGAGTAATGCATAGTTTGTTTAAAAACAATGACAGAAATGGAAGTCACGTACTTAGTGACATTGAATCAAAAGACAAGTAGTGAAATTATTTCCAATTTTACTTTGTCAAAAAACTGTAATATGGACATATAAAACCTGAAGGATAACTTACGTCTTCTTAACACAGAATTGCTCTTTCGTTTCCACCACGGTTGAGGAGTACTTGTAATTGTTGATAACAAATTCGAGTCAGTACGAGCAGGTTGATTCTGGGTACGATAGTCATTGAGAATTTGAGTGTTAGTAAGTTGATTAGGAGCACATAAATAACTAGCGAGCCCCATGGGGACATGGTGAGTACTGGAATCTGGAGGCAAGCCAGACATGTCGAAATTAGCAGCAAATGCAGCAGGACTAACGTCTGTAACAGATGCATAACCAGAAGAATTGAGTATACCGCCCAAAACATCAAACGTGGAGTCTGCAGCAGTAACAACAGACGAGTGACTAGAATCGATCAAATGCGAAGCGACCAAAAAGGAAGAAGTAGTGGTACTAGATGGCTGTACAGGAAAGCCAGTCCTTTGGAAAGTGGAGCTATCACAAGTAGCTAGAGAAGCAGTTCCAAGTGGAAAATTAATACAAGAATTGGACGAAAGCATTTCGTTTTGAAGGAAGTTAGAGGCAAAGTCCATCATGTTGCATACAGAGCCCAAGGTATTAGGTATGATTGTACAAGCAGATGAATTAGATGCTACAAAATCACTAGGTAAACCGTCTGCCACATGCTTCAGGGTCATATTAGGATCATTACTACGCAATAACTCATAGAACATATTTGATTTAGTTGTGAATACATTTGTTTGGTTAGTATCAAAACTATACGTACATGTAGGAGCACAATTACTTGAGGTCACTACCATCCCGTTACCAGACATTGAAGCTGGAGTACTGGGAAGACTGGATGTAGATACAGACTGTGGTTGTTGATACAAATTATTCATTGAATTCAAGTTTTCAAATAAACCTTCGCTTGTTATGAGCGATAGGTCAAGTTGGGAAGGATCTTTCATGGATAACTGACAACTCTCAGTAAAAGTCGAAGGGATAAGTTCGGAGCTTTTACAGTTTTCATTAGGTGTTACCGTACTTAAGGGGCTATTTGAAGTAGGAGTATTACGTGTTTGTATTGGTAGATCAATAGATAACTCATTTTGTTGAACGTGAATTTCCACTGGGGAAGAGTGAGAATCCAACTTTGATCGAACTTCGTGATGAGATCGATGCTCACGATCCTTTTCTCTACTCCGCTTCTTTTTTTTCTCTTTTTTAACCGGCTCAACACCACCTAGTTGCTCAACCATAAAAACAGGCTGAGAGCCATCGTTCGCAGGTCGTTTGAAAATTTTTAATGAAAGTTTTTTAGTATCTGCGTTGACCTTTACAATACCATATGTTGAAGTGGGAGACAATGAATTATCCTCAAGTTTATTTGGAGTTGTACCACCACAGGCTGCTGGAGTGGTGGCATTTGATTCGCCACCTGTTCCACTCGTATCACCATCATCACAGTACTTGTGTTTTTTCTTTTTCCGCTTTTTCTTCTTCTTACTGGGAGATTCGATTGGTTCTTCCAATGCTGAAAACAAAAATATTTTATTATAGCTCGTAGGATAGGATATTGCATACATCCATATGATTAAGCGACATATTTTAGCCAGTAGTGTATTAACTGAAAAACTTTGTAGAAAACCACGTATATAAGCTAACTCCGCCTGTAGCTCTTCTAGAGTTACTGCCGGTCCCAAGCCCGGGTAAAGGAGGAGGGTTGGGCATGGGGTAGCGACCCCATCCCGTAGAAAAGCTAACTCGCTAAAAAAACGCTAACCAGAAAAAATAATTCAAACCATTTAAACTCTGCCCTGGGAGTTGAAGGAATAATGACGTCTCATGATGAAAGCCGAAATTCTTCGGAAGTCACGAGACCGATGCACCTTCTAACAACCAGAGCAACACTCTTTATAGGTACATGGAACGTCCGGACAATGTGGGAGACAGGAAAGACCAGCCAAATAGCAATGGAAATGAGGAGATACAACTTGGCAGTACTCGGAATCAGCGAAACCCATTGGACACAAACTGGACAACAAAGGCTAGGTACAGGAGAGATGCTGCTGTACTCCGGTCACGAAGGGGAAAATGCTCCACACACTCAGGGAGTTGCTCTAATGCTGTCCAAAGAAGCAAAAAATGCACTTGTGGAATGGGAATCTCATGGACCCAGGATAATCAAAGCATCATTCAGAACAAAGAAGGAGGGGATCACAATGAACGTTATCCAATGTTATGCACCCACCAATGATAGCAACGACGATGATAAAGATCAGTTCTATGAAAGGCTGCAATCAATTGTAGCAAAGTGCTCAAGTAAGGACCTCACCATCCTGATGGGAGATCTAAATGCTAAAGTTGGAGTGGACAACACAGGATATGAAGATATAATCGGACGACATGGACTAGGAGAAAGAAATGAAAATGGGGAGAGACTTGCAAACCTATGTGCATTCAACAAATTGGTTATAGGCGGCACAATATTCCCACACAAACGCATACACAAAGCTACATGGATCTCACCGGACCACACCACAGAGAACCAGATAGATCACATCTGTATCAACAAAAAATTCCGAAAGTCAATGGAAGATGTGAGAACCCGGAGAGCAGCTGACATAGCTTCAGACCACCACCTGGTTGTGGCCAAGATGAGACTGAAGCTAAAGAAAGACTGGACAATTGGACAAACAGCACTACAAAGGTTTAATACAGCCTTCCTTCGAGATGCTGACGAGCTCCATGAATTCAAGATAACTCTCAACGACAGGTTGCAAGCCCTACAGGATCTACTGAAAGAACAAGAAACTACTTTGGAGGACAACTGGAAAGGGATAAAAGAAGCACTAACTTCAACGTGTCAGGAGGTTCTTGGTCCTAAGAAGCACCATCACAAGGAATGGATCTCTCTGGGAACCCTGGACAAAATTCAAGAAAGGAAGAACAAGAGAATAGCAATTAACAACAGCCGAACACGAGCAGAGAAAGTCAAAGCACAAGCAGACTACGCAGAAGCAAACAAGCAAGTGAAGAAAAGCATTAAAGCCGACAAGCAGAAATACATGGGAGAACTAGCAACGGCGGCGGAAAAAGCTGCAAGAGAAGGGAATATGAAACAACTATATGATACAACGAAGAAATTGGCAGGGAGATATAGCAAACCAGAGAGACCAGTCAAGGACAAAGAAGGAAAGACAATCACTGAGATTCAAGAACAGAGGAAAAGATGGGCAGAATACTTCGAGGAACTGCTGAATAGACCAGCCCCATTGAATCCACCGAACATCGAAGCAGCACACACAGACCTTCCAATAGATGTCACTCCACCAACGATCGAAGAAGTCAAGATGGCCATCAGACAAATCAAAAGTGGGAAGGCGGCAGGACCTGACAATATACCAGCAGAAGCACTGAAGTCAGACATTGAAATAACTGCAAACATGCTTCACCTTCTATTCAAAAAGATTTGGGAAGAGGAACAAGTGCCAACGGACTGGAAAGAAGGATATCTCATCAAGATACCAAAGAAAGGAGATCTGAGCCTATGTGAGAACTACAGAGGCATCAGTTTGTTATCAGTACCAGGAAAAGTTTTCAACAGAGTGCTGCTGAATCGGATGAAAGACGCAGTAGACGCCGAACTAAGGGATCATCAGGCTGGATTCCGTAAGGATCGGTCGTGCACAGACCAGATCGCGACACTACGGATCATCGTTGAACAATCAGTTGAGTGGAACTCATCACTATACGTCAACTTTATTGACTATGAAAAGGCGTTTGACAGCGTGGACAGGAGAACATTATGGAAACTTCTTCGACACTGTGGAGTTCCTGAAAAGATTGTCAACATTATCCAAAACTCATACGATGGATTACAGTGCAAAGTGGTGCATGGAGGACAGCTGACAGATGCATTTACAGTAAGGACCGGAGTCAGACAAGGCTGTCTACTCTCCCCATTTCTCTTCCTTCTAGTGATTGACTGGATTATGAAGAATTCGACATCTGAAGGGAAATACGGAATACAATGGACCTCTCAGAATCAATTAGATGATTTGGACTTCGCAGATGACCTAGCCCTCCTCTCTCATACACACGACCAAATGCAGATGAAGACAGCAAATGTAGCAGCAGCCTCCGCATCGATAGGTCTCCACATTCACAAAGGAAAAAGCAAGATTCTCAAATGCAACACGAGGAACACCAACCCAATCACACTTGACGGCGAAACTCTGGAAGAGGTGGAAACATTCAAGTACCTGGGGAGCATCGTTGATAAACAAGGAGGATCGGATGCAGATGTAAAGGCGACGATTGGCAAAGCAAGGGCAGCATTTCTACAATTGAAGAACATATGGAACTCAAAACAACTCTCAACCAATTTCAAGGTCAGAATCTTTAACACGAACGTCAAGACAGTCCTACTGTATGGAGCTGAAACGGGGAGAACTACTACGACCATCATCAGGAAGGTACAAGTATTTATAAATAGTTGTCTACGCAAAATACTCAACATCCATTGGCCGGATACTATCAGCAACAGCGTTTTATGGGAGAGGACAAACCAGCTCCCAGCTGAAGAGGAAATTAGGAAAAGACGTTGGAAGTGGATCGGACATACATTAAGGAAATCACCAATGTGCATCACGACTCAATCCCTAACTTGGAATCCGGAAGGGAAGCGGAAAAGAGGAAGGCCAAAGAACACACTACGCCGGGAAATAGAAGCCGATATGAAAAGGTTGAATAGTAACTGGAAAGAACTGGAAAGGAAGGCTCAGGACAGAGTTGGATGGGGAACGCTGGTGAGCGGCCTATGCTCCTCCACATGGGGTAACAGGCGTAAGTAAGTAAGTAAGTAAGTACGTATATAAGTTAATTAAACTAGAACTGTCACGAAGTCACCGTCATATTTTGTATGGATAAAGTCAACAGAAGTGATCTTATCTATACGCCCTCAAGATCCGATAAAGCTCGGTCGCTACCAGAGAAATCTAAAGCTTCGAACTTAAACACAGAAAACGAGCATAAATCATGAGGATTTTGTTGGCTACTTTTATGGAAGGCACGTTAATGTCCTGCTTTTGAGGGCTAGGTTACTGCAGGTTCCTTACGACTACTGGGGACACCTAGGTCAACCCCGGCAAATTGCAAGTTTGATAGTAAGAAGCACACACTTAAGGACCAAGAAACCTGGTGGTCAGTGTGCTGTCGAGTTGGAAACAGCAACTACACCTGGCAGCTGTTAGAAGTCATTCAATCCGAGTCACTGACAGAAATAGTCGGAGACAATTTATGTTGATGGAACGCCAGTTAGTAAAACCCGAAGACATTTTAGACGATGGGGAGTTTTCCGAGGAGAAGTTTAGCTGGCCTGTTGTCCCAGTGACATCAATCAGACTGTCGTACTCTCGCTAGCAGGTGACGAATGGTGTACCTAACGATGGAGAGGTCCTCAAGAAACTCTAACTCCTAAAGAGCTACAAGTCATCAAAGCTAAACGACTTATCTCCGGCTCTTTATAGGAATACTGGCGAACTTCGAGAAAGGGAACTAACTGACCTCTATCAGTTGAAAATGTTAAACAACTCTCTATGTCTGATGATCGCTGTCTCCGAAAGATTACTGATATCCAGTGGTAACACCATGTTAGTAATGCTGAGATTCAGTGAAAAGTGTTCGGGTGCAGTGACGATAACTTAATTAGTGTCGCCATCATGAAACATTTATTCCAGTGACTCGATCACATCTTACAAATGTCATCCCGGCAGCTTCCACAACGTACAACGTACACCAACGCTGGAACTGGTTGAAAAAAGTGGGGGTTAGTGTATAACTTCCCACTGTAATAATGATAGAGTAGTATAAGACTAGTATATATCAGTCCACCCAACTACAAAAATACATATAATACAAGTTATTGTGTTTGAAAGGGGTTCAAGTCTTGGTGTTAACCTGTTTCCTAAGTCATTCATTCTGATCTATATCAACCGTCATTGCGAACATCGCATAACCCCAAAATGATCAGTAAAAGAGGACATTAGTGCTAAAAGCGAACACAGAAACCTAAGCGTGATTATTCAGTAAATGTAGAAATACTTTTAATACAACAAACGACACTAAGTTTTCATCCTATTAACAAATATTTAGCACTATACAAAGTTAGATGAATAAACTTAGTATCACAAAAAGTCACTCGGACGTAATCTAAAAATGGTAGACCATAAAACTAGAGACAGAATTTGAAAAATATTTAGCATAACTAGAGGTTTTTAAATTTATGTTAGGTATTACCAATGGATAATCGAAGGACCTGTGGAATTGGAAGAGTCAATGGACGTTAAGTCTTCTGAATCAATTTTTAGACTACACAAAGACCAGCTACAAAGAACAAAAACTTGTGATCTTTAAATTTATAGCATTTTCCACACTCGCACTTTATGCTTATGGTTTAAAACTAATTAAAAAATGATAGAGTAAATTAAAACAAAAATCTGTCAAATATAGTGACATATACCTCGTTTTTAAAAATTCAGTGATTTTAACCAAGCATTTACTGTCCACAAGAAAGATTACATGACACAAGAAGTCATAACGAGGCCGTATGAGTAAAACGACTTAAAAGATATAGTAAACTCACAATTTGAATAATGATGTTCAGTAGATGGTGGTTGATCCAGAGATGAACACCATGAACCAGGTTGTACTTTATACGCACTAGAAACACTATTAACTGGATTGAAAGATTCATAAGAAAGACCACAAAATCCTCGTTTTTGTTCAAAATTTGGTAGCTTTTTCAAAGAGCTGACAAGGGGCTCAGGTAGTAAATGGGGATCAATTATGTCACTAGCAAACCCCTCCTTGAAATCTCTAAAAGTACATACAAAATATTGAGAAAACGCTTACATGTTATCAGTACATACACTCCCAAGGGCTTCACTGAGGCAGCCCACGAGTCGGTCATGACCAAAACGAAGACATTGAAAGGCATCTATTGATATTCTAGAATCATGCAACAAAGTTTCCACACTTGATCCAGCATGTAGTGGAGCAGGTAACGGGAGTTCAGGAATTATATCTGTTAGACTAACTACGGCACTCAGAGACTGAATGGGGATGCGAGAAATATCGCCGTTCATCCCACTGTACCCTGCAACAAAATCGAGAGAACAGGAAATTAAATAAGTGAAATAATTGGAACATGATAGTTATTAGTAATTTTTAATAAATCAGTATATACATACTTCCTCCTAAAAAGGTATTCTAAAGTGTAATAGTGATAGAATGACGTCAATTACAACAGAGATTATAATCACCCATAAAATTCAATCGACACCCAAAAAGCGAAGAATTAAGGTCTTAGGAAATTACTAAGAACTCGATGCACACTATTACAGGGATAGTATCATGTTGGGGATACTTAAACTCTAATAACCTTGTAGAGGCACTATTTTATGTTCCTGAGCTATTTCGCCATTCTGTTTACAAGGGTCAGCCAGTCAATCATATACACCCTACACCCTACAGTAGCATAGCGAGATGAAACTGTCAGGGCGATTCCCAGAGTAGTTCAGGTAGCAACAGTATTAGTGATGGTAGAAAGAATTAGGCATCGAAGATAAAATTAGGGAAGGAAATATAGATTATCGGAATGACAAATTCATAAGATAATTAAAAAAAATAAGGTCTAAGGGAAGACAAAGAGTGAATGCACCTGCACCTTTGCAAACGATTTTGAGCTGCCACGTAATATCTCTAACCATTGCTTATGAAAATTTTGAGAACCCCAGTTATATAGTATCCACCTATCGAAATGACCCCATTCAACAATCAACCTCTTTGTGAACTGACCCCATGCATTGGTTTGACCGCCCCCAACTTCCAACTTCACTAGTCATTGTGCATCGAGGTAGTCGGTGGATGGGTAAACGAAATGCATATCTTAATCATCTCAGTCAATAAAGATTTACTACCGTATCAACCGATTTATCATACTTACCTTGTGCCCCTCAAATGCCCTGGTACGACCAAGAGTGGGGAGAGTCATCTCTCCCTCCCGAAATGCTCACACATGTCCACGCGTATACAACCACTCCCAGAGAAGTCCTACTTACTGCCTATTCGTAGCGGGGGTGTTGTTTACGAAGTTGGGGGGACGAAAAGCGAATGTCCGGCACTTTAATCAGGTTGGTGGACACGGAAAGTTCACCTAGGGGAGTTGGAAAACCCTGATTCCAAACCAATGGTGCACACGGGTTCCAGTATCCTAGGGGAACAAATAGTGTATGAATCAATCGTTTGTCACCAGCTACCATGGGAATGCATCTCCTTACGATGCTCCACTGTCTTGTGGATCAGACCTTTAGGTCGAAGGTCCCAAGTGTGACCCCCTAAGAAAACCACCTGCTTCAGTTTGGGCACCTGAGCAGTATCACAGCCCTTACACAAATCAAATGAGATTTGTGAGGCGCATACATATCTGGTGCTTCCTTGTACCAATATTGATGTGTTTGAATAAAATAAAATAAATGAGCAGCGTACTTGTCTTTTAGCCGGCAGGCGAATAACTCGCCTACGCCGTATGACAGTAATTTAAAAGAATAGATAGAACCAGAAACCAAAGTCCATAGTGGCTATATAATGTGGTTTGTTTTAGTCTTTTAAGTTAACGTTACTGGAAAATTTTCCCATTTTCATTAATTTCGTGTTTTCTCAATGTTTTACAATCCTTAGATTATTGTTGGCTACTGCACCTCTCTGTTTATTTTTTATAACACTTCATTAGAGCTGTGTGAATTTGTCATGTATGTCAGAATGAGAATTTTTAAGGCTGGTTCGTGTTACCGCTGTTTTAGGAAATAAAATGGTTGGGTCTGTTGATTAGATTTTTTCGGGAGGCATATTAACCTTAGCAGGCTGGTGGTAGACAAACATATGAACTACCTTGCTTAGCTCAAATTAAACGATATGGCTAGGACAAAGAAGTCAAACACTCATTAGACGATGAGTATCCTGCTCAACGCCCCCAAATGCCCTGGTACGGCCGAGAGTGGGGAGAGTCACCTCTCCCTCTCGAAATACTCTCATATGGCTAGCGAATATATAGCCTCTGCCAGGGAAGTCCTACTTACTGCCTTCTCGTGGCGGGGGTGTTGTTTACGAAAGTGGGAGGACGAAAAGCGAATGTCCGGCGCTTTAACCGGGTTGGTGGACACGGAGGGTCCACCTAGAGGAGTTGGAAAACCCTGATTCCGAACCAATGGTGCACACGGGTTCCAGTATCCTAGGGGAACAAATAGTGTATGAATCAATCGTTGGTCACCAGCTACCATGGGAATGCATCTCCTTACGATGCTCCACTGTCTTGTGGATCAGACCTTTAGGTCAAAGGTCCCAAGTGTGACCCCCTAAGAAAACCACCTGCTTCAGTTTGGGCACCTGAGCAGTATCACAGCCTTCACACAAATCGAATGAGATTTGTGAGGCGCATATTTATCTGGTGCTTCATTGTACCAATATTTATGTGTTTAAATAAATAATAAAAATAATCCTGCTCAACAAGCAGTTATTCCTTACGATTGTGACACTACTAAAAATAAGAGGCATGAGGATGCTAGCAAGAAACTGATACATACACCAATTGTCAGAGCCACTAACCAAACAAATGTTCAGAAGATAGTATTAAGTGAACCTTAGTTGAGTTGGTTGGCATGTTATGAATAGCGATCATACAGCTCGAAGTCAGTCATAATGACCCAAGTATATCTACTTTTTCTGTTTATATACATTACTGTCATTTTGTCTTGGTATACGAGTCTCCAACTTCTTAAGTATCGTAAGTCGAGATTCTTTGCTTTTTCTTCTGTTGATCTCTATCGAGGGCGTAATGATAATATATGGGTTATAAACCAAAAGATGTACATTGATGTGGTGCGAGTTTTCTGTTCATGCCTGTGAGACCTGGTTATCCTGAGCCGAAATGCTCAAGTCTTTAAAGGATCAAACACATGATTGTGGCTGTTTAGGTAATCCGCATGCTTAACAAATCGAAAATAATGATTCAAAGCGTAGCTATTTCGAAATACCAGCCTCAGTGGCTTCGTTACATCAGTTTATGTTCTAACACCTTCTGCAACGCCCATTGTTTAAGAACCATGATATTGAATGCCAACAAATCCTAAAGTGGCTAGTTCATCACAATATTTCGGACAGACATGATAGACACTACAAGTTTTACGACCAATACAACTCAACTAGATTATTACGACATCCGAACCCGATCACTACTACAAGATAACAACTATGACCAGGATAATATTTTGTGATGAGGAAGCTATTATATTTGCCGCTATTGATCTACATTTTGGAAGGGATCCAGAGGGTCGTACATAGAAATCACTCGCGATGCTACTCCAGTTCTTACTTACCACCACTAAATTAACTACTATGAATTCCGTGTTCATCTTGTTGTGCTAACGAGGTATGGCAACTTGGACCGATGCATATATGTGCTTCGTGCTACGTTGTAGCTGACTGACTGACCAGTTCTTATTGCATTCCTCGCAAAGTGAAGTACTTTACAGTGAAAAGAACATAGTTGTGTTCTTAAGTTAACCAAGTCTTTGAATAACGTCGTTGCTTTCGTTAAATTCTATCTTACTCCATGATGTTATAATTTGCAAAGACATTATTGATTCCTATAATTATCTTTTCTGTGGACATCCTTCAAAATACAATCACTTCTCTCCTTGACTTTTATAGACTAAAGTTACATCTGAATTTGACTTTGTGTTCTAAACACTCCACTCCCCCAACTTCGGTTTAGGCACCTGGGTAGCAACACCAACCCCTACCTGAAGTGACTCCACACTTAGCACCAGGACTAGATTATTATCACTAAGTCGCACAGCCACTATGACTTTCCAGAAGGTCGTGGGAGACCAAAATGGACTAACAAAACCAATACTCCTTACTCCACAACGCTATTTTACGAATTAACTACTTGTGGGTCTTTTTCATCCAAATTCAGGGCTGGGGAACGATGAGTCTTAAGGAAGCTCCTGGAACAAGTATTGGCGTGGTTAGGCCACTCTAGCTGCTGCCTAAAAGCAGTGACTGACATGGTCTCTAATCTGTTTTAATGCAAACAGTCAGGGATTGCCAATATTTACACCGAGTTCCGCTTGTAATTCCAACAGTGCTGAAGCTGTTAAAACTATCCGGTTAAATAGAACATGATCTGAGCCCCTTACTTAGTTGTGGCACACAAAAGACAGTACACATGCAGTCCCACCAAAGTTTTTAAAGTTCGTAATGATGATTGCATTCACTATTATAGGCTATTTTGATGGGGAACGTGGACATCAGATTTGAAAACATTTGTAGTAGTTTCGGACTAACTAATTCTAATTAAAAACCCAGCTTAAGAGAATGCATCTTTTATTAACTATAGCTAGTGTTAAGTCCGCCATCAACAATAAAAGGTTGTATTATGTCGAGAAAATATGAGGAGCCACTGTTTTTTATTGACATTACTTGTAGTCTATCTAACAAAGTGACTATCTCACAGTTTCTCCACGATAACATAGAAGTGCACCAATCACTTCAAAAGACTTGCAATTTCAGACTGAACTTGTGTAAACTTCATACAGAAGTGTTTACATGCAAGCATCGACGTAAAACACTGTACTTGTGCCGAAATTAAGCAGTACAACATGACTAAACAAATTAAGTCCTTGAGAGCAAAAACGATAACTAGTGCTTCTGAGGAATGTGTACATGAGAGGCATGCCATGAAAATATCCGGACTTGCCACAATTTCACTAATAGTGTAAAAATACACTAAGTGAAATAGAAGAGAAGCTGAAATGCTAGTAAGATATACGTGACATTAAGTACATAGTGAATAGCGGTTGGAGTGCTAGTAGTCATTTCTTTTTTTGTTGACCCCGGGGCATAAGGTAAGCATTTAAAACCAAAGGACTTTAGCAAGGTAGTAGTAAATAGGCCGTAAGGCAAGCGATATGGTAAGCATGTTAGGTAAACCCCAAACATGAGCAGATCTTGAATCCGTAATCTGCTTCAGTCACTTTGAAAGTTGAAATTCAAGATCTGCAGTCAGGTGGTTGATGATGAATATAAGAAAAGTTGGTTAAGTTAATGACCAACTACTCAACAAATGAATATATTCAGTAGTTTGACAAGTTTGTTGAACTCGATATGACTAGCTTCTAGTGTAACTAATGGTCCACAATAAGTATGCATGTGAGAGCTACGACAACAGGAAATTCAAAAACTATTTATTCACCCTACCTTTTTAAAAGCCATAGACTGTATTGGTTAGGAAAATACAGTACGAAACGACCTTTTCAACTGTGGAGACATATTAACTATGTTTGTAGCACTTAAACAAACAGATAAGAACCAACCCTGAAACATAAAACTCATTAATTAGGACGTCATATCTTTTGATTAACTTGATTGTAAAATGAACGAGACTGTAAAGAATCCTATATTTAGTGGCTCTTCATAATCACTACGATTTATTTCGCAAAAGTATTCATTAAATACCTAGTCACAAGATGTAGAGCTGTATAAATCTTTCATAGAAACTGAGATGTTCTCTTAATTCCGTCATAAACATTAAAGGATGAAGGCTTTTAATGGCTATGCCTGGGAGTTAGTTTGCATGATTCATTTATTTAAACGTTTAGTACAGACCTGTGTGGTTCAGACTTCCTTAAACCTCGCCATAATAAATCGTATTAATCACTCAGTCTAAGAGTATTCCTGAGGCATTTTTCCTCCTAACAGCCCCTGGAGACGAAGTTGGTGACCATGATCCCTTACCTCACATGTTTTAACATTCCTCACCCTTGTTATGGAATCGCTTAGGGGTTACAATCAGACTAAAAGTGCATTTGCGTGAGTTCTTCCGTATCTGACTCCCATGTCCTCAACCTCGAAATCAAGATTAGAAATAACAAAGACGTCTCTGGCAGTATATCACTTGTTAACCAGTTGACTTTTGATACCTAACAAACAACGAGTCAAGAGACCCTCATAGAGAGAAGAGCTCTTTCACCCAATTACGGAAATTATGGAAAGATAGAGTGATTAGTAATATATGCTGTAAAAAACTTCCAGAACTCATGTTCACATGCGAACACAGTCAGCTTAGTCACCAAAACTGTCTGGAAACTCAAGTTTCGGGAGTTATCTAATAACAAAAATTAAAATATTTCAACCCGGAATTTTCAGACGAGATCGCTGACGGCGAATGATATAAACTAATCTTTTATACTATCAATATTGTTCGAAATCTCACAAAACAATCCTGTCGTTATTGTTTAAGTAGATCTGTTTCATTACTCAGTTTACACGCTCCAACGAACGTTGACAGGACCCGATCATCAGTTGACAGTTAGCTTCTCTGTAATAATCGTATTCACTTGAATGTCAAACTAAATCTGATCACAGGATCTCTATATCGAGTGTGTTCTCCTCAGCTCTCAGGAGATCAGAATAATCGCTCTCTTAGACATCTAAGAAGTCACGTCTTTGTCTGAACTGAATAGTCCTATAGCACGAAGCACCAATATATAATGGAGAACACATTTAGGCTGGAACAATGTATTTAGTATGGATAAAAGAGATAAGTTACACAAGAATCATCACGCCTACAAAGCTGAGCCATGCTATCCGTTTTATTGAATTAATGTTTCCGCGTTCTCCATAGTTAACCTTCTCTTCGTGTCAACTGTTGAATGTAAGTCTTTTCAGTAATTATATTCACGGTTTCAAAGTTCGTGTGGTCGGAGTCCAATGCTGCTACAACTCCTTATACTCCCTCCCAACTTCGACTAGGGTGATGTTACCACGTAAAGAGGGCTTTAACCTAAATCAGCCGATAATAAGCCATCGTTTATTATTTAATACTGCAAGATACCAACGTCAACGGTAAATAAATTTAAAGTATCACATGAGAGTCAAAACGCAATTGGATGGCGGCGCCACAAAAACCACATATCGGAAAAAGCTCGTTTCATTTTATTTGCACCAACTGCATACTTAAATCTGTCGAATATGCATGGACTTCGACTCTGGAACCAGGTTAGCTGAAACAATAGAACTCTGTGGACGAATCCAACTAGGAAGAATAAAATACTTAATTTGATACTCACAACCAATACCGACTCTATCTCAGTAAACTTCAGTCATGAATGTTTTGCGAGTGATTGTAGCTGTATTGAGTATTGTTCATTCTCCAAACATTATACTATTGAACTCTAGAGTTGAAACAGTGTCCCAGAGAAGGTAGTTTGTTCAACAAGCCTGGAAGCGCACTGAAACTCTCATTCGATACTTACCATGTGGATATTACTTCACCACAAATATCATTGACAACATCAGGTGGGCCATAACTGCCCTGAGAAAGTCTGGTGATGGTGGACCTGATGCGATTCCTGCATCATTCGTGAAATGGGGCTTGAGATATTATTTCTCCAAGTCTATCAATGTAACCAGTGAAGCAACGCAATGAAATGTGTTTGACCCATTGCTCTTTTTCCTCTTCGTCAATAATGTGTTCATTTTCGGCAGGGTAAACCTTTCCTCTTTCCTGATGTTCTAAAAGGAGTTTATTCATTCACTTCCACTAAAGAAAACTATTTTTCAGAGGTAATCTGAGAAGACACAAACAAGCTGTACGAATGGACTCTGTCGTGGGATCAATCACAAAATGTCAACAAGAGTGGATTTTTTTACATTGGCCGCAGCTGTAACCTAAATCTAGCTATACACGAACACATACTAAAACCTCTCAACCCTGTTCATGCCTTGGGCTTGTGGTATAGCGATGGTTTTAACTTTTCCGAGCATATCGGTTATCAGGTACCCTAAGTGAGGAAGCTAATTGGGTTCAGAAGGACAACTTTCAATAACATCGAATAGAGATCATCGTCATGTAAAAAAATGTATCTCGTCTATTCGTGAATATGATATTCTAGTTTACAGTAGTTTCAGGCATAATGACTTGATGAAGAATGATGGTATTCGAAGATGATTCACTAACGATGTTTTGAGGTATTCCGATAACAAGACTACCACCAAATATGTCAACAACTCAAATTGGGGCATCTCTGGATAAGGCACGTAAAATCAAACTTTGTCTTTGTTTACTGGCCTATAAATGGTATTCCTTTAATCTTCGGCATCCACACCTTCGTACTCCATCGTATCATCCCACAGCCTCAGTAACAGAGAGAATACTCTGTGGATTCCGCGAGCCTACGCGGACTTACACCAGAATTTCTTCGTTGTTTGCTGTTCAACTATTCAGGATATGCTCTCAGTAAACCTCCTTTGCAGTGAAACTATAACCCAGTTCGAAAATCCCCATGACGACTTTCAAAAAGTGTTTTATGTCACCTACTAATTACCAGTGTGATCACCAATGATTCATAAAAACTAATTCCGATATCTGTCTTATTGAATAAAAAGTAATGTAGAGCCTTCAAAATTTTGTTCGTTTGTTTATTAAGTATATTTTGTTCCCTTTCTTTTCATCTCAATGTCCAAAATCCGTATATTTACTATTATTATTATTATTATTATTATTATTATTATTATTATTATTATTACTATCATGATTGATCTGACATATCAAATAATCTTTTCTTCCCTTCTTTCTCCTCCGTCTACATGAATTTTATTTCCAAGCATCCAGAGTTTATAACTAAAAGCACATTATCTTATGCTACACCTAAATAGATTAACTTTTCAAATTCATTCTGTCGTCACTATGTGTATATGATTCTTACAAATTGATATTCAACGGTTTTTAACTGCAATTAATTATTACTTTCATAGCATCATTCTGAACTGTTACTGCATATACTTTTACAGTAACATTAGGTATGACTTATAATCCTATTTCATAGATTTACATATAACAGTAATAATATATATTCACAGATAACAATATGTTGCACGAGACATGCTAATTTTCATGCAAGGCCAAATTGTTACGAATGCAACAGGATTTTCTTTACTGAGTTAAGCGATTAGGTTGATGTGTTATTGGAAACACTAGTTATATAAACAGTGAACGAATTTTCATATATTCGAATGTTAATTTTGGTAAGACTCTGATTTCAGTAAGTGAGTTGGTGCACTTTGCGGAGGATGCCTTGCGGCGAACGATTGATGGTCAAGAATGAATGTAATTAAAGTTCAGGGCGGTCAGTCAAGGACGTCAACTTTAACGTAATATGTTGTACCTCTGAAAATTGATCCCAGGTAATTTTTGTAGGTATTAGTAACGGCGCAGGATAAAGGCATGTGTTCTACATATGGTTTCTGTGGTATACCCTGAGGGTGCTGAAAAGGAGAAGGGCGAGAAACATAACAGACAGTGATTACGACTAGTAAAATTTAGTCATTTGTGATCAAACAAATAAGGTTTGACTGTTAAGACTTATTTTCTTTCGGAGCACGTATATTTCGTCATGTTGAACAAAACAAGCCAAAGTATGATGTTGCACGAACACAGAATTTTATAGATGACAGTGATTGAAAAAAGCGGAAAGGTCGGGAATGTGTATTTTTTAAATTTAATGAAAAGGCAGTATTCAGACACCAAGTGGCTTCTTTTCATAGAAATTGTTGTAACTCATTTTTATTGTTATGACTATGTAGAGTCATGAATGGACCATTATTTGGCGTAGTTGTTTATTTTTGCTTGAAATAGGATTTCTCAGCTAGAGATGATACCTATTGAAGATAACGAACAAGTCAATGAAGTATTTGGCATTAGAAACCATCAATAATACCACTGGTTCATGACATCCCACTAGACCATAAGGAGCTGTAATTGAACAAAATGTTCTGCCCTACAGACATGTGTGGACTGAATTTATCTCCACATCACCATGTTTGCTGATCGGTGACACTATCCTTCCTCCCTTTGTAATGTTAGGCCCTCTTATGTTTGTAATATGTATTGATATTGCTCCAATCTAAGCTCTGTGTTTCATACCTTCTTGGAATACACCCTCTACTAGTTCTATGTTACGAGCGAATCAGACAGTTGAGGCTTTCATACTATGGGTTAGACATTCAGTTAGTAAATTACACTGCTATGAAATTAACTAATGGTGTACGTTATAAGATACTGGTCATGTGATATGTGGTTTAGAGGTGATAAGGAAAGGTAGCTGATTAAATAATACGAACGAAGAGTTTAGGACTGTAAAATTTATGAGTAAGATCATGAGTAAGTAGGAAAACACAATATTTGGATGCTTGTGATGATTAAAAATCTTTTAAACTAGTGGAACATGAACGAGGAAAAACTCACAATAATTTGGGCGAGACTGTGATTTATGAACGAACCAGTTA